GTGTCAAGTGCTGTCTTCTTTTGGATAATATAGGGGAATGATTCTGTTCTAAGCAGGTCGTTTCTCTCAAGACCAAATGCTAAATTTAAGTGCTATTTCCTTTAACGTGTTGAGTTGTGGATTTTGAGAGTATATAAAAATGTATATATTTATGCCTTGGCTGGTGTGGCTCAGTGGATTGGGTGCTGGGCTGCGAAGCAAGGGGTCGCTGGTTCGATTCCCAGTCAGGGCACATGCCCAGGTTCCAGGCCAGCTCCCCTGTGGGGGGGGCACGCGCGGGGCAACTACACACTGATGTTTCTCTCCTTCTCTTTCTCCCTCCTTTCCCTCTCTCTAAAAATAAACTTAAAAAAATAAAAATCTTAAAAAAAACATATACATATTTAATGATGAATAGGATAGTTACTTTTAAAAATGTCAGTGACACAAAGAAATGTGAGTGTGCTATCTGGCTTTGAGTAAGTCAGTACTGTAAGATGTTGCATGTAAAATATTGAGCTCTGTCAGGAAACTTCCAGAAAAATTAAAAAGATATCTTATCATGGTTCAAAGTGATTGTCTCAAATGTACATCATATAAGGAAAAGTGGAAGTTGCCGTTTTCTAGGATGCGCTGCACAACTCTCTCTTCCTTTAAGAAAATAAAGGGAGCCCTCCGCGATGCCTCATTTTCTCGTCAGCTTCTGCCCTGCTCCCTCCTCACCTGTCTTTGGACTTCCCAACTCCCATCTTTACTTTGAGTTCTGTCATTTTCATTCTTCTAAAGTAAGCCCTTTGGGGTCCCCAGTAACCTTCAGATGCTTCCATGGCCTACTCCTTTTATTGTTTGGAGAAAGAAAGGGGAAGGGAGGGAAAAAGAGAGGGAGAAAAACATCGATCAGTTGCCTTCTGCATGCACCCCAGCTGGAGACCAAACCCACATCCCAGCCTTGTGCTCTGACCGGGAGCTGAACTGGTGACCTTTCAGTTTGGGGATGATGCCCAACCAACTGAGCCACAGCAGCCAGGGCTGAGGCCTCTTCTTGCACGACCCCTCCATAATTCCTGAGGAGACACTTTCTCCTCTTGATTTCTTTCTTTTTTTTAAAAAATATATATTTTGTTGATTATGTTCCTGCAGCTGTCTCATTTTTTTCTCCCCTTTATTCTCCTCCACCCTACACCGCCCCACCCTCCGCATGCCCCCCCCTTGTTCACGTCCATGGGTCCTTCTCTTGGTTTCTGGCTGTCTTTCCCCTCCCCATTTCTTCTTCACCACCTCTGCCTTGAAACCTTTGCCCTAATCCAGGCTCGACTTTATTGCTTCCCCTTGGTATGGGCTGAACTGTGTCTCCCCCTCTGCCCCCAAATTCACATGTTGAAACCCTAAGCCCAGGACCTCAGAAAATGAAGCCTTATTTGGAAATAGGATTTTTGTGGAGGTCGTTAGGATGAGCTCACACTCATCCTGAAGTGGGCTGCTTCCCTCCTCCAGTATGAGTGGCGTCCTTATAAACAGGGGAGGTGTGTCTTCCCAGACACACACGTGAAAACAGGATGCTTCTGTCAGCCAAGGAACCCCAAAGACGTCCAGCAAACCATCAGAAGTTCAGGGGGAGGCGTGGGACAGATTCTCCCTCACAGCCCTGGGAAGGAACCAACCCTCCTGACACCTTAACCTTAGACTTGCAGCCTCCAGAATTGTTAGACAGTGTCTTCGGATGTTGAAACTACCCAGTTTGCCGCACTTTGTTAAGGCAGCCCCAGCAAGCTAGGGTGCCCTCTGTTCTCTCCCCAGGACAGCGCTGCTCAGTGTTTTGGTCTCGGGGCCCCCTTTATACTCTTAAAAATTGTGAGCTTTGGGTTTATGTGGAGTCTATCTACCAATATTTCCCACACTAGAAATTAAAACTCAGAAAATTTCAAAATACTTATATAGGAGCCCATTTAAAATAAGACTAAGTCAATTATATATTGACATAAATACATACTTTTATGAAAATAGCTTTCCAAAACAAACAGCAATTCAATAAGAAGAGAGGCATTGTTTTATTTTGCAAATCTCTTTGGTATCTGACTTAGGACTCCTGCTGGCTGTCTTTTGCATGCCTGTTTTTGCATTCCATCTCTCGCTGTATGTTCTTTTTCTTGAGGTATAAGCAGAAAATCTGGCCTCACATGGATATGTAGTTTTAAAAAGGGAAAAATGTTTCACTGGCCTTTTCAGATGGTTGTGTATATTTTTCTTTGATACTACGCCAGAACTTAACAAATAGTAATTTTAAAAAGCAAACTTAGCGTACAGAATCTGAAACCAAATCAGTGACCTTTTTGTTTAAATCTTTTGGTTAATCGTGCACTTTTGATGAATCACTTGACTACGCATGATTTTATAACATCGTGCACTACTCATTTAGAAAATGTTGATTCATTGAGTTACGCTGACCTTCCCACAGGTATCACATTTCCCATGCAACACAGTTTTAAAAAGCGCATTTATAAATATCCCCAAGAAATATCCTCATCAGAAAAGTTTTTGGAGTCAAGTTCATGGTGGCAGAAAAAAGTTTTGCTGAATTTTAACTGTTGCTTGAGAGCTAGAATTGTATCACTGGCAACCAGCACTATCAGTTGTTTTCCTTTGAAGTGACAGGATCATTTGGATCATTTTTGAGAAAACACCTTCCAAGTAAGTGCCCAAGTCTGCTCTGCTGTTGTTGGTCAACTGTTCAAGTAGAAATGGTGCCCGTTAAAAGAGCAGCTCATCAGCTTGCAGTCCAAACACTTGCCTCTCTTACGTTGTTATGCCACGGAAGTGCCCTATGAGGACTTTCCACTTTGTATATAAAAAGTAAAACACATCCCATCTTTTGCTCGGACCACTGCCCTGGTCTCATTGCTGGTTTGCTTGTGGCTGCTCTGCACCGCCCCCCCCCCCCTGCCCCGCATTCTCTAATTAGAACTAGGTTCTCCAAGTTGTATCCTGTACCCTGACCCCACAGGCTGGCTCCCTGCCTACCAAGGGCTTCCTGCGGCTCTTGGGATAAAGACTCGATCTTCATCGGGTCTACAAGGTCCTGAATTCCTGCGTCCTGCCCACTTGCCTGGCCCAGGCCCACAGCCCTGCCTAGTTCTCTCTGCCCAAGAAAGCCTCGCCTGGCCCTGGGAGGGGGCGGGCTCTGCAGCTCAGGGAGCTGTCTTCCTTCTTTCGTCTCACCCATTCCAGTTATTTCACATTTGTCCCTGTGGTTATTTAATGTCGTTACTGAGACTAGAGTGTCTCAGCTCTGGAGCTATGCTGCCTGGGTTCAGGCCCCTGCTTTTCACTTACTAGCTGAGCAATCTTTCTTTCTTTTTTTAATGTTTTTAATTTATTGATTGGGGAGGGGGAGAGATATTCATTGATTTGTTGTTCTACTTATTCATGCTCTCATTGGTTGCTGCTTGTACATGCCCTGAGTGGGGATTGAACCTACAACCTTGAATACCTGGCCAGGGCTAGGTGAGTGATCTTGAACAGGTTCCTCTTTCTGCCTTGGACTCCTAATCTGTAAAACACACACACAGCAAGGATCCTAATAGTGCCAGTTTCTTGGGGTTTTGTTTAGATTAGCCCATAGTAAGCATCGCCTGTGTCTTAGCTGTTGCTGTCGGGATTATTGTAGCTGACTTCTCTGCTAGACTCTGTGGGAACAGGAGCTGTTTGCTCAGGCTTTACCCTGAGCACCTGGTGCCTTGCCTGGCACGTCACAGTTGCTTAACAAATATTTTTGAGATTATTTCTTTTATTGTCACTGAAAATTTGCTTTCAATTAAATATTTAATTTCTTCAAATTAGTAAATGGACACAAATTTTAAAAATCAAGTAGTACGTAGGGTATTTCCCTAATGGCTAGTCACGTTGAGCATTTCTTCATGGGCTTATTTGCCATCTGTGTATCCTCTTTGGTGAAGTGTCTCTTTGTGTCTCTGGCCCATTTTCTCTGATTTTTTTTTTTTTCTGTTGAAATTTGAGAATTCTAAAAATTGTCAATACTAGTCCTTTATCAGATATGTGGCTTGCAGATATTTTCTTCCAGCTTTTCACTTGTCATTTCATTCTTTTTACAGGGTCTTTTTGCATAGCAATTTTTTAAATCAATATATTTTTTTTTTGGTAAACTTTAGGTGTCCTGTCTAAGAACTCCTCACCAAGCCCTTGACTCTGAAAATGTTATCATATGTTTCTTCTACAAGGTTTATAGTTTACATGTTCAATTTATCTCCGGTCTAGTTTGAGTTAATTTTTGTATAAGGTGTGGGGCTTAGATTTAGGAAGTAGTGCAGTTTCGGGCCTACGAAGGTCCAGTTACTTCAGCACCAGTTGTTGAAAAGACAGTCGTTCCTCCCCTGAATTGCTTCCTGAGCTTCGTCAAACATCATTTGCCGAGACTCGTGTGGGGCTATTTCTGGCTTCTCTATTTTCTTACATCGCGTGAATGTCTTTCTACCGATGCCCGATCTTGATCACCGTCCATCGTCTTGAAATCCGGCAGCGTGACTCCTCTCACTTCGTTCTTCTACTCACAGACCCTGGCTGGGAGGAGCCGGAGGCTCGGTCACTGCTCCCCACAGACCTCTGCGCCCTGATGAGGGGGTGGCCTCACTGCCAGCGAGCAATCGTGAAAGTTCTGATTCAGTCTCTTCTGACCCCAGCCCAGTGTAGGTTAATGAGGGCCTCTATGCACTTTTATACTCCTGCGGGCGGTGCACTGGCCTTTTGCACCTTCAACTTGGGGCTTAAGGAGAGGAAAAAGCACACTTTAAAATAACCTCTCCCTTCTGCTTCCACATTCTAAACAAATATCTAAGATCCTATCATCCTTTGCAGATAAGAACACTGAGGCCGGTGGTTGAGCAGCTTCCGCAAGGTCACACGTGGTGAACCGCAGAGCTGGGATCCTGACTCAGGCGGTTCGGCTCTGGACTCTGCTCTTGATGCACTTTTTTCAAGATGTACTTTTTTCTCTGTGTGTTCCTCAGGGATTCCCGGGCACCGGGGCGTTAAGAACTAGTGCTCCGCAGCTGAGGGAAGACCCAGCGCAGCGCAGCTGGGGTGAAGAGGTGCAGGAGCCGCGGGCGGGGGGAGGGGCAGGGAGCAGGCGGCTCTATTTGGGGTGGGGGCTCCTCCTGGCCCCAGGGCTCACCCGACACTGTGTGTGTCCTTCCGCAGGTCCCAGTTCTAACCTTGAAGCTCCGCTCTGCGAATCCTGAGTTCAGCCTTTGGAACTTTGCCCAGGTGAGTCTGAAATTTTGAGTGGTTCTACCCTGAGGAGGTGGGGCAGGGGGTGCAGACGAGCTCCGCTTCGTAGGAAACCCAGGCAGCGCCTTTCCTGCGGGGCCTGGTTCCAGGCCACCTGCTCCCCCTGCCCAGGCTTCGCCTCCACCGCTCAGGGTTCAGGATCCGCCCCCCCGCCCCCCCTCCCCTCAGAGTCTTTAGAGTTGATGGTTCCCAAAGGCCTGCACCCTGCCCTTCCCTGCTGCCTCCAGGCTCACGTTCAAGTTTTCACCCTGTGTCCTCAAAGCAAGGGCTATCTAATTTGATCACCCAGACGAATGGGTCGCCTCAGGGGCTTCTTTGAAAACGCAGACCTCAGACAAGCTGGGAAATCTGAACACTGAGGGCATATCATGATATTAGGGGTTTTCTGTGGTACCTCAGACGTGACCATGGTGTTACACAGAGAGTTGACCTTTGAACAGTATGGGTCTGAACTATGTGGATCCATTTGTATGCAGATTTTTTTTAAGTAAATACATACAGTACTGTAAATGTATTTTCTCTTCTTCATGATTTTCCTAATCATTTTTTTCATTTAACCAAAAGTATATTTATTTTCTTTCTACATTCATTATTGCTTTGTATTAGTTTTAGGTGTACAGCATAGGAGTTAGACAAAACATTTCTCTTTCTCTAGCTTATTTTAGTGTAAGTTATATGTGTTTAGTGCAACACATATAACGTACAACGTATGTATCAATCAGCTGTTCGTGTTATCGGTAAGGCTCCCTTTTAACAGTAGGCTATTAGTAGTAAAGTTTTGGGGAAGTCAAAAGTTATATGCAGCCCTGGCAGGGTAGTTCCACTGGTTACAGCGTCGTCCCTGTACGCCAAGGTCTTAGGTTCAATCCCTGGTCAGGGCACATACACAAATCAACAAATGAATGCATAAATAAGTGGAACAACAAATCGATGTTTCTCTCTCTCTAGTGAGAACTAATTAGTAATTAATTAATTTTTAAAAGTTGCATGCAGATTGTCAGCTGCCGGGTGGGTAGGAGGAGAGAGAAGCAGACTGGGAGAGGGGTCATTGTGAGTTGTTCAAGGGCCAACTGTGTGTGTGTGTACACACATACATGTGGGAAATAATCCTTATCTTTTAGCAAAACATGCTAAAATATTTTGAAAGAAAGAATATGACAGATGGGATTTGCTTCAAAATAATCTCAGGTAGAAGCACAGAGATGACATAAAATTGAATAATTGTTGATGCTAAGTGGCCTGTTCATTCTTATATTTTTCCCTGTCCTTTTGTAGCTGCTTTAATTTTTCCACAGTAAGAAGTAAAAAACAAAAACAAACAAACAAAAACCAGAAAGCACCCCTCAGTCTGGGGTACGCTTTACAGGTACCCCAAGGTGTGCCTGTCCCCACCTGGAGAAGCTGCTCTGCAGAGCTGGTTAGAGTGCACTCAGGTGGCCCCCGCAGAGCCCACCCCGGGCCAAGAGAAACGCCTCTGATTGGCTCATTCTCCTGCTCTCCACTGCTCCTCCAAATACCTGGGAAAGACACTGTAATCTTCTGTAAGATGAGAATTTTAGCCATCGGGTATTTATAAAGTATTAGCAGTCTATTCTCCTTTCAAAGTAAAACATTTTTGAAAATAATTGTTGATAGGATGGTGAGTGTTTTTTTTTTTCCAAAAAATACTTTTTAATGTGATTTCATTATTACCGTGCTGTGCTTAGTAGGTACATTGGAAGGCGGTCTCGGGTCCTTCTGAGACCCCGAGAAACCCCTTCCCAAGCCCTGCACTCCTGGTTCGGGCGGGGAGGGTGTGTCACTTTCCTTCTAGAAGACAGTCGGTGCTTCCTGGTCACCATAGGGCACAGGTGGGGGGCGTTGAGCAGGTGACAGGTCCTCACCCAGACCTGTGTTGATACAATAACAGCGGCCTCCAGGCAAAGCACCCAGGAGTGGCTGCCTCGCTATCACTGCGGGGAGGCCATCTGGGGAATCCCCAGCCAGGCTGGTCCCACCCAGCCAGGCCACAGCGGCCAAAGGCTCCCTGCTCAGGGGTGGTGGAAGGAAGTCATTGGAGAGCTGCCCCTACGAGCTCCAGCCCCTGGTCCAGGACCTGCTCGGGAGAAGTCGGGGTAGGAGGCTGTGCTTTTTGCTCTGCATGGAGCAATGTCTTCTGTCTCTTTCTATGAAAACATTGCCTCATTCATTAGAAAGGGCAATATGAAAAGCTGATTTATTTTGGTATCAAAAGGCAAAAATAGGGGACCAGGCTATGTACTCTGGGTGTGGGGGGCGAGGGGAAGACATTTAGCTTCTAGTTGGTAAGTTGGGAAACATTTTTGTAGCACCAAGTTTTATGGTTGAGCTAGGCTGGTGATGGAATGAGACATATTCAAACTTCTAACCTCATGGATTTTTCTGGCTAGTGGGCAATACAGACTGAAGACAAGCAACTGTAGATGACTGATATCCCAGGGCCATAGAGGAGGGGCTTTGTTTACTGGGGCCGCTGGTGGGGGTCAGGAAAGGCTTATGGGAGAACAGGTTCCTTACATTGAGCCCCGAGGAGTGGGAGGATCACCTGGGGGGCGGGGAGGAAGGGGATGAGGGTCTAAATCTTGGGGAAGCATGGGCAAAGGTCCTGAGGCAGGAGGAGGCCTGGGGAGGGGGGGTCCATGTGTCTGCAGAGCAGCGTGAGCGGCAGTGAAGCTGGAGAGGGGAGCAGAGGCCAGATTATGTCTCCCTTTGTGGGCCAGGTTGAGGGATTTCCGGGGGAAAATGGAACAATGGAAGGATTAGTACAGGAGGGGTAAACCCAGTGTCTGGCAAATCTTGTTATAAAATGATGTGAGGAGAAAGGGGCCCACTCTGGGAGTGAGCTAGTTCTTCCAGAAGGTTAGACTTTAGGGAAAACAATTTGGTTTCGCAGCAGAAGTGCGGTCCAGAGGGTCTTTGACGGAAATGGATTCTAGATAGATATCCTTATTCCATATAGAGAGCGTATAGAGAAATCTTACTTCATTTTTAACCATTACCTATTGATGGATACCTTGGTTCGATCCACATGTTATAATTAACATATACAATGTTATCGAACCTTCCTTGTAGAGATCTTGGGTCATGAATGTAATATAATATTTTTTATTGACTTTTTGGGTGTGACAATGGTTAATAAAATTATATAGGTTTCAGGCGTACAACTCTATAATACATGATTTGTATGTTTGGATGTTCACTACCCAAGTTCTGTTTTTTTATATTGGGAGTGATTCCTGTTGGATGTTTTCTTTCCCTGCTGGGTTTAATTTAGCTCAGCAAAAAATGTTCTCATCCTAAGGTTTGCACGCATTTGCTACCTCCAATATCCCTGTCTCCTTCAGACCAAGGCTGGGTCAAGATGGCGTCTGTGTTTCGAAGTGAGGAGATGTGTTTGTCGCAACTGTTTCTCCAGGTGGAGGCTGCATATTGCTGTGTTGCTGAGCTGGGAGAGCTTGGACTGGTTCAGTTCAAAGATGTGAGTACCGCATTCTTTAGAGGCCAGAGGAAGGTGGAGCTGACAATTCTTTCATACCACTTCTCGGCAGTGCACACACCTTGGGAAGAAGAGCCCTGGGCTGGAATAGGTGGGATTTTGTGGTTCTAGTCCTCTGATTCAGCTTCGCGGTACCTTTGGGCGGGTGACTTGCAAACACGTCCTCTCTTCTTCTGTGCGTGTTTCCTCTACAGGAATGTTTTGAAGCTCTATTGCTATCACTACATGTTAGATGCATCATATTCTAGTTCCTATGCAGTAACCTCAAAGCATTGGGTACATCCAGTTGCACGTGGATTACCAAACCTTGTTCTGAGGAGAATTCTTCCTGACTTGTCTGTCTGAGGACAAAGTATCCTGGAGTCCACAGCCTCTAGAGTGACATTCTGGGACCGCTTTCTCGAGTGTCATGTTGGGGTATTATTTCCCAGAGGCATGTCAGATCCTCATCAAGCTGTTTTGAATCCAGTTTGGAAAACGGGTCTCTACTCTTCTTTACTTCCTCCCCAAGGTCAAGGCTAAACTAAGCTCCTGCCTGGAAGGATCATGTGTTGTCCTTTGTGTTCCCAGTTCTTAGTGCAGGACCTGACTTGAGGCACTTCCTCACTCACGTTTATTGGGCTGAGCTGAGGGGTCATCAGCCCGAGGACACTGAATTTTTATTAATGACCATGATACATAGCATACATAGCACCGAGCTGTGTAGTTTGCAGGGTCCCGTCATATTCATGACTCCAGTGAGGATTTTAAGGCTCACGGGAGACAATACATGCAGCTAAAGTGAGGAAACCTTAACTGTGGAAGGGCTTGTTTCCCTTAAAAGGGTAAGCAGGCCAGAGGGAAGGCATGTGGAGGATATTGAGTATAAAAACATCAGGGTGTGTTTAGCCAGTCATATCTGTCTTGTGTATGGGAATATCAATTTCTAAGACTATCTCAGTGACATTCACCAGCATTAAAAAATAGAATAAAATAACCAGTACGATAGCATCTGTTGCTGTAAATGTGTGCCATGTGGTGTTTTCCCTCCTCTAGTTAAATGTGAATGTGAACAGCTTCCAAAGGAAGTTCGTGAATGAGGTCAGAAGGTGCGAGTCCATGGAGAGGATCCTCCGTAAGCCAGTTTTCTGCCTCCTGTCTCACTGGGAACTGGCGGGGAGGGACGTGGCGTGCAGGTCTTGATTCACAAACGTGTCCCTCTGGGTGACACTTTTCAAAGTGATCCTGGAGGCAGGGTGGGGAGGTTAGAGATTGGATCCAGGAGCTGCGTGGGGCAGGTTCCTGGGGCAGTTGTCCCTGAAAGCCACCTGTCCTGCCTGACCCCATTTCTTCGATGCGAGAATATAGAATCACCTTGGGCTCTCTGGTGGTGTCTCTTCACTCAGGTTTCCTGGAAGATGAGATAAAAAATGAGGTGGAGGTTCAGCTGCTGGAGAAGTCCCCACCGACGCCCCTCCCACGGGAAATGATCACCCTGGAGGTAGGTCCTTCCCTGCTTTGCTCAGGACAGGTGGGGCGCCCGTCTCCTGGGAGCGCGAGAGCCTCTCCTGGGCCCATGTATGTGGTTTTCCACTTACCAGAGTCACCTCCCTGGGAAAATTCCATTGGCCAGTTTTGGAGTCGCTCCTTCTGACCCAGGAGGGACTCTTTTCTTCTCTCCTGATGCGGCCCCAGGGAAGCTCACCCCGCTCTGGAGGATGGTTTCCTTTGCGGGCATGAGATTCTGGCAGGCAGCAAAGTCTCATCTGTATGGTGCCACTGAACGGGCCGCATGCTGGCTCGCTGGGTCCCTCCGCCCCTCCCATCACAATGCTGTACGTGACGTCCCCAGGACTTAGTCATCTTACAACTGGGCCTTTGTACCTTTTGACCACCTGCGCCCGTGTTGCCCTCCCCTCTCACTCGCTGCCCGCGACAATCACCAATCTGTTCTCCGAGTTCAGTTTGCTTATTTTAGATTCCACGGGTAAGGGAGATCACAGAGTGTTTGTCTTTCTCCACCTGATTTAGGTCACTCAGCTAATGCCCTCAGGGTCCATCTGTGTTGTCGCAAATAGCAGGATTTCCTTCTTTTTTATGGCTCAATAATACTCTTTTGAATCTAGACATACTACCTTTCCTTTCTCCATTCATCTGTTGTTTCCATATCTTGGCTATTGTACATAAATCTGCAGTGACCGTGGGGTTGCAGGTTTTGTTTTTGTTTTTTTTTTGTTTTTGTTTTGTTTTTGAGAAAGAGATTTCATTTCCTTTGGATAAATACCCAGAAGTGGAATTGCTGGATCCCGCGGGATGTTTTCCTAGTGATCTGGTGGCCAACAGCTGGTGCACCGAGCTCAGTGGAGGCTGAGGCCTCAGACTGGCTTCTGAGATCCAGTGACAAGCTAGCAGTTTTCTTCAGCCAAGGACATCATGGCTGGGGGGCCCCTGTTCTTCCCTGGCTCTGTCTACTTTCCTGTGTAAAACACTGAGTTCCTGCCATGCCCAAGGCAACTTAGAGAGAAACAAGAAGTGGCCATGTCCTCTAGCAGCTTCTAATGCAGATGGTGGAGCAAGGGGGAGGGGTGAGGAGGTGGGAGAAGAGGTAAAAAATATGGCACAGGCAGATTGTGGAAGGCTCTGTTGATGCTTTCTTGATTTAAAAAAAAAAAAGGTTTAAAAAAAAATCATCACCCAAGGACATTTTTTCATTGCCTGTTTTTAGAAAGAGAGAAAGGGAGAGAGAGAAACATTGATTGGTTGCCTCCCATACGTGTGCTGACTGGGATCAAACCCATAACCTGGGTATGTGCTCTGACCGGGAATGGAACCTGAGCCCTTTCGGAATAGGGGACAATGTTCCACCCAACTGAGCAACCCAGCCAGGACCAAATTAGAGTTTTTGATCCTCAAAGGAGGAAGGGCTCACTAAGGGAGGCTGGCAGGTAGAGGGAAGCCTCGCTGAGCTTAGCCTTACCTCGGGCTCGGTTTGTCTTTATTTTCTTTTAAGATCACTTAAAAGTCTTGGAATGTTTGTGATCATCAATAGTTTCCACCTAGGTACTCTCACAGAGCTAGGAGACTGGCAATCCCTGTAAAAAACATCTTGGATCCATCTTGTCATATTAAAATCTGGATATTTGGGGAGAAGGCTTCTAACCAAAAAGCAGTGAATAGGATCTCCATAAAACTATCTCTAATTTCAGTCTTAGCACTGGCCTCCTAACTCAGCCCTGCTGAGTAACAGCTCCCCTGCCACCCTCATCCCCTGCAGCCTCTTTCCCACCTAGACCTGGCCTTGGGGACTGTGAGGTGTCATTCTGGCTTATGCATCACCCTCATCTTATGGGTGAGGTTGGGCAGAGGTTTGCCCGGTTTTCCAGCTTTCTGTCTAACCATCCCCGCCTGGTCTGCCTCCTGCCACCAGCCTCACGTTGCCACGGCTCACGTTGCTCTATCTTGCCACCTCCTTGCTCAAGAACGCAGGATGGTTCCCTCCTCACCTGTCAGATCCTGCTCGGCCTCAAAACCTGCTCTCCCCAGCTCTGTTCTACTGCTCCATTCCTGCACTCTGCTTGGGCTGCTTTTATGTGATTCATTTCTCACCTCCAAGCTTGTGTTCGTGCTGGACCTCACGTTCAGAGCCTAGGGAGCCAGGTCCCTCAAATCTGACCACATCTCCAGACTCAGCTTACCTTCCCTCCCTCCCTCCCTCCCTCCCTCCCTCCCTCCCTCCCTCCCTCCCTCCCTCCCTTTTCTTTCTTTCTATGGGGAAGGGAGGGAGAAAGAGAGGGAGGTAAACATCAGTGTGTGAGAGACACAGATTGGTTGCCTCTCACGCGCCCCTGGCTGGGCACCCTGCCTGCAACCCAGGCATGTGCCCTAGCTGGGAACTGAACCTGCTACCCTTTGGTTTTCAGGCCAGCACTTCATTCACTGAGCCATACCCTCTGGGGCACCTCACCTGTTCTGTAAAGCCTTCTCTGATTGCACCGAGGCACGTTAATTTCTAAGTTTCTCGGAGCTCCTAGGCTCCTGATCTGCATCACATTTTCATGATTTGTCCCCTACTTCAGTGGTTCTCAAGCTTCTTGATCTCAAACACCTTCAGACTCTTGAACATTATTGAGGATCCCAAAAGGCTTTATTTATGGGGGTTATACTTATCGATATTGACTGTGTTAACAGCTAAAACTAAAAAAAGTAAAATATTTATTAATTCATTGAAAAATAGTATCTTATTATATGTTAACATTTTAAAAATGAAAAATAACTATTTTTGGGACAAAAACTTTAGGGAGAAGCACTAAATGCATGGCCTGATAGAAGACTGGCTTCTCACATCTAGTGTTTTAAGTCAGTCGCGGGATGTCCTTCTTACTGACGTATATAAAGATAATTCAGCCTTACACAGATACATAGTTGAAAAATGGAGGAACATTTCAATAGCCTTTCCAAATATTGCGGATATTCCTCTTTGATATTACATTGAAACTTGACAAGCACAGAGACTTTCTTGCTTTTGGCAACCAGGTAACACATGTTTTTTTTCCAAGTTGAGTCAGTTATGTCTCAGTACCTCAAAAAGTCAGTTCATCCCAATGAGTTTGTCACTGGCTGCCTCATAGGCTTTGAAGTTCTACTTTCACATACACTTGTAGTGATGACCAGTTAGGTAGGGGGAACCCGGACATGTGCCACTCTCTATACTCAGTACTTTCCGGCGGGATATTATTTATTGTAAAGATGAAAATAAAACAACATGAGCTGACGAGAGTAACATCTGTCTTACCGTTGATCACGGGAATGGATTGATTGATTGACTGATTGCTCCTTTGGTAGAGTTGTGTTGTCCTCCAACCTGCCCTGGAGGAGCCATTGGTTCGTGATCTTCCCGCTGAGAGCGGCTGAGACAGAACATGCTCTAGATTTCTTCATGGGCCTCTTTCTCTGTGTGCTCATTGGGGAAAGGAGATTGTTCTGTTCTTTGTTTTCATCTTCTTGCCCTCTGTGCCCACCCTTCCCTGTCCCTTTTTTCCCTGGCTGTACCTGGCTCTCCAGACCCCAGCCCAGCTGGTGGTTGGGCGGGGGCAGGGTATGTGTGCGTGACACATCGAGTTTCTCTTTTTATATTTTATTCATCATTACAGTGTGTTTGGGCAGAAGGAATCCTCAGCATATAAATTCACTTCAGCTTTCCCTGTTAGTGTTTTAAATGGGGAAGAGACTTGTAGTTTGCCAAAGTGCCTCACTGCTTTTTTCATTCCCCCAGGGTGTTTTTGCATCCTCCCCACGATGAAGGGACTCGAGAGTGTGGCTGGCTATGGCTTATAGCTGTACAATCACCCTGAGCTAATGACTGAGCAGGCCACTCAATGTGTCCGGCTATATTATGATGCGCTGAATGTTTGTTTTCTATTTCCTTCTGTGTTGTGGTTAATGTACAGTAAATGTCACAGTACTTCCTCCTGCATTATCTTTTTTCTCTTGCCTTATAGACTGTTCTAGAAAAACTGGAAGGAGAGTTACAAGAAGCCAACCAGAACCATCAGGCATTGAAGAAAAGCTTCCTAGAACTAACTGAACTCAAATATCTCCTGAAGAAAACCCAGGACTTTTTTGAGGTCATTATTTGGGGACCGTTAGTAAAAGGGCCCTTCCCCTCACACCCAGAGCCTCATTTTTCTATTTTGAAAACTGGCTGGTTTGGAATATGAACGAATTCTCGTTTCTGCCCCATGGCTAGGCCACTGGTGAGCGGGAGAGTGTGCTGGGTACAGTAACTGGTGTTGGTTGAATTAAATGCAAATGGAATGATATAATATTATTAAAAAGAATGTGTCCCAAATGGCCAAGATGGAAGTGGAAATCAGAATAAAGCACAACAGTTAGTTTGAGCAGGTTTGGGATTTTGGAAGGATGAGATCAGGGAACCTTTTTGATCTGGCAAGGAGCACTCTGCTTTTTGAATTCTGTTCATTATTTGAAGAAAATTAAAGCTTCCTTTAAAACAGAAGAGACCTTGAGGTATGGGGTGCTTTTAAGGTAGTTTAAATACAGTTACTAAACACAAATGTTGATTGTCTAACTTTCAGACGGAAACCAACTTGCCGGATGATTTCTTCACTGAAGACACTTCGGGCCTCCTGGAGTTGAGAGCCATGCCGGCGTACATGAGCGGGAAGCTGGGGTAGCGTAACTCTGCTTCAACAGTGAGGCGACAACCGGTCCTGGGTTGGCAGCCCAGTGCCCGGCGTGTTGATAGATCTCCCAGAGTGTTTGAATGAATGAATGAATAACAAATAGCCACTGGAATGAGAACAAGTCCACGTGAATTACTCCATACAGTAGTAAACCAAGTGCGACCTTAGTGGGTTGTCAGGGTTGCAGGTTCTGTTACCTTGTTAGTGGCGACACCAACATTCTTGAGCCAGGAGAGTGCGATGTTTGTTTTGTCCCCACATGGGAAAGATGTGGGGGTTAATCATTTCAGGTTTGTTTTTTTTTTTAAACTGTTCCCTGGCTTTGGAACAAGGTTTATGGGATATATGTTTTTTCTTTCAGTTGGAAATTTTTATTTGATAAAATAGATTTGGACTTTGAGTTGAAGTGCAGTTAGAAATGGGGTAGTGAAGCAATCAACTCATTCACAAGTAGTGGTGCTACAATGCGCTTGTACCCATCGAAATGTGTGGCGATCCAAAATGGTCGGATTTCACCCAGTGTCCAAGTAAAATTGGTAAATTGCTCAAAGTGCTGAGTTTTGCAGTTCTGGTTTTTTATTCCATAGCTACTGGATGACCTGCTATTTAGGTACTGGGCATTGAATTCAGAATGGAAAGAAAAAAATATTTATTGAAAATATTTGACCAGAAAGTAATAGAGGATCAACATACATTTAAAAAAACCCAGACCATTGAAAGGTGCCATCCTTAAGGTTAATGTGTAGGGTTTGGGTTAGAAATTATCTAGATACTTGGAAGCTGGTAAAAGTAAAGATGTATGCAAATCCATGGGTATGTTTCACTCTTAGTATATTATTTGTAGACATACACAGAGACCATGCGGAGCATTTTGAATATCTACTGCCTTCAGCTACAATGCTATTTATAATAAAGGGTCTGTCATATTTGTAATTGCAAATAATTGAATACATAGTATTGGGATGGTTAAGGAAACCTCACCCTGTCAAAGAAAACAGGAGGTCACAAGGGACTTAGGGAAAGTTAGGGCCAGGAGGCAGGGCAGCCTTGTGACCTCTGCCAGTAGACCTGTCCCAGCATCTCCTGCCCAGAAGGAAGTGGCCCTTCGGGGGCTTCACCTCTTTGTGTCTTCCAGAGCCTTCTCCCTGCACCCCGCTGCCCGTACCTCAGTAACGCTGCCTCTTCTGCCTGTTGACCCCAGGTTCACCGCCGGCGTGATAAATAGGGAGAGGATGGCTTCCTTTGAGAGGCTGCTGTGGCGAGTTTGCCGGGGAAACATCTACCTGAAGTTCAGTGAGATGGACGTGGTCCTGGAGGATCCTGTCACGGTGCGTATCTCAGGCGGCAGCGGACTTTCCCCCCAGATTGTCTGGGGCCTCCCCAGAGGGGCTCTGTTCCTGCAGACGCCGAGTCTTTGGCTCTGTGAAACCAGTATCTATTTCCTTACTTTCTCTTTATTCCTTTCTTATTCCTTTCAAAGAGATTCTTATTAATACCTCATTCCTTCAGGAAATTTAGCTATATTCCATCCGCGCTAGACAGCAGCTGTGTCTTAATCACAACGAACTAAACTGCTTCCGGCCAGTGTGCCTCAACCTTTGGTGTGCACACGAGCATGAGAATGACCTGGCGGCCCTGGCGGGCGTGGCTCAGTGGGTCGGGCATCTTCCCACAAAGCAAAAGGTGGCCTGTTCAAGTCCCGGTCAGGGCACATGCCTGGGTTGTCCCCAGTGGGGGGCCTCCTAGAGGCAACTGATCCATGTTTTACTCTCTCTTTCTCCCTCCCTTCCCTGTCTCTAAAAATAAATAAATAAAATCTTAAAAAAGAATGACCTGGGGAATCTAGTTAAAATGCAAATTCTGCTTCAGTGGGTCTGTGTGGGGCTTGAGAGACTCCGTTTTTAACAAGCTTACCGATGCTGGTAGTCAGCAAACCACACGCTTCCAATGAGGATGTCGAGGGTGGGCTTCCTTGAGTGACACGCGTTCGTTGCTATTAACTGCGTAGGGCCTCTAGCCTTCCGGCTGGTATTTAAAGCCACTTACACTTTGATTCTGAGAAACCAGGCTTATTCCTAAAAGTCTTCGTCTTTTCCAGAGTAAAGGCTTTTAAATTTTGTTTTATAGAAAACACTTTTGTAGTTAAATAAAATTTAAAATAAGATGAAAACTCCTCTGGATGTGTACTTGTTTGTTCATGCGTCTCTCAAGTAAAGGGCTTAGAGCTGAATACATGGCCCAGCTGCGATCCAGCCAGTGGAAGGGATAGTGGGGTCGCCCCTTTAGGGCTGCACTGGCCGCCCTGCAGCCCCACACGGCCTGCCTCGGTGGCCTTGACCTCGGCCATCATGGCTATGGACTCACGTCGACTGGGAGAAGTTGAAGTTTCCAGTTTTACATATATATATATTTAACAAACATATTTATATATTTAAACATTTATGTAAATAATATATTTACATAATTAATTATTTGCATAAGTATTTAAATATATCTAAGTACATTTATACTTATAAATATATCTAAATATATTTAATTATAAATATAAACATATATTTAATAATAAATAATGACAAAATATATAATATATAAAATAATAATATACAATAACATAATATATAATAACGACATATAATAATATAATAATATGTAATATATATAATAACATAATATATAATAATATATAATATAATACTAATAATATATACTAAATATGTTATTTAAAACTTAAAAACAGAATTTCACATTTTGATTATAGTCTAACTAGAAAGAAAAATTGATTTTTTATTTTTTACTTGTTTGGATTTTTCAGAAAGAAGAAATTAAAAAGAACATGTTCATCATCTTTTATCAGGGAGAGCAGCTCAGACAGAAGATCAAGAAGATCTGTGAGGGGTAAGAGGGGGGTAGGGGGGCGGGGGCGTTGTGGGGGCGTCGGTGGCTCTCCCGCTGGCGAGGCGGGCGGGGCCGGGTCGGCGGGCGCACAGTGGGAAGCTGACGGTCGGGCCGCGTTGAGGTCCATTTAGGGATTTAGAGTAACTTTCCCATGTGTGACGAGAGTATGAAAAATGCACCTGACTTTTCTGAATTTATTTTTTATTTGTTTTCCCATTGCCATTTATCCCCCTTATACCCTTTCCCACCTCCTCCGCCCCCTCCCCCCTGCAATCACCACAGTGTTGTTGGTGATCTTGAGTCCTTTTTTTTTTTTTTTGCAACTGACTTTTAATAGCTGTAGGAGTGGGAACAGAAAGGACTTAAATAGACCACATTGAACGGTAACTAAAAGTGGACGTTTTAACCATTTGAGTTCATCCCTGCTCTCAGGCAAACCGCATGCTAGGCTGTTTCTGATGTTAACAGAATCATCGCATATCCAGCCCCTTAGGGGCAGAAATTACTCAGGAAAGAAGGACGTGACTGCGCTAATAAGTTCAGGGGGAAAAGAGGGACAAGTTAAGCTTGCAGTCTTATTTACATAACAGCTCACAGCCCTTACTGGTGGAATGAAGCTCATTCCTGTTATAGAACCTCAGCTTTAATTCAAATTGTACGAGCTGTGTGGTGGGAACCCTTATAATGCAGTTCATTTATTGACGGCCGCAGAGGGAGTTATTCCAGGAAAAGGTGGCCTCTCACCAAACGCAGTAAATAGCGATGTAGCAGACGAGGACATGCAGAACACTTTCGAGCAGTAACCACATGTCCCTTTGGAATGCATTAAACACAGGTTTCGAGCCACCATATACCCCTGCCCAGAGCCTGCGGCGGAGCGCAGAGAGATGCTGGCTGGTGTCAACCTGAGGCTGGAGGATTTAGTCACTGTGAGTGAGGGGTGTAGACGCATGGCCTGAGAGGTGCTGCCGCCGGGGCCACCTCTGCGTTGCCGAATAAGTCCTGCCCTCTGGGGCGCTGGCTGGAAACCAGGTGGAATGCTTGTTCTGCCTTCCAGCTCGAGGAGCAGCAGATTTCGCAATTAAGACACTGTTCCCTAGGCTGGAGACGATGATCCTTCATGTGAGTGATGCTTTGGCTGGGGTTGGAACTGACCACACCCCAAGGCCACCTTGGTCTGAAAAAAAGGAGCCCTTTATCGCCAGCCTGGCCTCATCTGTTATATAACTAACTAGCCAATTAAATGGAACAACCAGTCTGGTTCTTTTTCTGCTGAATTGCCTAGTTGCTTGAGTCAACCAATTACTTCTGTAAAAACAGTCTGGTTTCGCCATGTGAACACGTCCCAGATTCAGATCTTGTGAAGTCTGTTGTCACCTAGGGTGGCTCTCTTCACTTGTATGATTAGTACACTTCCTTTAATAAACTTTGAATGTGCTCACATTCAAAACAGCTGGTCCCTCTCCTACGGTGAATTCGACATCCATGCTGTCCAGAACTTTCTGTGGTGGTAGAAATGTCATATAACCTACGAGTCCGATGCGATTGCCGTGCGCCACACGTGACTGTTGTGCACTTGGAACATGGCTGTGCAACTGAGAAACTGAATTTTTATTGAATTTTAAAAAAATTCTCCGAGGATATATGTGTTTATTGATTCTAGAGAGAGAGGGAGGGGAGGGGGAGAGAGAGAAAGAGAACAAAACATCGATGTGAGAGAGAAGCATTGATTTTTTTTGCCTCCCAAATGCACTCCAACTAGAGATCAAACCCACAACCTAGGTATTCCATACACCAAAAGATCTCAGGTTTGATTCCCGGTCAGGACTATTTTTGTTTAATTTTAATTGAATTTAAATTCTAGTAGCTCCATGTGGCTGGTGTATTGATCAGCACAATCTAGATCCTCAATGACTGTCTTTAGAAATTATGTGTGTTTCAAAACTCCTAGGCTAACAGACATCCTAAGTGCCTCAGAAAAATCTGCGTTTGATGTCTTTAATCCTCTTTATTCCCCCTTTGTCACTTGTCAAGGAGACTATTTCCCTGAAGCAGTTTCCCGTGAGGCCCTTTCCCCCAAATGCCTCCATAGGAGAAGGAACAGAGGCTATCCTGAACTTTATGTTTCGATGACTTGGGTGGCCCTGTATAAAGGTTACCTATTTTTTCACCAGGACAAAAACTAACTCCATTAAATAAATTCTCTGTGGGCCAAATCGTCCATTCATTGCTTCATTCGTTAATTCATTGCCATTTGCTGGGGAGATTATGAATGTAAAGCATTTTAACAAGCAGATCAGTTTCCTGTAACTAACTACCATAAACTGGGTGGCTTAAAACAACAGAGACTCACTGTCACAATTCCAGAGGCTGGAAGTCTGCGAGCAAGGTGACAGCAGACATGCTTCCTCGGGAGGCTCTAGGATAAGATCCTTCCTTGCCTGCTCTGCTCTGCTCTAAATCTTTGGGTTTCCCCCAAATTCCTATGTTGAAAATCCAGTGCTGCCCTGGCCGGTGTGGTTCAGTGGACTGAGTGCCAGCCTGCGAACTGACAGGTCGTCGGTTCGATTCCCATTGGAGCACATGCCTGGGTTGCAGACCAGGTCTCCCGATGGGAGCATGCAGGAGGCAACTGATCGATGTGTGTCTCGCACACTGATGTTTCGCTCCCTCTCTTTTTCCCTTCCTTCCCCTCTCTCTCAAAACAACACCAACAAGGAAACCCCAATGCTGAAGGTGATAGTATTAGGAGGTGGGGCTTGTGGGAGGTGATTAGGTTATGAGGGCAAAGCCCTTATGAATGGGATTCATGTCCTTCTGAAAGGAGTCCCCAAGGGCTTGCTTGCCCATCCCCCCACACGAGGATAGAACTTGAAGTGAGCAACCCAGCAGTGGGCCCTCACTTAACCACGCTGGCACCCTGATCTCTTCCCGCCTCTAGTGAGAATGAATTTCGGTTGTTTGTAAGCCTCCCCGTCTATGGTGTTTTATTACAGCAGCCCTACTGGACGAGGGCGTCTTCAGCTCTTGGCTTTCCTTGGTTTGCTGAGGGGTCACTCCAGCCTCCCCTCCATCACATAGATGTTCTTCCCGCTGTGTGCCACTGTCGAGATTGCTTACCAGGATGCCCGTCAGAGTGGAGCAAGCCACCCTACTCCAGTTTGACCTCATTTTAACATGATTGCATCTGCAAAGACCCTATTTCCAAATAAGATCATCTTCACAGTGGCCAGGGATGAGGACTTAACCTATTATGCAGGGAGACAGGATTCCACTCATAATGATAGAGCTGGAAGGAATTTAGAAGAAAAGCATTTTGCCTAAGGGTTTGAAACTCGGGGGGCTACGCTGCTCATGAAAGTTAAAGGCCAGAGGAGGGGGCCCGCCGCAAAGGAAGCCGCTGCGGCTGACAAACCCCCAGCCTTGCAGCTTTGCCAGACGTTCCCATGAGCGTTCCTTGTTTTTTTGCCCAGGTTATAACACAGACAGAGTCTCACCGGCAGAGACTCCTGCAAGAAGCAGCTGCCAGCTGGCACTCCTGGGTCATCAAGGTGCAGAAGATGAAGGCCATTTACCACATCCTGAACATGTGCAACATCGACGTCACCCAGCAGTGCGTCATCGCCGAGATCTGGTTCCCGGTGGCAGACACCGGGCGCATCAAGAAGGCGTTGGGGCAAGGCATGGTGAGTGGCGGGTGCAGCAGGGAAGGCAGAGGGTCAGTCACGTCCAGCCGGGGCAGCGCCCCACCTAAGTCACGTGACCGTCACAAGCAGCTTGCTGGTAGGGCTGTCACCTTCATCTTTGTATCTTCAGTTTGTAACCCGGTGGCAGGGCACGCATCAGGAACCCCTTTTCTTCTTAGCATTTGACAGTTATTCGCCGTTCCTTTCATCTTCAGCAAGTGTGTAGTGAGCGCTGATGTGCCAGTCGCCCTGCTTGTTCTGACTGTGGCCCCACAGTTCAATGTGACTGTAGGTCCCAGCCTCTGCCTCATGGAGTCACAGTCTACCTGGGAAGAAATATAAGAAGTCACCTGTAACAGCAGCCACAGGAGTGGGGGCTCCCAGCGTCCTGCCTCTCACGGTGCTTGTCGTTCACCTCTCCTGAGGTTCGCCGTGCACCAGGGCCGAGGGCTCTGCTGGCCTTTCTAGAAAGGCAGACAGGAAGCCTCCCCATCACTAGTGCGATTTCAGGCTCTGCCCTAAATAGTACAAGGTGGCCAAACACACGACACCTGACACTGGACAGAGGAGTTTGGCAGCAGTTTACTAGTCACACATACCCAGGGGAGAAGGACACTCCAGGTCACACAGAGCCACGTGGAAGCTGCACTTGGGACCTATACTGGGAAGCAGAGTGAAGCGGCAGGGGCTAAGGGGGCAGGCTTTGTAGTGATGGCGGGGGGGGGGGGGCCTGGTTTCCATGGGAGGATGTGATTAGCTTGTTTTAATCATCTGGGAGGCGAAACCCATTAGGCGGAAGCCCAGACAATGTGCAAGTGGCCTGGCTGGCAGGGGGACACGCTGGCCGAGGAGCCTGGCCTGCTGGGTGGGTGGCTTATCTGGTGAGACCAGAGGGACTCGTGGCTTGGCCTCTGGGGCCCTGTGAGACTCAATGATGTCACAGCAGCACTTGAACTTGTAGGTCTTATAGTGCTGTTGTAGGGCTCTTGGTAGAGAGGGGCCCCTCTGAACAGATAGCATCGGAGCGGTGTCCTTAAATGTCAGGGGGTGGGTAGGAGAAAGAGCTTTCAGGCTGAACGCGTCTGAAGGTAAAGGGCTTGGGGATGAATGCGCCTGAGAGAGAGGAGCTATCTTTGTCCCGTTTATGTAGATGAGGAAACTGAGGCCTGAGGAGTGGAAGTAACCTGACTACGGTCCTGTAGCCAGGAGACAGGATTTGAATGTCTTCACATCATGGTCCGATAACTACCCACATGGGGCATTTATGGAGAGCATTTAGCTCAGACTGGGATGGGCAGGGGCCTTCCTGGAGGAGGTAACGCAGGAGCTGAACCGAGGAAGGGTGGTCCGAGAGAGGTGGGGAGGAGCGTGCAGAGCGGGCCCCCCTGCAGACTGGCAGCTGGAAAGAGGGCTCAGTGGCTGGGGGAATGGGAAGGAGGTTGGGGAGGCTGCGGGCAGGTCCCCAGGACCACCTGGCGGTGTGGGGGAGCTGGTTTCATTCCCATCTTGGGTGACAGGATCCAGTTTGTGGAGAAGAGTGCAGGGCCATCGGGGAGGAGCTTTCCAAATGCAAGGGTTTAACTGAGCAGTGTCATCTGTAGTCAGGAAGGGGTCCGACTGCTGCAAGGCTGCTGAGGGCTTTTACAGCATCTTCATCCTCTGAAATAATCCAAGTGTTTCCGCAGGTAGGAGCAGAAGGCCGTAAGGGGGTAGGAGATGAGACAAGTGTAGGGGGACAGGTATTCTGATCACCAATGAACAAAAAATATAATACTTGGAGCCACGGCCGGGTAGGTCAGTTGGTTAGAGCACGGCCCTAATACACTGAGGTGGCGGGTTTGATCCCCAGTCAGGGCACATGCAAGAATCAGCCAATGAATGTATAAATAAGTGGAACAGCAAATCGATGTCAGTCGCTCCCCCCGCACCATCTCTCTAAAATCAATAAGTAAAAATTAAAAAAAAATACTTCAGTTATGCTACTATTACATCTGCTGCTGCTGGAGGGCATGTTGGAAACAAAGGAGGAAGCCATAGGCCTTGGCCTCAGGGATGTTGTAATCACACCCATGGAAGGCAGAGAATCACAGAGTGAGGCGCTCCTCTACTTGCGGAGGTTGCTTAACCTCTCTGTGCCTTCGGCTCCTCATCCCTGACGTGGGGCTGTGGCACCGCCCGGTGGCGCGGCAGGAGGACTGGCGAGCACTCGGGAAGCTGGCGCTAAGTCCCACTGAGGGTGCAGGTGGCAAACGCTGTTGGGGCTTGGAGTGACCAGAAGGTTCCTGGGGAGTGAACTTGGAGAGTGGTTCACACGTGGGCCAGCGAACAAGGGAGGGGGCTGTGTGGGGTTGGCTGATGTCCACGGAGAAGCTGTGGGGTGCAGGTGTAAATGGAGGATTAAATCAGTGGTGTAAAGAAGGCTTGATTACAAGGCAAAAGAGTTCTGGGTTCATTCTTTAGGTAATAGGAAGCCTTTGAGGGTTTCTGAGTAGGAGGGTAACGTGACTACAGTCATGCTTTTTGTTTGTTTCGTTTTATTAAAAGAAGGATCACACAGTCTGGAGTTTCAGGTAAATAAATGCAAAGGAAAGAGATGGGGGAAGATATGGGGGTGGGGCCTGGCTGGTGGCGGTGGCAATGGGAGGGAGAGGGATTTGAAAGGGACAGTTAGCAAGACTGGGAGTCTGGTTGATTGAATCAGGAGAAGGGAAAAGTCTTTGGATTCCAGAGTCTAAGGGGTTTAGAGGACAGAGACTGTTGAAGGACCAGCCTGGCTTTAGGGCAAGTTGATGCCATTCAGTTCTAGCCTCCTGGGATACATGGGGTTGCTGAGGCGGGAGAGTCGGAAAGCCCAGGCAAGCAATTACAAAAGAATCTAAATTTGGAAGAGGGTCGGGGCCATGTGGAAGACTGAAATGAAATTTGGAAAGGGGATGAATTCTTGAGGGTCGGTGGAGAGAAAGGAAGGGTAGAGGCCCAGGACCGAGGCCTGAATATGCATTTCCAGAGCAGGAGAATGGGAATGGCCAGAGAATCAGGAGCAGCCCTCCTCTCTTGGCAACTGTCCTGTAAGGTGAGTTAGGTAGGTAGTAGGAAGGTATGAGCTGTTACAGGAGAGATCACGAGTCTCAGAGAGGTCCGGGAATCACCCCGCGTTCACCCAGTAAGTGGTGGCAGAGGCTGGCCTGTGACCCGCGGGCTGCTGCCCAGCCCAAGGCTCTCCTCCTGACGTTTCTGTCACGTGCTCTTTTTGCAGGAACTAAGTGGCTCCTCCATGGCTCCCATCTTGACAGCAGTGCAATCTAAGACAGCTCCTCCCACGTTTAACAGGACCAATAAATTCACAGCCGGCTTCCAGAATATTGTAGATGCCTATGGTGTGGGCAATTACCGGGAGATGAACCCAGGTAAAGGGCCTGACAGGTGGCATGCCCGAGCACCTTGAGAAATGAAAGTTGGGTAAGATTTACCCCTGCAGGGGCAGTCTCGGAGGTGACTTGCTTAAAACAGTGACTTCCATAAAGTCTCTTTTGGTTTGTGAGTGCTCTGCATTGTCTTCTGGAAAGGTGGTTAGTGAAAGGTTTGTTCCTTGTCAAGATTTCCCCTGTTCTCCCTTACACTACAGCCTTATCAGTAGCCAGATTTGGTTCTTGTTTCCTTAACAATTCAGTGAGGGTCATCTGTAGCCATCTTCTCAGTCTCAGAGTTGTGTGGGAGAGAGGGAACACACAGAACTTGGAGTCAGAAGATTGCATCCTTAGTGATATAAAGCGTGATATTGGTAACCTGGTTTGTACAATAAAGGGGTCGACCAGATGGCCGTTAGCCAAACGGTTCATGATGCTGTTCTTCTCTGGCCTGAGTCCCAGCCTAATTTATGACCCATAATGCAGGGGCCCCATAGGTTGAGGGTCTGCTGAGTAACTACTGAAGGTATGTGGTACGTGTGAGTGGGAGAGAAACTGATACACGATGGTAGTGGAAAGAAAATAGAAAGCACTTAGAAAACCGATTTTAAATCCCATTAAACTTTGTGACCTTGGGCAAGTCACTTAACCGCTTCCAAACTCAGTTTATCTGTAAAGCGGGGAATAATAACATTTACTTGTTGAAGAGCTAATGTGTGTGGGAGCTAAGCCAGTGTCAGGGGCGCAGATGTTGAGAGATGACAGGATCAGGAGGACACCAGGGAGCCCTCATATCACGAGAAGTGAAAGAGAGAGAGACATCTTTAACGGGGAGCCCAAAGGATTGTTGGGAAAACTCAGGCTGGTGCGGGTCTCACCTCTGCAGCTCCCTACACCATCATCACCTTCCCCTTCCTGTTCGCGGTGATGTTTGGAGACTGTGGCCACGGGACTGTGATGCTACTGGCAGCCCTTTGGATGGTCCTCAACGAGAGGCACTTGCTCGCCCAGAAGACAGACAATGAGGTGGGTGTCCGTCAAATGTCTCCCCTCATTCCCTCAGGATTATAAGTAGAATATTAAAAATGTGTGTGTGGTTTTCACTGCAGAAATAACATGTTTTGGGAAAAGTAAGGGGAAAATGGAAAGTAAAAAAGGGCCAAAATTCAACATAAAAACTCCTGGCCAAAGGTATATCCTTTGATGGTTTGGTACAGTTCCTTTTAGCATTTTTATTTTGTTTTGTTTTTTGTACATTGCTTGGCAAGGTATTGATTTTTGTTTTTCTAACATTGATTTTTTTTTCTTTGATTATGAAAGCAATACACTCCCATTTAAAAATTAGGATAATGCAGCAATATACTTAGAAAAACAATACAATTAATGTTTTTGTATCATCTTTCCAGTTTCTTTTCTGTGCTTATACAAAAATATAGAATTTTCAAAAATTGGGATCAAATAGTGCATATTAATTTGTAGCCTCCTTTTTTATCACTTAAAATATCACAAATAGTATTTTATGACCAAACCCTTTTCCTACAAGCCCATCATCAGTGTCCTTATGAAACACCAAGAAATCCCAAATACTGTGATTTTCATTTGTACACTTGAAGTTTTTACACCTTCAATGAAGCTCCTTCACAGAGTGATGTGCGTGTGAAGGTTGAGGCAACTCAAGAGTCTGCATTGTTTCCAAGTTAATCAGCTGGGGTCACTTTATGGCCACTGTTTCCTACCTTTTACAAAGTGGAAACATGCCTTTAGCTATGTTCTGAATTTTAAGACTATCTGCAATCTTTTTTTTCAGGTTGACTTAGCTAGAGCTAGTTCAGTGATGTCATGGTGAGTTAATCATAAGCCAGGTTAGTGATAAATCAACCTATGACCAATATAGTTTTTCACAACACGCATTTTAATAGATGTGGTTTCCTGTAATAAATATTCGAAATCTCCAAGTCACGCTCAGCAGCTCTGTGGCAGGTTGCTGTGTATCGCCCAGTATCGGGGAAAGCACTTTCTCTTCTTAGTGAGTGGTCTTGGCAACTCAACTTTATAATAAAGACCCAAAATGAGTGTAGATTTGACTTGCTATAAAATTTAGCAGCCGTGTGAAGCCAGCTCATTGCTTACCTTCTGGGAGGATTGAGACAACAGCCACCCATTTTCAAGTCCCCTCTTTTATAGGTGAGGCCTCAGTTTCCGCTTTAGTTACTTTTTCTAGCCAAGGATGAATGAAAGAATATGAGGCTTAGAATGGCTTTTGATCAAAAAGACCAAGCTTGGCCCTGGCCACCTAGCTCATTTGGTTAGAGTGGCATCCTGATATACCAAGGTTACAGGTTCAATCCCCGGGAAGGGCACATAAAAGAATCAACCAACAAATGTGTAAATAAGTAGATCAACAAAGTGGTCTTCCTTCCCTTCCCTTCCCATCCCTTCCCTTCCCTTCCCTTCCCTCTTTCTTTCCTCCCTCCCTCCCTCCCTTCCTTTCTTTCTCTCTCCCCCCAACCTCTAAAATCAATCAAAAAAAGCCCTTTCCAGTATGGCTCGGTTGGTTGGATCATTGCCCCATACACCAAAAGGTTGAGGGTTTGATTCCCAATCAGGGTCCTAGGTTACAAGTTTGATCCTCGGTCATGGTGCATACGGGAGGCAGCCGATGTTTCTCTTTCATATCGATGTTTCTCTCCCTCTCCCCAACTCCCACTCTCTCTAAAATCAATAAACATATTTAAAAATAAAATAAAAGTAATCCTTCCCTCCAAAAAAGAATATGATGCTTATATGTTTTGTTTCCATAGTAGCAGCTACCAGTCTAGGACTTCTCTAATTCACCGATAGAAGCTCAGGAAAATCATGATGCATATGCTCTCTTGCTTTTGGGTCTTGTTGATGTCTGCATCATCATGTGGTCCCTCTGGACAGGCCCCACGTGCCTGGCCGTGGAGGCGTCCTATAACACACCCCCCCGGGGCCTGGGTCACAGCTCCCTGACCGTGGTCCCCTCTGTCTCCCTGTGGCAGATCTGGAACACCTTCTTCCACGGGCGCTATCTCATCCTCCTCATGGGCATCTTTTCCATCTACACGGGCTTCATTTACAACGACTGCTTCTCCAAGGCTTTCAACATCTTTGGCTCTTCTTGGAGCGTCCGACCCATGTTTAGAAATGGCACGTGGAGGTAAGTTCACAGACAGAGGTGGGTCGTTCCCTGGCCATCCAGGTGGCCTCAGTGACAGCTTTTGTGGCTGGGTGAATCTACCCCTGGCTCCGCTCAGGGGTACACCTACAAAGTCAACAAATAATTCTGTTTTCTCAACTGAGCACAAGACCTAGCGCCATGTCCTCAGTACCTGTGCTGGTAACTGTAATGCATGGAAATAGGTTTTAAAACTTAAATTCAGCTAAGTCTATATCATGGAACGCGTGCTATGCACCAGGCACTTTTGTGAAAACAAGGACAGCAAGGTATAAACTGGGCATCCTAGCAGTCGTAGAAGCAGGCTTCCTGAAGGAGAAGGGGGCATGTAAAAGGCTCCGTGCTCTGGTGGGGAACCGGAGTGAGTGTGAAGTGATGCATGCATGCACTTAGGATTGTTGGTTGTGGTTCTGTGAACAATGCCCCTGGTATCTTGAGAGGGATTGCACTGAATCTATAGATTGCTTGGGTTGTATGGATGTTTTAGTGATGCTAATTCTTCCTGTCCATGAGCACAGTATATTCCTCCACTTACTTGACATCCATGGACGTAGGACTTAGGCTTCGCTTTAATAAAGGCCGGTGCAGGGACTGAACTAGAGAAGATTGGTTTCTAGTATGCAAGGCTCTATACTCAGCAGAAGGGCATTTTCTTTAACTGCCAGGCAGCTTGTTAAAAGCAAAGGAGGAGATGGTTAGTTTTGCAATCCTGGTTCCCCGTATTCGCCTTGTGAGCAATGGGGTGAGGCGGGCACAGGTAAGTGGGGAGGGCAGGTGGGGCGGCTGCTGAGATGCGTTGGCTGCAGACAAGTGAGACCTGGGCGCTCTCCACACCCCCGCCAGCCACATCTCCATAGGCATCGCACGATTCTTTTGTGCAGCTAATCAGGTCAACAGGCATCAGAAGGGAAACACAGCCTTTCAGGAATGGAAACTTCTGTGGGGAGGGGGAAAGACTTTTGAGTTTGAGAGGTAGGTCAGTTGGAGCAAGGGCAGTGGGGGAGAGGGGACTGCAAAGGACACAAATAGAAACCACGGCAACTCTGTGATCTTCAGCTGCCCGCATCACGCACACATGTGAGGTACTAACCACAGTAGTTTCAGGGCTAATTTGCAAGGCCTAGAAGTCACAGGTGATGTTCCCTCACCCAGCTTCCTTAAGTCAGGTTGAGGTTTCTCTGTCTAATTCTGTAACTTCCAGCTGAAAGTAGGACAGGAGAGGACCAGAGGGAAGCGGAGACAGAGATGTGTAAATGTTTTTGCAACGTTGCATCCCATTGTTCCTCTCCTGGGCAGGGTAGGACTCTAAAATTTCTATTTAGGGTATTTCAAGGTTTTTACCTGCTCCCTGAAATCTTCTAACATCATCAAGGGCAGGGGGAGAATAAGAATAAACAATCAGTGGGTTTTTCAGTAGAATAGATTCAGTCCGGCATTCTGTCTGACTCAGAGCGCTCCCAAGTGCATTGGAAGGGCTCGGTGCTGACGCAGGCACAGGAGGCTCAGAGGGCTGCCACGGTGTGGCTGGGCCACGGAGTTTCAGTGCCTTCCCCTTTAGTTTCTCTGCTGGTAGAGAACAGGAATATCAAACAAATAAATCAATAGAATAAAGAATAAAATATTTTACGGAATTACAGATGGCTGTATTTACAGTATTTTCTGCCTTTTCGTTTGTTTTTTTTTGGTTTTGCAATTAGTATCCTGAAGAGATACCTAGAGGAACAATACTTTTATAAACTTAAATATAAATTATTTAGTTCTGCTCTTCAGATTGAAACTTACAAGCACAGCGATGGACTTTGAAATGTGTTAAACCAGCGCAATTTCGCCAAACTACCGACACAAAATTTTATTTCCCCCGGACTCTGATTGTGAAAGGACCAGTCAGCTGGCTTGTTGCCAGCCTGCAAAATGGGGGTCACAATGCTGTTCTTTGGGGCATGTGCATATTGCCTCTGAACCTATTCTAGGGTCTTCGAGGCCAAGCCCAGGCTGAGGGATGCTCAGCCACACGCAGGGGTCGATGGCATAAAGCAGAACCCCATTAACAAGGAGGCAAGGAAAATTGCAGGCGTCCATCAGAGTGGGAAGGGACCCAGCAAGCTGATTTTGGTTGCCAGCCACAAGCTAGGCCTTGGGCTCACTTCCCTCACAGTGAAGTGGGGACAATGGCCCAATGACTGTTAGCCAAGAAGCCCCAGCCACATGCGAGTCATCACCCAAAGTTGGGTTTATTGGCTCAGTGAGGAGGATAGTACACCACTGGGGGCCAGCTTGGAGGAGGGTGTTAGAAAGGACTGACTCGGAGGATTTGACCAAGGGGACAGAGGTTATCTCTGGTCATTTTTGTGGTGTGGACAATGTCCTTATGTTGACCTGTCCGTATTTTGATATCAGATACGGCTGTGGAATGGTCTTGCTTTGTCCTGACCCATCGTGGTCACAGGGTGGCCTTGTCTGATGGTGGTGTTCTGGGAGGTTGTTTATCGCAGCAGCAGACTCAGGCCAGGCCGGTTCCCTCTCGTCAGGGGTGGCTTTCTGGCTTGTGGACACACAAACAGGCCTCCGCTAATTAAATCCAACTTCTCCCTGAGGCGTGTTGCCAGGACGGGGTCTGTGTCTCAGACAGCCAGCTAGGGCCGCCTGCTTGCACTGCACGCTGAGGGCTCGGGTGGCCTGATCAGACTTCCTACACCTCCCTTCTGTTACCGAGCCCCCGCTGGCACCTGCGCTGCGGCAGGGAGGGTGCGTTTCCAGGCAGCCATCAAACTTGCCAGCACTCTGTTCCTCACCATCTCAAATCTCATCATGTGTGCTCTGCTTTGTGCTTCTGGGTAAAAATAGGACACAGATTTAAAGACGTTTAAAGGACCCCAACTATGGCGGGCTAAGTTCCACTGAGATCAGGATCCCCGTGTGGAAGCCAGCCCACCCCTCCAGGGTTAGCCCACGTGTGCTGGGGACAGGTGTCCCAGGCTTGGCCCTGGGCTGGCATTTATTTCCTGTGGGCTCCTTCATCCCTGCCCCTCCTTTTCCTCTGAGGTAGTGTACCTTTTTCTTTACTGTATACACCCCATCAGGCTGAGAGCAATTTGAAAACTCAGACTGCGATCTCCTTGGGGATTCGCCGGTCATTTCTGCTGCCTCCACACCTAGGACAGTCCTTGGCACACAGTAGGGATTCAACGCCTGTTCATGGAATAACTGCATGAGCCAAATGGATGAGCTGCACCAGCCCTGGGGCTTTAATGGATTTGTTGGGTGACCCCCGAGTATTGTTTCCTGGCTTGGGCTGACCACTGGTTTTGCTTTTGTTTTTCCTTTCTCCCCCTGCAGTATGGAAACGGTGGAAGCGAACCCACTTTTGCAGCTGAATCCCGCCATTACAGGAGTGTACTCTGGAAACCCATACCCCTTTGGGATCGATCCGGTAACGAAGTCCTCTTGGCTTAAATCGTTACGAGTTCAGTCTTGCCGAGATTTCTGGGTGTGGGGGAAGAAAGGGCCAGGACCTGTCACATCAACAATCTTATGTTGGGGCAGAATTTCGCAGACTGGAGGTTCTTGTGACGCATGGTGCTGAATTCAAGGAAGTGTCCTACCCCCACCCTTTACCCGGCCCCCGCAGATGGCTGCCTCTTTCTCCATCAGCTGCACCCTGGTGGTTAAAGCTTCCTTTAGAGGCCCTGGGTTGCCTGGAAAGTGTGCATGTTAGAGCAGCAATTTAGCATCCTAATCAAGTTCCCTACTTTGGCATTTTCTTGCTGTGGGTTAACATTTCTTTTTTTCCCCCCCTAGAAAACAATGCATTTGCTCTTGTTTTTGTTTTATGTTACTGCCTAGAACTGTTACAAGTGAAAAAGAAAAGGTTGTCACCTTTGATTTGTTTCGTGTATTTATCTCACTTGGCTTTGAGCCCAGCAAAACAAAGGTGCTTCCTCACACAGCCTTCAGATGGGAAGGGGTTTCCAGATGACTTGCATCTGGGGGACCCAACACATATCGCCACCAGGTGGCGGCCTTGGGCTCCAAATGCGCGTGAGTGATCTCACCCTGAACTTGGCCGTTGCAGTCCACACAAGCGCGTCTCCTTAGCTCTTCTTGTGGGAGGGAACCCAAAACCTCCGTTTCAGTTGCTGACAGTTGAGGGAGAACAGCACTGGCCCTAACGCAGATTCTCTGGTCTCTCCTGTCCTGTGCGCCGTCTTCTCTTGTTTTCCTGGGTCCTCCGCTCCCTTACAAAAAACAGAAAGGACTCCCCAGGATTTGTTTAACTTTGCTGCCCAGGGGCACTTGCATTCCCAGTTTTATAAGAAGAGATAAAGTCCTCGAAAGGTGGCGTGTAAGTGCTGAAAGCAAATGCCAGATGTTATTTCTGCAGACTGAAAGGCTTCCTCCTCGGTCCGAGGAGTTTCACGATCAGCGCGCAGGTGTGGGCGCGGGGTGATTTTAGGGTCTTGTCGGTGCTGCTTTGACTCTCGCTGCTCCTGCGGCCCCGTCTTCCTCACGCAGCCCACATCCAGCCCGGCGGCCAGTCCTGTCTGCTGCCCACACCTCGCATTTCAGAGCTGAGCCGGCCAGGCTGGGGGCTCTGCCGCGATTTGTCATCTGCCCGCTGGTCAGGAAAGAAAGGAAAATGTGAGGCTGAAGCGGGAGGCAGGATGTTGGCGACACTCTTTTTCCAAGTAACACATCGGCTTTGAAAAGTTCTGATCTATTTTAAAATAATAACATATATGACTAAAAATCCATGGAGTACAAAATGTTAATAAAAATGAAAGGGAAAAGGTGTTCTTCCCACCTCTTCTGTTCCTGAAATCCCATTCCCCAGAGATAACCTTTTAAACAGAAGGTTCCTGCGCCTGTGTTAGCACTTACATATATTACTAGAGGGTTTGATTTTTACAAAACGTGAATTACTGCAGCTGCATTTATGGACTGTGTGCAGCATCTATTTTGACTCGAACCATGAAATATTTGGCTGTCAGAGCTGAGAGGTCTTTCCAAAGGTCGTTGTGTGTATTTTATAATAAATGGACGTAACAGTGGTTAAAAGCCCGCACTTCGGAGTCAGGCAGCCTGGGTTTAAATCCCGGCGTTTTTATTTGTGTCTGATTTTGAGCCAGGCCACATCTCTGTGTGCCTCGTTCCTCATCTGTGAAATAGATACCACAGCAGCCTAGCCCTTAGGGGTGTTCAGAAGATTCAAGGATTTTTACATGTAAAACACCCTGAATAGAGTCTGGTGCATAAATGGGGTAAATGCTCCACTTGTTATTATATTATTTCTTCCTAGGTGTTTAAGTAACTTCATCTCCCCAAAATTAAGATAAATTCCCTTATCTGTAAAATGGGAATACTTAACAACACAGCTGTCCTCCCTCATTTGTGGGGACGCGTTCCAAGACACCCCCAGGGGATGCCTGTAACCGTGGATAGTGCAGGATCTATGTACACTCGGCTTCTTCCCATACGTCCATGCCCATGATAGAGTTTAACTTACAGATGAATCACAGTAAGAGATGAACAATAACTAATAGCAAAATAGAACAATTATAACAATGCAGTGCAATAAAAGTTCTATGGATATAGTCCTGCTCTCAAAATATCTTATCATACTGTACTCACCTTTTTACTTACATGAAGCACCTTACAGAAGCTCTTTGGCATGTCCAAATTGCGTCACTGCTCTTGCGCTTGGGGGCCATCCTTAAGTGAAATAAGGGTGACTTGAACACAAGCTCTGTGGTACCATGACAGTCTATCAGATGACCAGGACAGCTACTAAGTGACGAGTGGACAGGGGAAACGGCACAGTGTGTAGACACTGGACAAAGGGGTGGCTCCGCCACCCAGGTGGGGCGGAACGGGGCGGTGTGAGATTTCATCACACTACTCGGAATGGTGCAGAGTTTAAATCCTACGGATTGTTGATTTTGGGAATTTTCCATTTCATATTTTCAGACCACAGTTGCCCCAGGGCAACTGAAACCAAGAAAAATTAAACCGTAGGTGAGGGGCTGGCGGTGGGGGGACTACGGTCTCCACCTTGCAGGGTTTTTGTTAGAATTAAATGGGATACATATGTTTCCGGAGCTTAGTGTGTGCCGGGCCCTTAACTATGCACACTTCTAGCTGGTCAGGTTTGGCTGGGGCTGTGGTGTGCTGCCCACCCCGCCCTCACTGTGCTGCATGATCCTGTGGGGCTGGCCAGCCCGGCGGGCAGTGGAAGAGCAGAGCGCGGAGGGCCAGGCCTGGTGGGGCTTAGATGCAAGGCCGATGGGGAGGGTGGAGGAGGTCCCCCTGCTGCGTGGGCGCTGTTACTAAAGTCCCTTCCCTCGCCTTCCCAGCAGCCTCCTGGAGTTCCTTTAGTTGGCAGCCACTCGGGACTTTGTAAGGAAAGAATCAGTGAGCCCTAGCCACGTAGCTCAGTTGGTTAGAGCATCCTGATGCTGTCCTGGTACACGAAGGCTGTGGGTTCAATCTCTAGTCAGGGCACATACAAGACTCGACCAATGAATGCATAAATAAGTGGAACAACAAACCAATGTCTCTCTCTCTCCCCTCTCCCCCTCTATCTCTCCATCCTTCCCTCCCTCTCTTAAAAAAAAAAAATCAATTAAAGCATTGTGCTCAATATGCCAAGGTTATGGTTTGGTCCCTGACCCAGGTACACGCAAGAAGCAACCAATGGACGCATAAATAAGTGGAACAATGTATTGTTCTCTCTCTCTCTCCCCACCCCATTCCCTCTTTCTCTTTTTCTCTAAAATCAATAGATTAAAAAAATTTAAAAAGACTCTGAGGTGTGGTTTCCTGCCCTGTGCGCATGGGGGTGAGGGCAGGGGACAGTGCCTGGAGACTGTGCCCAGGTGGATGTTGACCCCGAGTCACTTGAGGAGAGAAGATGAGAGGGACTCTGTGGCACTGTTACCTTTGAGATGCACTATGGCAAACCCTTGAGATGCGTCGAGCAGGAGGTTTGGGATGTGCCCAGCATTCGAGAGATGTCAGAGGTAGTAGCGAGGACTGGCATCGTTTGCAAGAGGGTGGGTTTTGGGAAGAACAGGAGGTCACTAACCAGCATGAGACCCTGACCAGCCCCCATCCCCTCTGAAATTCAAAGTAAAACCTGCCGTTTATCATTAAGAAGGGATTGCATAAATTCACGGGCCAGAGATCTATACCTTTATTAAGGGAACTGAGGCAAGTTTGGGATCTCCGTGATATCTGAGAATTTCTTTCATGTAGAACAAGGGAGTCATCAGGTAGGATTTTCCTCCCCACTTCCCTGTTCAGCCACCTGATAGTTTGCTGATGGCACTAAAGGTTCTGACACCGTTGTCATCAGAGTTGCATTTCTAAGGGACATGGTCCTTGTCTGAACCTACCATGCGAGAGTCGAACAGGACAGAGATTGGAAACTGTGGTTCCCACAGCGACGCCTCAGGGGAAATCGTGTTGTTGCCCTCAACTCCTGCAGAACTTCTAGATTCTCATGCGTTTCTTCCCCTTTCCCACCCAGATTTGGAACTTGGCTTCCAACAAGCTGACCTTCTTGAACTCCTATAAAATGAAGATGTCGGTGATCCTGGGAATTGTCCAGATGACTTTTGGCGTCATTCTCAGCCTTTTCAACCACATGTGAGTTCATGATTAACTTTCTGCCTGTTGGTCTGAGCCCGGTGATAATAAGCAGTGACCAGGTGACCGGTTGGGTCCCCTGTCCCTCTGTGCGAGGTTCCTTTCTGCGGGAGCGCTCTCCCGTGTCTCTTGGCTTGAGCCTGGAGAAGCTGGTGGCCTGAAACGGTGCTCCTGTTTCTGCTCAGCTGAATTTATCAGAGCCAAGTGCACCTCAGAAGTACGTGGGGCGGCAGGGCGAGGCTGGCCAGCCCGCGGCCTTGGGTCCCCCAGCCCGAAAGTCTCCTGTTCGTGTGTGTCTAGGCTTAGCCCCCACCAGTGGGCAAGACGGGACTTCCTGCGTTTTGGCCAAAGTGCCCTAATTCTGAATCCCCTCTGGTGTAATTTCTTTCTTCCGGCAGCACCGTCTCACTTCTTTGTCTCTTAATGTTGTCCTGGCTATTCCTTTCCTCTTATCAAGAACCCTCTGTATGCTCTGACTGGTATGGCCGTGTCGGTTGGGCATCATCCTGCAAAGCAAAAGGTCACCAGTTTGATTCCTGGTCAGGGCATATGTCTGGGTTGGGCTGTGGACGAGATGCAACTGATCTACGCTTTTCTCTCACATCAACGTTTCTCTCCTTCTCTGTCTCCCTCCCTTCCCGTCTCCCTAAAACAAAAATAAATAAATACTTAAAAAAAAAAAAAGAGAGAACCATCTCTGGCCCTGGCCAAGTAGCTCAGTTGGGTAGAACATCATCCCAATATGCCAAGGGTGGGGGTTCAATCCCCAGTCAGGGCACGTATAAGAATCAACCAATGAATGCATACATAAGTGGAACAACAAACCAATGTTTCTCTCCCTCTCTCTCTCTCTCTCTCAGCTAATTTAAAAAATAACCATCTCTGGAAAGCTTCTCTAACTTATTTCCGCTATTATACGCAAAGGTATAATCTTTGAAAACAGCTTGCAATGTGCCTGTTTGGAGGCCCCTGGGTGGCCATAGCCGCTTGTGGGTGCTGCTGCCGTGCAGTCTGGGGCTGAGTGAGGGCAGCATGTGGCCGCAGGAACAACACAGGGTTTGGAATCCGAAGTTTAAGTGCTGTTTCCAACTCTTTGTAGCTGTGTGACCGTGGACATGCTGCTTGACGTCTCTGAGGTGGTTTTCTTTCATTGAATGGGAATGGAGTAGTCAGAATGAGTTAGGTTATTGTGAGGTGACAGCCCCCAAATCTCAGTGGCTCAAGACTGTGACACATGTGCACCGTGGGCCCAGCAGGGGCTCCCTTCCCGTCATCCTCACACTGGGACCTGGGCAGCTGGACGGCCACCTGCTGGAACACTGCCAGTTGCTGTGAAAGGAAGAGAGTGGTTGATTACACATAGACTCTTTTTAAATGATATATTTATTGATTTTAGAGAAAGAGGAAGGGAGAAAGAGAGAGAACCATCGATGTGAGAGAGAAACATTGATTGGTTGCCTCCTGTACACGCTCTAACTGGGGATCAAACACACAACCCAGGCATGCGCCCTGACTGGCATCGAACCCAGAACTTTTTGGTGTACAGGACGATGCTCCAACCAACTGAGCCGCACTGGCCAGGGCCACATTCACTCTTAGGCTTCCATCCCAAAGTGCCACCTGCCACTTCTGTACCCATTTCATTGGCCAGAGCCAGTTGCATGGTGACCTCTGATCTGAAAGGCTAAAAAAGTACAATTGTACTGAAAAATCAGAGGTATTTAGCAAGTGCACTAATGAGGAGCATGTAGCGCTACTGCCTGTGTGGAAATGTGGGAATCCAATGCGAGAGACTGCCAGGAAGTCCTTCCTGGACAAGACCTCATCTGGCGTCCCTACGTGTCAGGCTGGCCTCAAGTATCTCTGGTAATCCTGTCTTTTTTTTTTTCCGTGGGATCTCCTTTTATAGCTCTTGCAGTTAACAATGGATATGGGGGCCCTTTCTGACATTTGAACTCGGGGGGCCCCCAACTTAGCTTTGTGCGTCCCTGTGTCTTAGAGCTGGAGTTGATGCACCTTCTTGGTAAAGGGCCAGGCAGTGGTAAATGCTTTAAGTTTTCGGGCCAGACGGGCTGCGGTCACCGGTGGTCCACACTGGCGTTGTAACGTGAAAGCTGCCGTGGACGATACACAAGGGCATGGGTGGGACTGTGTTCAAAACACCTTGTTTATGAGTGCTGAAATTTTGAATTGCATATAATTTTCATGGGTCATACAATATTATTCTTTTGATTCTTCCCGCCAGCCATTTTAAAATATGAGAACTATTTTTAACTGGCAGGCTGGACACAAACAGGTGATGGGCTCCATTTAGCCCAAGGGCCATAGTTTGCTGACCACTGCCTTAAGGAGGGAGGCTTCTCGGTCGCCCTTAGATGCCTCTATGCTCTGAACGTGGTGATATGAACAGGCCCTGCACTTCAAGCTTTGGTCAAAGCACCAACAGTCTGTGTGGGCATAACCTTTGCTTTGAACTTGACCTTCTAGACCTTGGTTCTCTCCAAATCTTTTGTGCAAAAGCTCCTTTCCTTTCCTTCCATGCGTGGTTGCTGCCTCCCAGAGGAGTGGATGCAGTTAACATTTTGTGCTTTGGGGAGAGTAATTTGTCACTGATCTTTTTTTCTCAATCGTCTATCGTGTGTGTGTGTGTGTGTGTGTGTGTGTGTGTGTGTGTGTGTTTTCCACCCCCAGATACTTCAGAAAAACGCTCAACATCCTTCTACAATTTATTCCGGAGATGATTTTTATGCTGTGTCTGTTTGGCTACCTGGTTTTCATGATCATTTTCAAATGGTGTTACTATGACGTCCACGTGTCGCGGCAAGCCCCGAGCATCCTCATCCACTTCATCAACATGTTTATGTTTAACTACAATGACTCCTCGAACGCACCCCTGTACAAACATCAGGTACGATGGGATTCTTTATTCTTTTATTTACATTATGACAGATCTCTCCTACTCTTGAGTCCTGCAGAAAGCAAGTATTTGTAAGACTAAGTGATCTTAGTACCCAGTCTGGGGTGCTGAACACCCAATGTTAGAGGCTCTTTAAATTTCAGAAGGCTTTTAATAAAGATTATATTTATTTGCGTTTAGAGAACGAGGAAGGGAGGGAGAAAGAGAGGGAGAGAAACATCTATGTGTGAGAGAGACATTAATTGGTTGCCTCTCTCATGCCCCCAAATGGGGACCTAGCCTGCAACCCAGGCATGTGCCCTCACTGGGAATCAAACCAGCGACCTTTTGGTTCACAGGCCAACAGTCAGTCCATTGAGCCACACCAGCCAGGGCCAGGAGGCTTTTATTGGATGAGTACATGGGGCTGGGCTGTTCCTATTACATGAGAGGGGCCATTGCGATGGGTTTGAAAATGGACTTAGCCATTGTGAAGCAAGAAAAACCAAGCCTTCACATGCTCTACACAGCACCCTAACACGTAATAATCTTTTATTCTAAAAGTAAACTCCAGTTAAGGCTCATAAGTAAGGAAATGGAAACAGGATCAAGAAGTGGAGTCCCTCTGGGTAGTGAGTTTCTGGAAAACTCGGCAGTGGCTTGTCAGAGGGGCTTTTTTTTTTTCCCTTTGGGCTCTTGCATGGACAGTACCGCCCAACAGTTAGACTTAATTGCCATCCTGATTCCTTCCATTTCTTTCAGCTTCATTCTCAACTTAATATTTTATTTTTAAAAAGTGTCAGTGTCTCCCAGGAGCTGGATATAACTATCACGCAGTGAGTAATTCTTTGGCAACACAAATCGTTCTTTTCCTCCGGCCTCGCCCAGTGATTAACCTGGTAATAGCGCGTGAAGGAAGAGCTTTCCCGGGAGGAAGGCCCACGCACATCGGTTGGGATTCCCCTGGGTCAAGCTCGCGGGCGAGTTTCCCAGGGCCTGGTGGCGGCCGCGTCCTGCGCTTGGCAGTGACCGCCCACCCCGGGTGCCCCAGGTGAAGCCCCGCCCCTCCCGTGGCCGTACACGCCTCATGAGTTTGATTTCCAGTTGTATTCTCCTTCCCCACAGAGGCAGCAAATAAGAAGAAAAATGCCTTGTGATGGGCCATCTTTTTAGTGAAAGAATAAGGAGCTATTTCAAATACTAACCAGAGAAGATACAGACCTCGCAAAGCTCTCTTATGATCCCCTAGCTTTTTGTTATGTATCAGCGGTAACTTTGAACCACTCCTCGCTGTTAGCATTAAATGAATGCATTTGGAAGGTGCGTGTACTCACTGCTTTGAGTCTACTGGAAAGTTTACTTGGATTTTCCAAACAAGCCTTCTCTTTTAGGCAAAACACTGAAGTTCACAGAAGTACTGTGTGTGCTAATAACCGTTTTCATAAAGACTGAGGTCCTCGCTTAGTCTGGAATATGCAGTGAGCACGGCCCCGTGAATGGTTTTGCAGCTTTTTCCACTAAAAACCTCACTGGGAGCTGGCTGGTTTCCCCAGGCCCCAGTCGGAAGACGAATTATCTTGACACAGTTTGAAGTTTCCATAACCTCATTCTGGGGTCATGCAGCTGGAAGAGACAATGTCCGCTGATAAATCCAGCCCCTTCCCAGCACCGCCCTGCTTGTCTCTCTGGCCTGTTTGAAGAACGGAGAAGAAGGGCAACAGATAATATAAATGTCCAATTGCTCTGTGCCCTGCCGGGGCGAAAGCCTGGTTTCCAATGGTCAAATGGGGCCCCCTTTCTCTTTTGAGCATTTAAGAGGGGAAGAGGGTGGAAGATGAGCAGATACGACTTCCCACTGCTCTCAGGATAAACCTTGTGACCATTGGGATAATAAATTGTCTCACTCAGAGCTTGGCCAGAACAACTAAAGAAATGTGAAGGCTCGAGAGTAGTTATTTTCCTTTTCTCCGGGCCCCCAGCTTCCAGTCCTTTTCAATGGCTCTGTCCAAGCCCTCTGAAACTTCCCGGCTCTGTTGACAGTAGCAGTTCTGTGTCACTCAAATGGGTGACGGGGGGTGGGGGTGGGGTTCAGGGGGTGGAAAATGGTGGGGGCGTGAGGGCATGAAAGGAAATACGTAACAGGATGATAAAGTGGATGGTTTCTGAGCTTCAACAGAGGCATGTCGACCGCGATGCCTCGTTCTAAAGTTAATTGTGTGTGTGTGTGTGAGAGAGAGAGGTATCAACATAGATTTCCCAGAAGCCACTAGAAGCCACTAGATAACTCACCCACAGTGAGTATGCAAGTGAGAGGGAGCTTGTGAGGAACTTTTTTTTTTTTTTTTTTTTAATGTTCAGTGCAGCTTATATTTAGTTAAAAATTCAAACTAGTTGGGAGGGAGATTGGGAGACTGGGTGAGAACAGTGAACGGATTAAAAAGAACACATTGGTAGTTACAGAACAGTCATGGGGATGTAAAGTACAGCACAGGGAATACAGGCAATAATATTGTAATAACTGTACGGTGCCAGGTGGGTACCAGAAATATCAGGGGACCACTCTGTAAAGTACACGATCATCTAACCGCTGTGCCGTACACCTGAAATTAATACAGAATAATATTGAATGTAAAAAAGTGTAATCGAACAATTTTTTAAAAATTTCAAACTAGCGAACATTTTTTTATTTAAAAAATTATACACAAGCAGTACATGTTCATTGTAGACATTAGAAAATTAGCTTATATATACTACATATGTAATCTTTTCTAAAAGTTAAATCTGTGGAGTCACAGTTAATAATAGGGAAAGAAATTTTTTTGAAAGCAAGGGAAGGCGAGAGAGCTGAGATAATGATCTCGTGCTAGAAATATAAAATTCCTCTTTCAGATAATGTGTGTAGCTAAACGTGACCCAAGTAGCAGTGACGTCGTAGGGGTTGCCATACCTTTTTTCCAGGGCCCAGGGCTTACTGTGCCCATGGAACAGAGTTAAAGGACAAGAGACGAACAAAGCCACCCTTGGGATGTGTCTCTTGTTCGGGCGACTGGCCCCATGTGGTAGGAGTGTGCAAGGGGGCTCCTTGGGAGGAAGGAACAAGGAGAGCGAGCCTCCACTGCCCCCAGCACCGGACGCTGGTGCCCCTGGCCTGGCATTTCTCTGTCTGCAGGTGGGATATTCCGAGGTGTGAGGGAGAATGCATTCGCTGAAATGCTTTCGAGCTCTCAAAATAAGGTGCAACTGAAATGGCCCCTATCTAGCACTTTTATCACATGAAGGATGCTGTGAAGTCACCTTAAAATGGTAAGATCTGGCCATTTTGGTCTTGCAGCAAGAAGTCCAAAGCTTCTTTGTTATCATGGCTTTGATTTCCGTGCCCTGGATGCTTCTGATTAAGCCATTTATTCTCAGAGCCAATCATCGGAAATCCCAGGTAAGAGCCCTTCCTTTTGGTTCACTCACTGTGGGTGGGAATGTGGGTCCTTCAGAATGGAAGCCTGGGAGTCAGAGAGCACACGGGGCTGACCAGGGCCCGGGGGACCGCGGTGGGGTCGGGGGCTGGCCCTCCCAGACACGCTGTCTTTGGCGGAGCTCACCTTTTCTTAGGGGCCTGCTCATCTCCAGAATAATGTCCTATTAACAACAACAGGTTTCAGTCTTATGTCTTGCAATCTTGTGTGTGTGTGTGACTGCTATGTAATACTCCCTTGCATGGATATACCACAGTTTAGTTGCCATTCATATGGTGATAGTTGTGTGGCTTGTTTCCAATTTTAGTAATTACAGATAGTGCTTCTGTGAACCCCCTGTGCATGTCCTTTGGCACATGTGTTTTTAGAGAGCTGAGAGTAACTAATTTAAAGTTGATTATTTCAGACAGCACCCAGGTCAAACACCATGAGATGCTTCGTGAAGGGGACTGCAAAGAATATTTTGACTGGGGAGAAGGGTCGCTAAGATTGACAAAGTCCAGGGTCATGCTTCTGCAAAATTATTCATGTTTCTTTTCACCAATTCCAGCGTAGAACCAGAAAAGGCTAGAGTTGGGGATGGAAGTGGAGAAACTGTCTTCTACGGTATTTCTGCCCTGGTATTGCCTCCCTTACGTTGATGGGGAGAGAAAATAGGATTTCAAGAAGACAAAGTAACGTTACCTTGAGTCACATCCCTCACCCGGGCCAAGGAACCACGCGGCCAACGGGAGAGGCTGAGCTGACCCAGGGTTTCCTCGTGGTGCCCTGGACCCTGGTTTCCTCTCCAGGGGGACCAAGCCCGCTTCCGGGCCCTACAAAGGGCCAGCCACTCCCCTGGTACCGCCGTATCCTGGCATGGCCAAGGGGCAGCTGTTTGTGAGGCGCGTGGGTGAGCGTGGGCATTGTGGGGGTGGGGTGGGGAGGGTGTCCACGCCTGCGCACACGAGGCTGTGGGATGGACCCAGCGGGGAAAAGGGAAGAGTAGGCTGTCACCGGTGGCGCAGGGCCGGCTCCCCTGAGACCCTGCATCTGGACCTGGCCTTTCACGTTCTTGTGGAGGGTAACTTATCAAGAAGGAGGGCTGGAGCATATTTTATCTGGGAGTTTTGTGGCTTAATTCACCTTTCTCTATTAAATGTTTTGTTTTGAACAATTTAATGGCTTTCTGCACAATACATATCACAACACATCATTTAAATTTTAGCAAGAGTAACACCTGATTCTTGTTAACGGCGTGCCTTTTCCTGTGCTTTCATAGGGTTTTTCAGAGATTGGATGCTAAACAACTTTTTGTTTTATGATCATGGTGCTTTATGATTAAGGTACTAATCTGGGGAGGCTTTTGAGGATCTGCCTCTGAGTGAGGTGCTATCTCATCACAGGAGCCCCCAGGCACAAAGCCCTGTCTCATCTTAAAAAGGCTGGGTGGGAAAATCCCTCACAGCCCTGGAATCCCCTTGGGAAGGGATCAGGAAGGTGGCAAGTTCAATACTTAACACCTCCACACACATGATAAAAACAAGCACTTATTCCTAATGTGCAATAATGCCACAGGTGCAATAATGTCGGTTCAATTTATAACTTTTAAATATTTAAACACATGGTATGTGGGCTTCCATTTTGACCTTTGCCTAAGGAGGCCTGCAACTAGTAGGTGCAGATTCGCTAAAGAAAGAAAAGTAAGGACACTTTCGTGCCTCATTTGTAACGTCCCATCCGTGAAATCATTCTAAGAACAACTTGGGACATAAGTTTCACCAGTGACTTGGAAGAAACATTCTATTGAAACTCAGGCCAAACCGGATGGTGACTACACCTATATTTTTTTTTTCCTTTGGATTTTTTTTTGTGTGTGTGTGTGGCTATTTATATAAAGTGATGTTTTTACTTAGAAAACTGTATTTGTGTTGGAAAAGCCATTGTCTTTGTCTGTTTGGGCTGGTATAACAAAGCACCGTGCAGACTAGGTGGCTTATAAACAACAGAAGCTTATGGCTTCCAGTCAGTCCGGGAGGCTGTGAAGTCTGAGACCCAGGCTCCAGGGCGTTTACCTTCCGGTTAGGGCCCCCTCCTGGTTCACAGATGGCACCGTCTCACTGCATCCTCATGTGGTGGGACAGGGAGGGAGCTCTCCAGAGGCTCTTTTACAAGGGCACAGACCCCATTCCTGAGGGACCCCCCACCCTCATGACCTAATGACCTCCCAAAGGCCGCACCTTTTAATGCCATCATTTTGGGGTGAGGGTTTCAACATGTGGATTTTGTTTTTGGTTTTTAAAAAAAAAATTTTTTTTTAAAGATTTTATTTATTTATTTTTAGAGAGATGGGAAGGGAGGGAGAAAGAGAGGGAGAGAAGCATTAATGTGTGATTGCCTCTTGCGTGCCTCCAAGTGGGGACCCAGCCCGCAACCCAGGCACGTGCCCTGACCGGGATCAATCCAGTGACCCCTTTGGTTCGCAGGCCGGCACTCAGTTCACTGAGCCACACCAGCCAGGGCTCAACATGTGAATTTGGGAGGGGATACACACATTCACACCAGAGGAGTCACTGGTTTCCTAATCTTGCTCATAGAAATCTGAGCATTGAGGTCACAAGGCTGCGTATGTCACAAACACGACTGATGGTTTTATGTCTGTGTAGATATATTTTTTAAAATAGAAAGGCACTCTGGTATCTGCATTGGTTTCCTGGACAGACTGATTTGTTTGAGCGCTGGCCACGTAGCTCAGTTGGTTAGAGCATCATCCCAATAGTCAAGGTCGCAGGTTTGATCCCCAGGTAGGGCACATACAAACATCAACCAACGGATGTGTGAATAAGTGAAACAATAAATCAGTGTTTCTCTCTCTCCCCCTCTCCCTCTCTCTTTCTCCCTTCCTCTCTCTCTAAAATCAGTAAATTTAAAAAAAATAAAAATTGAAAGAAGACTATGATTCATCGGGCACCTTCGGGAGCACCGTGGAGAAAAGCACACGCCGGGGACCCAGGCTGCCTGGGTCTGGGCCCTAGCTCTGCCGCTGATGTGCCTCGCCGGCTGTGCGCTCTTGGGCGCATGCCTTAGCCTTTCTGTGCCGTGGTTCACCTCTCTGTAAAAAGGGGCGGTAACAGTGCTTATGTAGAAAGATTGTTACGAAGGCTAAATGAGATCGTGTAGAGAGAGTTTAGAGCGGGGTCTGGTACATAGCTGACATTTACAGAGAGCCTTTATTCTGTATAGAATTGCTGTGATTCTAATTCTAAGGATGCATTTAACCCTTCATTTCCTTGCTTGCTCACAGCTGCAGGCGTCCATGATCCAAGAACATGCCACAGAAGACATCGAAGGTGACAACTTGAACCCTCCCAGGAGAGCAGGTGTCCAGGGGGCCCAGGAGGACGAGGAAGAAGAGGTATTTGGGACTCAATGCCCTCCGCAGGCTTCCCAGTTTGTACAGGTTCTCGAAGCAGATCTGGTCTGAAGCGATAGTCAAATATTTGAGAGCTCCCGGGGCGCGGGCACCGGCCCATCAGAAGGAACTCAGGCAGCAGAGCTGGTCGGGTGCAGAGGGCCCTGTCCCCACAGTGCTGCTGCGGCTTTCTGCCGCCACTCTGTGGGGACGCTCGGCTGCCTATTCTCCCTGTTAGACATGGGCCACTTGAGGGCACAGGTGGTGCCCGCTGTCTGTGCCCCCACGTGTCAGAGTGCGTGAAGGAAACGAGGGGCCATCGCTGTCTTCGCCCCGTGTCTTCTCCCCTCACACCGGATTACTAAGTTAGTCAACAGACTGGCTTTTGGCTTATAGGCTGTCCCTTCACTGGTCCATTTGCTCCCAGATTAATGTTCCCCGAATATTTCTTTATTTCCTCTGCCACTCCCTGGTCGGATCCCTTTTATGGTTACTCAGGGACTCTGGGTTACTTTCTCATCTCTGTTCTTAGCTGGCCTTTCCTGAACTTCAACGCTTCTGCTGTCTTGACATGTCACCTATGCAAGCTCCCAGTTCCAGCTGGATAGTTTCCCCCCCAAACTTGCCTTCCTGCCGTTCCCACTGATCCGTCTCTTCCTCATTTCTTTGCCAGGAATGCCCTTGCTTCTCCCCGAGTTCCGGGTCCCTCCCCCGCCTTCACGGCCCAGCACAAATCTCAATGCCTTTGACAGCTCCGCTTACCCACCAACCTCTCTTCTTGGAACCTTTTCAGCAGTTTCTGGGAAATGTCATTGCACATATACCATGTCCTCCTTTGTGCTGCTAATTCTCTTTCTACAAGTATATTAATATTTACTTTCCCCTGGTTCAACTGTAACTATCTTAACAGCAACGCCTATGTCTTATTCATCTGTATATCAATTCTACTACCTTTTGTGCAGAAAGCACGTAATGAAATAGAATAAAAAATTCCCTCCTGCCCTGGCCAGGTAGCTCAGTTAATTAGAGCATTGTCCCCCTATGCTAAGGTTGTAGGTTCTATCCCCAGTCAGGGTACATACAAGAATAAACCAACTAGAGCAATGAATCAATGTTTCTTTCTCTCCCTTCCTCTCTCTCTCTCTCTAAAAAAAAAAAAGAATAAATTAACAAAATTTTTTTTAATTCCCTCTTTCAGTTCAACTTTGGAGACATATTTGTGCATCAGGCCATCCACACGATCGAGTACTGCCTGGGCTGCATCTCAAACACGGCCTCGTACCTCCGGCTCTGGGCCCTCAGCCTGGCTCACGCAGGTGAGTGAGCCCCCATCGGGGCCAGGGTCACGCCCAGCAGTGGCACATACTTTAGGTAGCAGTGCCTTCTCTGGGTTCTTCCTGGCTCTCCCTCCTTAGGAACAGTCCGCATTTGCCAGGGAAACCCTGTGACATCGTTCTTGGTCTTGCAGAACTGTCCGAAGTGCTCTGGACCATGGTGATGAACGTCGGCCTTCGCGTGCGAGGCTGGGGAGGGCTCATCGGGGTGTTCATCATCTTTGCCGTGTTCGCCGTCCTGACGGTGGCCATCCTTCTGGTCATGGAGGGGCTCTCTGCTTTCCTGCACGCCCTTCGGCTGCACTGGTGAGGATGGCGTGCTGCAGGGCTGCCATGTGCTCTTGTAGGGGGGGGGCGGGGGGGGCGGGCAAGCTGTCGGGCCAGCCAGCTGGGCTCAAATCCTGACCTGTTGTGTGATGTTAGCAGCTCACACACCTTTCTGGAACCTTCGTTTAGGCACCCGTTGGTGTAGTGGTCAATGATACCATATATGGACACATTCATAATGGCCACCCTGCGATATATGTCAGTTTCCATTTTCCCCTCATTTAAATTTCCATTTGTTATTACACCTGGCTTCAAAATAAGGGCCACCTGCAAGCATTGGTAAGATGGCACATCTGAAACAGGCGCACGGGGGGCCTGCTGAGTGAACCTGGGGCCTGCGGCCCTTGTTTCCGAGTGCGGGAGTGACACCGGTAATTCAGGCTGCTGTGCCCCAGGAAGGGAGGACAGAAGGAGGGTGCCCGCAGGGGTAGGCGCCCACAGAAGGCCCTTGGCTTTCGCAGGCGTGTCCAGAACAGAGCCTGTCTTCAGCCTTCACCCCCCCTGTACCTGCTGTTGGCAAAAACAAGTTTTCACACCTCTCATACCGAGTCGAGCCTCTGGTTATGACATCATCTCTGCCCATGTTGTTAGGAAGTGTCTCTGTAACATTAGAAACATACATGATCACGCGTGATATCTGTTCCGTAAGTCACAAAAATACGCATGAGTGAAGCTTCTGGCTGTTCTGCCAGAGGGGCCTCCTGCCGTCCTTCACTGGTGCATCGGACAGTGGGGCACAGCGAGGGCAGCTTTGCCTGTGGGCGCCGGGGGCAGGGTTGTGAGGCTGGTCTGCGAGGTTGCTGGCAGAGGCCCCGGGGAGTTGGGGAGGGGCAAGGAAAGGTGGAAGCCGGAAGTGAGAGGAGGGCCGTAAAAAGCCCCAGAGGATTTTTGGGGCAGCTGCAGCTTGGGTCCCTCCCCACTCGCCTTCCTGACCCTGAGCTTCATTTGACAAATGCTTCTTCCCTCCAACTGCTGGCTTCTCACTCTGTATAATCCCCCCGCTTTGTTTGCCCCCAACAACAGGGTGGAGTTCCAGAATAAGTTCTACGTTGGGGCCGGGTACAAGTTTTCTCCGTTCTCCTTTAAAAGCATCCTGGATGGGACAGCCGACGAGTAGCCGCAGGTCCCGTGGCTGACACCCCTCTCTGTCAGTCTTGTCTTGAACATCAGCCCGCGCAAGACGGTTGATGGAACGATTGTCCTCAGCTGACCATGTATTATTTAGTCACAAGCCTTGGGATTTGTTAGGACTTCACCATGTCATAGAGGAACTATGTTGGCAAGTCATCCCAACCGCATATGGAGACCTAATTGCTAAATCCTAAAATGATAGAGGAATTGAGGGGGAGGGTTGCTACACTGATGTTTTCTTGCAATATTTTAGGTATTATATTTAAGAAAATAAAGTCCTAGGGCCATTTACTTTTCTTTAAGATGTTTATATTCAAAATTATTCCATAGAATTTATTTATTTATTGGGTTTTTTTTTTTCAGCATTAAAAAAAAAACAAACTCCATAGAATTTAGTGTTGATAATTTTAGGGCAAAGTTAAACAATAGAGTTACACAAGCTATTCCCAAAGGATTATGTTTATTTGATTCCTTCATTTCCTGCTTCCTCAAACACCCTTTTTCTTTGTCTGAGGCTAAGCTTTACAATATCAGGAACTTTCTCATAGGTCTTCTCTCTGGGTGAGTTAGAGCAGATGATGTTCTGTGTTTGATGGGGGGCTGGCCCCCAGGAGGCCCTCTGTGTTGTTAAGTCCTATGGAACGAAGTGCGACAACATGACATCATCAGCAACTCCGGTTACTCGGAAGGCACGTTACACCGTAGTAACAGAAGGATTTGTCGGCTCGGATAATTTCTGGAAAAGGGCGAGCCAGAAAGGACACTGCTGGATGGCCTGCCTGCCACTCGCTGGGCCAGTCGGCCTGGCGACTCCTGGACTGGTGGACTCCAATGGGCCATGGGTAGAATAAGATGGTTCCAAATAGACACACAGAGTAATAGAACAGAAGTGACAAGGAGTCAAATGCGTACAGTAGAGAAAGAAAAGCCCCTTCAATAAATGCTGCTGGGAAAGTTGGAAAGCCTCATGAAGAGAGTGAAACCAGACCGCTATCCGACACCGTATATGACGATGAACTCAAAACGGACTATGGACTGGAATGAAAGGCCTGAACCAGTGGAATGCATAGAAGAAAACATAGGTACTAAACTTGTGGGCCTTGATCTTACAGGAATTTTTGTGAACTTGACCCCAAAGGCCAGGGAAAAAAAAGCAAAAATAAATGAGTGGGACTACATCGAACTAAAAAGCGTCTGCACAGCAAAAGAGACCATCAACAAAACAAAAAGTCAACCAACCAAATGGGAGAGGATATTTGTAAACAATATCTTCGGTAAGAGGCTAATATCCAAAATGTATAAAAATCTCATGTGACTCAACAACAACAAGAACAAGAAATAATCCAATTAAAAACTGGGCTGAGGACATGAACAGATGCTTCACCCAAGAAGACATACAGATGGCCAACAGATAAAGGAAAAGATGATCAACATCACTAGTTATAAGGGAAATGCAAATCAAAACCACAATGAGATACCAGCTCATACCTGTTAGAATGGCTATCATCAGAAAGGCAAGAAATGTGTTGGTGAGGATGTGGAGAAAAGGGACCCCTCATGCGTTGCTGGTGGGAATGGAAACTGGTGAAGCTCTGTGGAAAACAGTATGGACTTTCCCCCTAAAATTAAGACCAGAGCTACCATATGATCCAGCAACCCCTCATCTGGGTATCTACCCCCAAAATTTGAAAGCATATATTCACAAAGATAAATGCACCCCTATGTTCATGGCAGCATTATTCACGGTGGCCAAGACATGGAAACAACAGAAGGGTCCTGCAGGGGGTGAGGGGTAAAGAAGATGTGGTCCATATACACAATAGAGTACTGCTCAGCCATTAAAAAAAATGATGGAATACTGCCATTTTGACAACATGGTTGATCTGGAGAGTGTCATGCTAAGTGAAATAAATCAGACAGGAAAGAACAAGAACCACATGATTTCATTCATGTGGGATATAAAATAGAAAGCAACAAATGAACAAACTCATGGACACAAACAACAGCATGATGGTGACCAGAGGGGGAGGGGGCGGAGGTGGGGGAGGGTGAGGAGGGCAAGGGGGTCAAATAGATGGTGGTGGGAGGCAACTAGGCCTCGGGGCAGGGCGGGCATGCAATGCGCTATGAAGATGACATCATGGGATTGTATAGCTAAACGTGTTATTTACCAATGGTACCCCAATAAACTTAATTAAAAAAAGGATTGTTCCATCAACTATTTAGTCTGAATGCCCTTTATGCAGGTTAATTACAATCTCTGTGGTAATTATCCTGGTAGAATGAAGTCTAGTTAATATTGATATAGAGGGTCCGGCACAAATAATGCCCTGTTTTTAAATTGCAAAATCTTTTATTACAAAATCATAAGCATGTCATTCTGTAAAATAACAATATCACACGCAAGCACACGATATGACATTTTAGGTGAAATGTTCAAATTAAAACTATAAATTATTACACCCCTATCGTTACCCTACAGACCACATTCAAGCGGGCCTTCCTTCTGCCAGACCCTGTATGTATATATATTATGTATATATTTATAATTATAGCTTCACAATTTACAAAGCACTTCCAGATTAATACGATTCTAAAAGACCTGGCAAAACTGAAGGGGCCTTCGGGCAGGCTTCAGCCCCGCCCCCCCCCCCCCCCCCCCCCCCCCCCCCCCCCCCCCCGCGCCTCTGTGTGCCGGCTTGACTGGTGCTCGTGGCAGCGTCGTGGCTCACGCGCCGGGGGCTCCCTGCCGCCTCCCATGTCGATGTCATGACTCGTCCAGCACAACCTAAGGCACAGTTAGATGCTCAGCGGATATTCATTTAATGACTAAAACAGGCGGAACCCAGGAATGGCAGTTGGAATCAGAAGACGTAGATCTTTGCGTTCCAGCTCCGACACGTCGGCTGTGCGCGCCCTCCGGCAGGAAATGCGCTTGTTCCCCTGATCGCCAACACGGGATAGGGACCTCCGCCTCTGGGCTGTGGAAGGGGGTCGTAAAGCACGGGGCACGGGCGAGGCCTTCAGTCAGTGACCTTGACCCCATGCTGCCAAGGCCACTGGACAGTGGGACAGTGTCAAGATTCTCAGCTCATTACTGCTCTTCTCAACAACCCTCTAAAAATACGATCCACTTAGATGGCTCACCAACCTTTTGCCCTTTAATCCTAAACTTGATGCTGCAAGTAAAGGTTTGAAGAAGCAGAACTTTCCTCTGCATCTTGCCTAGGCCCCTGCTCTTTGAGAAATCACCCCAGCCAGGGAACAACATATTAGTGTCCTCCAAGGTTTGGCGGCCTCTATCTGTTTCCATAAGAGATGTAATTTCCCCTTTACAAAGGGATCAGGTGACAGGGCTGACTGAGCAGGGGGTGTGACCCACATGTCACTCATTTGTCCCCATGCAAGGTTGTTCCTTAAATAATCCTGTTCACAGCACTGAGCCAAAAGGGGAGGAGAAGAGCTGGGTCCAGGTTTCAACCATCAGTGGTGGAAGCCATCAGTGGTCCAACTTCTGCATGCGTTTTGGCTGCTGTAAAGGGGAAGCAGAACAGCCCCAGACTGGGAAAAATTTCCAAGAAATATACAGAGGTAAGAAACTCCAGTGGGCACAGGGGATCTGGATTTATTTCTCCTGCTCTCAGGTGGTGGGTGAGGTGGGCCAGGAGGGCCTGGTTGAAGACAAGTGGAGTATGAAGCTGCTTCGCTTCTTGTTGGTGTTATTGCAAAACAAGTTACGTCATACACACACAAGTTGGGTTTTAAAAACTCTACTGTGGCCTGATTATTTCTGGCTAAACACAAAATGGATGAGGATAAAATGTTTGCCAGTCCCCTAGAATTTATTTTAATGAAGATTAAGCTCCACCTGAGCCTTTGAGTTTCAGAGTAGGTCCCCAATGTATCAGTTCTTTATTAGATCTTTTTGAGGTAGGTCATGGGTTACTTTCCCACTGTAGTTTTTAAGGAACTGAGAGGGTTGTGAAGCAGGCTTTCCTATTTTCCTAAATTGGTCTGATCATCCATCCACCCATCCACCCATCCACCCATCCACCCATCCACCCTCTTCTTTTAGGTTAGAAGAGATTTAGATCAACTAAGGAAGCCAAAGAATAGAAGATGCCAACTCAGCTTTTCCAACATTTCATTTCAACGTTGAGATTATAAACTGTCTCAATAACATTCTGCATCTCCATTTTGATGAAACATTTTGTCCTCTTTATGAAAACATTTCTTCATGAAACTTTTGGCTGAAACACTAGAAAAAACTAAACGAATACTTTCCGTGCCTGTTAACGTTGAGTTGGTGTTTTGAATGGTCTGGAATGTAGGCCCCTTGACAACGCAGCCACGTTAATGCCCGTGGCCTGGCGATCCGTCCACACTGCTGCTTCCCTACCAGCGCTCTGTCACCAAAGGGCTCCTGTTGTTAGAGATGCTATAGCACCTCTCAGGGCTGGAGCGACAGCTTTCTCTGTTGCAGGTGACTCGCCCCTTTGTTTTGTCTATCCCTTGGCAGCCTCCCTGCCATTGGGAACCCATGGGGCCTTGACCATCGTCAGGGGCCGGGCATTAGAAAGGTCGGTGGTACGACTGATAGTGACGCTGACCACTGTCTCGGTGGCTGGGCAGAGGCCAGTTTGCTCCTCCTCCGAGGGTCTGAGGGAGTCACACACCACCGGGCCTCCTTTTCAGCACCCCACCTCACCCCGGCTTCAACTGGGCCATTCCAGACTGAGGCGTGGAAGGGTGTTCTTTCTCTAAAATATGCTAATGATACATGTGAAGCAATATAAAACAGCAGGGGTATTTTTAGTGAAAATTATCCATCTTGTGCCTTTCATAAGTAAGAGGAGGTGACCCGTCTGGGTGAGTATCAGAGCTGTGTATCTGGTTGGAGCGGTTCTGAGGTCTTACATTCCCATAGACACGTAGCACCTGTGAGAGTTTCTTAACACCACTTAAGATTACCCTCGAAATAAGAGCAGTCTCTTTCAGAAAACAAGCAACTGGTTTTTTGTTTTTCGTTTTTTTCCATGTGGATGGTTTTTCCTTTGAGCCCAAGGTGTCTCTAATGTTAGCAGGCAATTAGTGGTGAATGCTTTTGGAGCCGCATACATTTGCTAATTCCATAGATCATTCAGAGTGCGCCCCGCGTGTATCTGATTTGTGGCTACGGTGAAATTTGAGAAGCATCGTTGATACCCTCATTCAGAGATGAGAAATGATACGTGCTTAACCGTGAGCACTTCTGTTGCCACGGGCACTGCGCCACACCATATGGACATCGTCTCCTTTCTTCCTCAGGACCCACTCGGGACGGCTTATCAGTTAAAAATTGTACCCAACTGGCTAGTCTCAGCACAGTGGTGTTTACAATTAATCACAGCCAATTAGTTACAGGTTTCCTTGTTCCTTCTCCCCTTGCTGCACTGGATTAGCCTAAAGGAAAAGGTAAGTAACAGACCACAAATAAGCGTCTTAGACAAGAGAGGGCTTTAGTTTCTTTCCCACGTAGTAGAAGACGTGTGGAGGTAAGTTGGCCCAGGCTGCAGGGAGGGATCGGGTGCTTTGGGTCCCGGGTCCTTTCTCACTCACGCTCTGCCTGATGTAGCGCACGATTTCCCCCTTTCCACCTTCATGTGTATATCTCGACCCAGGATGCCTGCTGAGGCGCCAGTCATCGTGTCCCCATGATCTGGGGAAAGGCAGGAGGACGAGGGGAAGGGGGGGTGAAAAGGGCTTCCTCAGAAGTGCCCCCCACCTCCAACAACCTCCGCCTGCATCTCAGTGGCCACCCCATCAACCAGGTACTAGGGGAGCCTTGTTACCGTGAAGGCAGTGAGATCTTTCTCCCACAGGAAGCTGGTATTATTTTTATGCTCAGGTGCAGAAATGGAACCAGTTCCATCTCAGATTCACCATGGCCGCTGACTCCCTTCCTCTCTCCTTTCCAGCCTCCTCCTTCCCTCCTCTAACCCTTCTCTCCATCCCCCTCTCCCCGGCTTCCTTCCTCCTCCTGCCTCTGTCCTTTCTCCCTTCTTTCCTTCCTGTGATGTTTGTCAATTTAGTAGTGATAAAATGATACCTACAGGTTTTTGTCATTATGATTTTATCAGTTGTCACAGAGGTGAACAGTTTTCCAGTTTTGTTTATAATTTATATATCCTCTTATGAATTGCCTATTTATATGATTTGCCCATTTTACTAGGATCTTTATTTTTTCTTGTAATTTGTGGTTTATATCTACTACAAACATTTATTAGTGAAAAGAATAAAAGAAAAAAATAAGAGCAAAATAACCAAAAAACCTTTTTTTAAAAAAAAATATGAAGTTATAACTGTGAATCTCTCTTTATGGGGTCAACTTTATTTTTATTTTTTTAATGGGGTGAGCTTTAATTAAGAGAACTATGATGCCATTATCTTGGATGTAACACCTTTTTATTTTATTTTTAATCCTCTCCCAAGGACATGCTTACTGATTTTAGAGAGAGGGGAAAGAAGGGAGTGGGGGAGAGACTTTGATGCGTTTTGCCTCTCCCACATGCCCCAGCTAGGCACCAAACCTGCAACCCCCGTGTGTGCCCTGACTGGGAATCAAACCTACGACTTTTCGGTTTACAGAATGATCCTCCAACCCCCTGAGCCACCCTGGCCCGGGCTTGGACATAACACCTTTTGCCAGGCCTTCTGAGTTAAATCACTTCTCCCTATTGATAAGAGAAGTATGTAGCATATTTATGACCTATCGAGCTACCTAATCAGGTTAAAACACACAACAAATTAAAATGTATTCTCCTCATTAGTAAGTGGCAGATTTCCTGGGTTTCTTTTCTTGCTGCTCAATACAAACAGCAAGAAGACTTACTGCACAGTGTTTTATTACTCCTCTCAAGTGTATGCTTTTATGAATGTTAAAATTGTACAACATGTTTATATTTTATGAGAAGTCATAAAATTTGGTAGAAGACATTATATGTTGAGTGAAGACTGAACTTACTTTTAAGCATTTAGTTGTAACTGAATTTAAATGAGCTTACTGGGATTAAAAAATATTTCCCCACCCAACTAAATTGTTTTATTCTCTAACACTATAAATGGTGAGAGTCACTTTTGGTTTTTAAACCTGCTGCCATAATTGGCATTACTATTTTTAAGAAAAGAAAATTGATATGATTTACATACAATAAAATTCACCATTTTAAACTGTATAATTCAATGATTTTTATTTTTATTTTTTTAATCCTCACCAAGGATGTTTTCATGGATTTTTAGAGAGAGAAACATCAATGTGAGAGAAACATCAATCAGTCACTTCCCATACACGCCCTGACCAAGGGTCGAACCCACAAGTTAGGTATGTGCCCTGACCGAGAAATGAACCTGCAGCGTTTTGGTGTATGGGACGATGCTCCAACCGGCTAATTCAATGGTTTTTATACTGTCACAAGGTTGTGCAAACATCACCACTATTTAATTCTCTGAATGGTCTTGTTTTCATATTTTGATTGCAGTAAATCTGTAGTTCATCTTCCCACCTAGAAACACAGTATTTAGTCAGAGTCGATTTCTAGTGTGCACTGAGGTCTTCTTTATTTTTAAGATTTTTAAATTTATTTTTAGAGAGAGGGGAAAGGAGGGAGAAAGAGAGGGAGAGAAACATCGACGCGTGTGAGAAACATCAATTGGTTGCCTCTCATATGTGCTGCAACCCAGGCGTGTGCCCTCACTGGGAATCAAATTGGCGAACTTTTACTTTGCGGGACGATGCTCAACCCACTGAGCCACACTGACCAAGGCATGTCCTCTTTATAATCAAACAAAGATGATTTTTCTGCTACCCATTTCATTTAAAAACTTATCAGATAACCCTCCTCCGAAGGGTGTTTGGGCAATGCCCAGAGGGACACAATGGTGGTTCTAGAACCGTCTGTTTTCATGTCTTTCATGTTTCCAGATGGGCTGAAAGACCAATTTTTTCACTTTTTCCGCTCAGTGAAAATAATAACTTTTTATTCTTTTCATGGCGTTTCTTGGGGAAAAAGGGATTTCATGCACTTATTTCTGAGAATTATTGATCTATCTGTCACTGTGACAGCATCTTAAGAAAACAAACAGTATCTACATTGCGGTATGGTGGTTTTTATGTGTGTCATTGGTGTTCCCAACTAGATTAAAAGGTCCTTTGGGCAAGGGACATGCCAGACGTGACCCCAAAGGCCCACAAAATGCAGAGCTGGCCCTTCGCCTACATTAGCGACCTTGATGTGCGTCCTGCCTGAGTCCGGACTGCTACCTACTGGGCGCCTGGCACTGGGAGAGTTATTTAAGAATGTCGGAACCTCATATTTCAAACTATCTATTTTGAAAAATGTTACACATCTTCAAAAGCAGAGGATAGTAAAACGAACCTACCCTCTGTGCTAAAGTCAAAAAATGATACCGGTATTATGACTAACAATATAATTACTAAGAACAGAATAGTATTTCTGTTTATCCCACTAGGGATGTAGAGTTACATTACTGTGTCTTACAGTCATTTGGAAAACATTGTACTAACTTGGTCCTCAGCTTTCTTTGATGTATTTTTCTTTTGATTTTGGGGATTATTAATCATTTTTAGGGTTAAATACAAAAAGGGGGGAATACAAAGAAGAGCTCCTCAGTTTCTGTCAGTAGAAAACATAATACACCAGAAAGCACCCTGGAACATATGATTATGCCGTGAACATTGGGTCCGTGGAGATGGAAAGGCCTGGCACAGTGACTGTTTCTCTGTAGCAAAGCCCATTTCACCCCCGGTTGGGGGATGCTATTGGCCAAATCATCAAGGGCTCCCTTCGCCCCAACACAGGGTTGTTTGCTTGCTGCTGGGGTCTAATGATTTCATTTGGCTATTAAAACTCTGTGTTTTAGGTTCATTAATATGCAAAATGGTGATAAATTACAAAGCCTGCCCTGGCTGGTGTGGCTGAGTGGGCTGAGTGCTGGTCTGTGAACCAAAAGACCACCGGTTTGATTTCGATTGAGAGCACATTCCTGGGTTGTGGGTCAGGTCCCCAGCTGGGGATGTATTAGACGCAGGCAATCGATGCTTCTCTCCCTCGCTTTCTCTATCCCTTCCTCCTCTCAAAAAATAAATAACTAAAGTCTCTTTTAACAATTGTAAAACCTACTTCACAGATTTTCTGTGAAGATTAAAGAAAAACATGTACTCAGTTATATTTCTCTCCTCCTTCCCTCTCCTGCTTCCACCAGGGGAGTCGTGTGAGAAATTTGAACCATTTAGAAGATGGTAACCAAGCAAGTGGAGCCGGTCACCATCATTAGCCTTCGGAAGCTGAGCCTGGGAGCCCCAGAGCCACAGCCGAAAGGTAAGATGATCTAGAAGTCACTGACCCTGAAGCTGCTGCTTAATTCCACCCCCTTTCCCATGTTTACTAGTGTTTATAACAATGAATTAGTTTTCCAACGTCCTCTGGGGTAAGTAATAGTCCACACACATTTCCTACCCATGGAAGCTGTTCTTTTTGATAGGGGAACTCAAGAGTTAAAGATTTTGGCTTCAGTGATAGTTGATAGGCTTAAGCGACTACTACCTGTGGAGAGCTGTTATTCCAGGAACTGGATGCAGGACCTACCGTAACTCCAGGAGGCTGACAAGCAATTCAGCCTTTGTGCCCCAGAGGGTCTGCAAGCGATGGGGATGGTATCTGAGCTGTTGCGAGGGAATGCCCATGATGCAGATAAAGAACTATTGATCAACAGATAAAGAAGTACCAGGAAAAGAAGTACCCTGGACTGCAACTCTTGTCCAATTAAACTTTTTCCAAACCCCTTACCTACCCTTTCCTTCTCCCTATAATAATGTCAGCTTGTGATGAGATGTTAGGACAGTTTTTGCGGGTATGTAACCCCCCATCTTCCCAGATTGCCAGCCATCTGAATAAAGCGCCCATAAAGATTCAATCCTCGTCTCTACTTCGTGGTTCTGGTAGTGACATGCAGCACAAACATGGACATTTCCTTTATCTTTGCCTTTCCTCTTCAGAGCCAAAGACGTTCACTGTGGAAGATGCCGTGGAGACCATCGGATTCGGACGTTTCCACATCGCTCTGTTTCTGATCATGGGAAGCACGGGGGTGAGTCTGCTTGGAGACGGTGTGAGTCTCCACAGCTGTTGCATTGTGGGACAGCGTGTCCCCCTGACCCCCAGGGCTGGCCCTTCAGGGCAGGGCGTGAGAGAAGCAAGAACTTGGTGAGGTGAACGATCCACAAGTTATTTTCATCTATCTTTGGCAGATGCTAGGTTGTGAGCAAATGCGTATCTGTGTTTTCTGTTCCGGGCGTTAAATACCCATGTTAAAAACAGGTTTAACTGGGAAGAGAGAAAAAAAATTATGGTATTATTCTAAGTTAAATTAGAAACATGATTCTCATACATTTTGTGCATAAGCCTGTTGTAATTATAGACTTTCAGATCCTTTAAGGGCGCTGATGAAGGTGTGGAGGAGGAACAAAGTTTCCCCACCCACAACTCTCCTGGCTGGTCTGGTACATAGACAGGAGACAGATTAGCAAGAGGAAATAACCGAACTTGACATGTCCCTATGGATGGGGACCTTGCATGCCTGAGAGTCAGAGACCCCACGTGCAGGAGAGGACCCCGGAGAGAAAGGGGGATTGTGACTCCTGAGCTAGGCTTAGGGTAACGCACCCTGGGGGCTTCCAAGGGTCATTGCAGGGTGATCGGAACAGAGGAGAGGTTTGCCCCGCCCTGTAGAAAAGTCGGAAGAAGTTATCATGATCATCTCATGACGGGCAAGGCCCCTGATTCACATTCTTCTAGGCTATGAAAGGGAAGGGCGGAAGTTTCTCTTGAGCCTGAAGCTAAAATTGCCTTTAGTTCACTGTAATCTGCATGCCGCTGAGGCCCATCTTGGGGTGGCTTGTTCTGAACCCCCACAAGGGTTTGCTCTTTTGAGGAAAGAAGAGTGACCGCTGAGCCTGGGGGCCCTCGCAGGCCGTGGGATGTGCTGCGAAGCTCAGCTGCTTCCTCTTTTTGCAGGTGGAGCGAGACTATGTTCCGCACCCCATGTGGAGAGGCATAATGATAGGGTTAGTGAGACAGAATGGAAAATCTGAGGCAAGTGGGCAACGTAGCAATGGTTTCAGGTAGGAGCAAAGGTAACTGAGAGGGAGTCCGAGAGCAAACACTAGAGAGCCCTGCCCCCACTGTTCAGCTAAATGGTGCAAGAAATAGCGTGAGCTGGCGGCAGCCCATGACACATTCTGGTGCATCTCTTGACAGCCTTGCCCTCTCAGGGTGCAGTCTAAGAGAGAAGGAGAAAAAGACAAGGCAACAACCTAATCCTGCTTTCTTAGTAACCAGTAGAACAGTGTCCAACATTTCCTCATCTATAAAGTAAGGCCTCACTGAGGCTCTGACTTTTTTTTTTTTTTTTAAGTTTTCAGAGTACCGTTATTAAAGCTGGGATCAGTGAAACAAGGAGGGGCCTAGGATAGAAGCAACAGGAGGGAGCCCAGGCCAGGCTGCTTTAGCCTCTAGAAATGTTATCAGAAGGAAGTGAGCCAGGGTGGGGCTGCTGTCAGCTCACTGGAAAATCAGAGAAAAGGGGCCTTGGAGGCAGGGTCGGGGGTTACCTTGGGATGAGACGCTGCTGCCTCTTGCTCCCCTGGTTGCAAGTCTCATGGGGACCCTTAGAGTTTGGAAGAAAATTCACTCAAAACGGAGATTCAAGTGCGTGTGCCCCAAGGAGGATGCTCACTGCTCTGGATTTTTAAGATTCCATATTTTGAGGGACAGATAAGTGTGGATGAGAAGGGTCTTCTCATCACCGCTCCTCCACTTCCAACCAGAGAATTTCCCCTTCTGTTTGCATATTTGTTTTCTAGTATGCTTATTTCTTGGTCCCCTTGAAAGGAGTGTTAGACACTCCCTGCATCTTTTACCTTCAAATATGCTGGGAACCTGTCTTTCCTTCCATGACAGCCTCTAGCAAGTGGAAAGAAAATACAGACAGTTTTTACATTCCCATATCAACCAAACCACTTCCATACAGAGGAAGTGCATCTGTTTGTTGTTGTCTATATTTGAAAGGCAATGCCACGTGCCTGCTTTCCACTGTATCACCTCTCTACAGGTAACCCATCTGCAGTCCATATCCATGGCAACTGTATGTCTAATGCACCCTCTAATTGATGTTGTGAAATGGCTTCTTGTTGTCTTCAATTTTCAGTGTTTATAGGCTGCTTCAATTCCTCCCAATGCATCAACTAGGAAGGACTGCCTACCTGGACCCCCTCCTCCACCCACCACACACAAAAGAAAAGAGGAGTGCTTGTTTGGATATGGTAACCATATCCCTCCCCTGGATTTTGGGTGTTCTGCTTTGTGGACCAGGATCTTTTCAGCAGCACAGATGTGTGGACAGTGATGGGTGTGCCTCTCCAGGCCATGGCCTGTATAGGCTCATTCATAGGCACTTGGGGCAGGGTGCCAGGGCCTCAGAGGACCTCAGCCCATGACCAGGAGTCCTGGTCTTCTCCAAGGCCTTCCATGAGGTCTTCTAGGATCTCGTAAGACGCTGCCCCTCCACGGCCCCTCCCTAGCTCCTGACGGGTCCCTCTGCCTGAAGGTTATTACACAAGGTGAGGCAAGAGTAGGTTTATAGCTGTGAGCATGTGAAACACCACGTTTATGCTTATATTATTATTTATTAATCGTTGTGCTATTTTCCATATGAACAACTGTAAACCCACTTTTGTCCCACCCTGTATCAGCGTGGGGCCAAACCTTATCCCTTATTGGGTGTTTCCTGCTAAGACTTCACCTTTAATCAGGAGTGGAGTCCTGCCCTGGCTGGTGTGGCTCAGGGGATTGAGTGCCAGTCTGTGTATCAAAGGGTCGGCAGTTTGGTTCCCTGTCAGGGCACAGACCTGGGTTGCAGGCCAGGTCCCCAGTAGGGGGCACTCAAGAGGCAACCACACATTGATGTTTCTCTCCCTCTCTCCTACCCCACTCTCTAAAAAAAAAAGAAAGAAAAAAAGAAGAGTGGAGTCCTGATTAATATTGGCCCAGCTGCTCTCTATTAGTGAGATAAGTTTAATAAATCAAATTTCTCCTGAGAATCAAACATGCTATCTCTTATTCATGATACTTGGTTTGGGCTAAAGCATACCAGTTGTCTAAACACCAAACATGACTGTAATACTCTCCAAGGGCAGACACGCTATTATGATATACTTCAAATTCCCACACATTAGCTCATATGATTATACCTTTTTCATCCCAGACCTTTAAGTTACACAAATACTAATAGTACTATAATAAATACTCCATATGAGTATGTTATTGTTACCAACAGAACATGGCCCAAATTCATTTCCCCCTTTACAGTGTCCAACTTTATCCCCATCTGCTAACAATTTTCCCTTAAAAAATGTTTTTTAACTGATTTTAGAGAGAGAGGAAGGGAGAGAGAGAGAGAAGAAACATCGATTTGATGTTTCACCTATTCCTGCATTCATTGGTTGATTCTTGTATGTGCCCTGACTGGGGATCAAGCCCACAACCTTGTATCGGGAGGGTGCTCTGACCAGCTGTGCTACTCGGCCAGGGTCCTTTTCCCTTTCAATGATGTCATTTTCATCCCTTCCTCCAGGCACAAAGCCTCAGAATTATCTTTGGCTTCCATCTTCATTAGTCTGAGCTGAATTTCTATAATCTCTGCTTATTCTATCAATTCCTTTATTGCATCTACTTCATTCCCCAGGAGACAAGCTCACCCTGGTATGGGTAGCAAGATATGGACAGGGGATGATAATTAAAATTTCTATTGAAAGAAATATTTAGTAGCACATCTTATACTACATTTGCCACATAGACATTCTTACCTGATGATAAACTCATGTTGTTTGTACTTGTTGCTTAATTGTTTTCTTTTCTTTTTTTGTTGTTTTTTGGGGGGCAGGGCTTGGGCAGGCCCTGCCCCTCGCCCTACGGCAGTGTCTCTGGCCCACACTCCCGCCTTTTGCTTTCTTGTCTTCTGCTTTCGTGAATTGTGTCTCCCTGTCCCGACTTCTTGAGAAAGGGGCTATTTCAAAACTCCATTTATAACGGGCAGGTCCTGAGAGCTTCATGGTGATGCGTATAAAGCAACAGGGTTAGGTGGATATGGATGGGGGTGAGCCACAAACTGACCTCGTAGCATGACAGTGCAGGCGCAGGGATCCCTAGCATCTCAAGTGAATGTGTGTCATAAACCTGGGGACCATTCAAAATGTTCAGGTAGGCCCTGGCTGGTGTGGCTCAGCGGACTGAGTGCCAGCCTGCAAACCAAAGTGTTGCCGGTCCGATTCCCAGTCTAGGGCACCTGCCTGGGCTGTGGGCCAGGTTCCCAGTAGGGGGCGTGCAAGAGGCAACCACACACTGATGTTTCCCTCTCTTTCTCCCTCCATTCTCTTCTCAAAAAATAAATAAATAAAATCTTAAAAAAAAATACAAAATGAAAATGTTCAAGTCATAAATGTTACAGCAACAAGGGCCACGGTTTTACTCTGCCTCTTTATCCAAATGCCAGTGCTGAGTGGGTGCACAGTAGGTGCTCCCTAAATGGGGGAGGGGAAGGAAGCAGTTCATACTAAAGATGACGCACAGGCAGGCATGGGAAGCAGTGGTGACAAGCTAGCTCTTAGACTTGGTATTTTCTCTCCTTCTTAAGATTGCAGAGGCCATGGAGATCATGTTAATAGCAGTTGTGTCTCCTGTCATCCGCTGTGAATGGCAGCTGGAAGACTGGCAGGTGGCATTAGTGACCACAGTGAGTACCTGCTTCCTGTGCTGCACATGAGCCAACTGAAGACTGGGGCTTCTACTCCCCTACCCCATCCCACCTGGCTGAGAGCCAGATATCCACCTTCCCCCCTGCTTCCACCCCACTTGGCCTGCTGGCTCTCAAAGCTCATGAGTTTGAGCCCCAAACAAGCATTTGAGGCCTTGTTCCCCTTTTTCTTTTCCTCTGGAGAGTGCAACTTTGACTTGCTTGTTTTCCAGCTCCTAGCAAAGGCTCCAAGGAAATAAACGCAAATCAGAGAGAAGAACTCTTAAGCCATGGGTTAATTGTGCTTCAACTATTAGTTCAGATCACTAAGCGGCTACTTAGTGTGACAAAAGTGACCTAACCAATGACCAGATCACCCTCACTGAATTGCTTGTTACACCTTCACCTTTTCTCAAGGGCCATATGAATAGCTTTGCGAATTGCACCCCAAATTTTGCTGCAAAGTAGAATTAAGGATGTTAACCTATCCTTTCACACGGCATTTATTAAGCAATGATCAATTGCCGGCAGACTCCGTGTGCGTGTGCACATGTACGTGAGTGTTGGAGGGAACGAGCAGTGCCGCGTTGCTCAAATCGGAAGTGAGGAGGAGGGAGCGGCAAGGAGGGTGCAGAGACAGGTGGGGGCCAGAGCGCCGTGGCGTGTGCCGCGGACCCCACTCTGTAGACCGCGGTCGGTCCCTGAGCCCACCTTGGGCCAAAGTGCACAAGCCCTCCAAGCAAAAATGGGAGGCACAATGTGTGTGAAAGTTTTCCAAAATACTGTTTTGCATAACAAAAGTCAATTTTACATAAATGCATTGTTGACTTTATAGTCCTTATGCTTTCCTTGTTAAATGAATATTGAGGTACACCTTGTACCATGCAGAGCTCTATTCCAACTTTTTAAAAAAAAATTTGAAGAAGCTCTTCAGGCATAAACATATTGGAATCCACAGTGTGGACGATGGGAAGATGTTGGAGGGGTTCGAAGGGGGCATGGCCAGCCTGGCTGGTGTGGTTCAGTCAGCCGGATCGTCATCCCACAGACTGAAGGGTGTGGGTTCGGTCCCTGGTTGGGGCACGTATCATAGGCAGCCGGTTGACATGCCTCTCTCACATGGATGTTTCTCTCCCTCTCTTGCTCCCTCTCTTCCCCTCTCTCTAAGATCAATAAGCATGTCCTTGGGTGAGGATTTAAAAATTAAAAAAAGAGTGACATGATCCCTTATCCAAGAACTCAGAGGAGAGAGGAAATACCTTTCAACAACCCTCATCTTTCAAAAACAGAAGGGCACGGTAATACCAGTCATCAGAGATAAAATTACTCCAGAATAAAAAAAGCCCTTCATATATAAAATGTTTAGATTTATGCAAAATGTACCCCATTTTCCTTGTTTTTACTATTTTGCAGAGGACTGATTAGAGTTTGTTATGGTTAAGCCTACCTCCCAGGACTGGAATTTAGAAAACACTGACTTTCCCTCTTCATTTCTATCCTAGAAAAAATCATGCACAGAGGAAACACAAAGCTTTTGTCATTCGAGAATAGATATGATGTTTTTTATAGTTCCCTGTAGAAGAAATGCGTCTATGTAGCTTTCTTATGAAGAATAAGGAAGAGAGATAAGGTGAAAACAAAGTAGGCAGCAGAGAGAAACAGATCTTCCTCATCGAGAAAGAGTTAGAAATGCCAGCTACCACCTTCCCTTTGATCAGCCTGGGAGCAATCAGTCCAGGGATGTTATTAGAAGACAAAGCAAGTAAAGCTTAGAGCTGCAGAAGGCAGAAAAGTAAGTCACCTTAAGGCATAGACATTAGAGTACAGCTCCAGCCGAGTTAAAGTGCTGGCATCGTATCCAGGTGCCTGAGTTTTCTCAGGGTGGGACGCGCCATTGTGAGAACAAGTAAGGAAAAGAGGTAGGTTTCTATTAGATTTGAAGAGTGTTTCTAAATGAATGATTGGTTTTGGTATTTGCTTAAAGTTCGTGTTTGTCTGTAACAACATAGAGGAGGCTGCTCCTAGAAGTCTCACCTTGTGTGGGATCAGAGCACGAATGAATAGAGTTTTTTGAGTTATTAAATGGAAATTCACAATTACACACCTGAGCTGAGTGGGGCCAATGCCATCCCCTTGGGTTGCAGAGAAAGCAGTTACCTGTTCCTTTCACCTGTTTCCACCTGGTGGCAGTGTTTCCAGGTGGGAGCTCAGCCTCCGAGGCCCTGAACCCATTAAACAGGAGTCCGGGCAGATCTGTGTGAAACCAGCTCTTCACTTGCACCCTCTGCACAGTTCTAGTCCGCCTGTAATTAAGATGGATGGATGCTCAGTGCAGTCAACTAGCAGGTTACCACAACTCTGCTTAGAGAATCATTTTTTCTTGCCCTGCCTCCAGATGGTGTTTTTTGGCTACATGGTCTTCAGCATCCTCTTCGGCCTCCTGGCTGACAGATATGGCCGCTGGAAGGTAGGTTGGCCTTGAAGGATGATTTGCGATTTTCTTTAGTGGACTTTCTCTACCAATATCCAAGATCCAAAGTGTAGACATGCCCTCTTCTGATATCACATGCCTGAATTCCAGGCCCGTCTTCTTGCTTTCTCATCTTTCCTGAGGTACCTGTCCCCATACTTGGTCCCCATAGTCTAGGTACAGGGCTGATGGAGGTGCATAGTTAGAATATATTAGAATGTGGGAACCTGCCCGTAGAGGCATAGCAGCTTCTCATTAGTTAACTGTGAAACCGAACCACTTGCTTTACAATCATGCACCTGCTGAGATGGAACAGCAAACTGAATCTGTGTCTTCTGATTACAAACCCAGGTCTTTCTTCTTGTCTTGCCTGTTTTCTCATGGGGAAGGCCTCACTAAGCATACACGCAAAGGGAGAAGCCCCAAAGGAAACTTTAATAGAATTGGCTGTATTTTTGAAGTACACGAAATCAATATCATAGACTCATAAATTATATGAAAACACAAGTACCTCAAAAAAGGTAAAGAGCACAAAAAGGCATTGGCAAAAAAAGTACAAATGGTTAAGAAACCTTAAAAGAGTATTCAACCACAGGGGTTATTGAAAGCAAAATTACATAGTGCCAACGAAAAGAAAGTGAGGCTCTGTAAATTTAAGAGAGACTATTATTTGGGCCTTACTGAGGGCTATGGCCTGAGAGCAAAGCTTCCAGAAGCCTTCCACGGTGCTCCAACTTTGGAGAAATGAGGGGCGCTCACATAGGCAGAAAAATAAGCTGAAGTACACTTGGTCAGGGTACGCACGTTTCAGTGACCGACAGCTCTGCTACAGCAAGTGGAAGGAATGTGTGAGAAAGACAAGGTGGGGTCCCTGGAAAGGATGTCTAGGAAAGACAAGATTGGGTCTGGAAACAATGAAACTGCTTTAGAACCGTTTAAGATGCATTTTTAAATGTGGGCATTGAATGAACAGACACTGTTTTCTGTAACTGTTGACTTGGTGAGTGAAAAGGGGCCACCAGCTAAACCTGACAAGCCCAGGGGAGGCCTGTGTGGCGACCATACAATCTCAGAGACCTAGAGTAACCTCAGAGGATGGTCTCAAATGAAAACTTTCTAACTAAAAGCCGGTCGTGGTGGGCAGCCCTGTCTTAGTCTAGAATCTTCTTTGACAAAGGTCAATCTTTACCTTAATTGAGCCTGTCTATTGTCCTTTGGCATCTACAATAACATACCTTTGGGATGTCAAATTTCCTTTTTCCGGACCCCTCAAAGCACAGGAACTGCCCCAAAGGGAGACCACAAATCCCCTCATTGTTATTGTTATGTTAATTGTTGGCTGTTAGCCACTCTGAACATACTTAATAAAAGAAGTATGTGTCTACCGTCTTACTTTTTATCCAATCCTAGAGCTCTCCTTCCCACCACGTTGCTTTCTTTCGCCTCCCTAATCTACCACCAAGAGATTTCATGGAACCCACTTCCATCTTCTCTTTTGATAGTAATGTATAAGATAAGGTGCAAAACTGCCATTTTCTGGAGCATTTTCTCAATTTGTTGAGGTTTTATTTCCTGGCGATTGTCATCAGTGTGGCTCAAATAAACTCATAACAATTCTTACAGGTTTGGACATTTCTTACACTGACAACTTTTAGCTTTGAAGTTCTGTAGGAGGCGTGGAGACTAGACTTCACCATCTGCGCCTCAGCGAGAAACAGAAGGAGGCTCACTGGCCCCTGTTGGTTACTCTTTTAGCCAGACTAGCTTAAGCACCTGCTTATTTCCTCAGAAGTCAGGTACATTTTTTTCTCTTAGCAAATCCATTTCAAACATCAGATCCATAAGGAATTTTTCTTAAAAAGACCTGCGAGTGTGTAGATGGCCTCACTTGCTGTAGGGATAGTTTTTCTGACCATGAGAATATCCATCCTCCTCATCTGACAGTTTCATTCCAAATTCTAGCCTGTTTAGATCCTCAGAGAACCACAAAGATTTATGCACAGTCATTCCCAGAGCTCATTTTAATAGAAAATGCGAAATCACCTCAGCGTTCAATAATAAGAGAAAGGGTTATGCATTCTGTTACATGTGTTATAGTACATCTTTCCAATGGAATATTTTACAGTCATTAAAAATATGTTTTCCCTTACAAACTGGGAAAATAGGATAAAATCATGTTAACAGTATTATCTCTGGGTTGGAGAATCGAGGGCGACTTAAGTAGTGTATATATATGTTTTTTTGTTTTTTTTCTTTCATATTTTCTACTATACATGTGTGTGCTTACAATTAGAGAAAAAGCAAATATCCTAATTTTTCTCCTCACACCCACTCCAACACAAGGACCCCCTGTGCCCCCGACATCCCTGAGAGCAGGGAGGGCAAGTTTCTGCATTCTCAGGGCAGCTGGGGAACTTCAAAAAACCATCTACACGCAGAATTGTGAAGGAAAAGGCAGCTCTCATGAATCTGACAAATCCAGTGAGCGAAACCGACCTCACGGGGTGATGCGATCATAAATTCCTAACAGGGCAGGTTGTGGTGGGCAGTCCTGCCCCGGGCTTAGAACTTCCTTAGTGAAAGTTCTATCTTTGCCTTAAGCAAGCCCTACACAGTGTTCTTGCACTTCTAGGTTAACACGCCTTTGAAATACCAGAGTAAGCCTCTTTTCTAGATCCCTTAGGGGCAGAGGTGGAGGCTCTCAGTGAGCACAGAACGCTCCTGAAATCCAGCCCGAGAGGTTTCCCTGCCTTGCTCTCCCTTAACTCCGGGTAACAGTCCTTCCGGTCCCTCCTTCAATCCAAATGTATAAAAGGAACCGCAAAGCGGTGCTTCTCCAGGGCATTTGCGATCTCGTTTCCCAGCGTGTGTTGTCAGTTTGCCTCGAATAGACTCATACAAATTCTCTGCCGCTTTGGAGGTCCTCCCGCCCGCAGGCCGCCTGGGCTTTCAGGCAACAGAAGGTCATGGATTGTGTTGTTCGATGATCAGGAGAGACCAGCGAGCCCCCAGAGAAGCAAACAGCAGGGTGGAAATGAAAAATCACCTTTGGATGTTAGGTTTTCTCCCCTATTTCCTATGGAGACAGGTCCCATTAATAAATTTCTTTTTGTCGCTTCAGATTTTGCTCATCTCGTTCCTGTGGGGAGCCTACTTCTCCTTGCTGACCTCTTTCTCTCCCTCGTACATCTGGTTTGTCTTCCTGCGGATGATGGTGGGCTGTGGTGTCTCTGGCCATGCACAAGGGTAAAGGCTTTTTGTAGAGGGACCCATGGGAAACATATATACACTCACACACACGTACACAGACACTGGTTACTAGATTAATTAACAGCATCAGTAAGTTGTGAATGTATGGACTTCACTTGTGCTAATTATTTTTGAGCTTTTTTTTTTTTTTAAGTGATGGCCACTTATTTCTCTAATTGCTATAGGCCCATCCAGACTATGTTTGCTAGCAGACCGCTGGATCAAACAAGTGGTAACTTATTTGTTCTTAAGGCTATTTGGTATTTTTTAGAAAAATACTATTTTGTTAGACTAAATGCTAAACCAAAAGTGCCGCGTGAAGCTGGAACCAAAAATGTCAACCCAAACACAGTCTATTCGTTTCCTGAGAATTTGTTGGAAGTGTTGAGTTTGACTGTAAGTGCCCGTAACATTTGAGAGTAACCATTTGAAAGTGCCATCGTCCTGTGATTTCAGACTGTGTCAAATGACTTTGCAAAGCAGGGTGCAACATATTGAAAGGCGGCCTTGGATGAGTGCGCAGTTATCTTGTGTGTGGGTGTGAAAGGGCTGATGCGAAAGTCTCAGCAGTTGGGGAGCCTCCCTCACGGTAACGGGGCCCCTCCGGCTCTTCTCTCCAGGGCGCCTGGGAGCAAGTTCCCTTAGAATATGTTAGGAGATGTCAAAGCACTAATTGTTACCTTAGTGTGTTAGGGAAAGAATTGTTCTTCCCTGGGGCGTAAGTGAAGCAGCGGCCTGTGGCTGGGAGCCCAGGAGGAGCTCTGCGAGGCGGAATTTAGAACATCCCTCAGAGGGCAACCCGATAAATACCTATGTGTAAAACCCCAACCCCTGGCTAATGACTGCAACAGAGAAGGACAAGGAAAAAACTGACGGAATATGTGTCCATTTATTCTCCTCTTCGCAGAATTAATATGTACGTAATTAGAAACCTGTGCCTTGGCTGCCATCACTGGCTGAGGAAACTCCCTGCTCTCGCTTGTATGCCGATTTCCCAAGTATATCTTAGAAAAGAGAATCAGATCTGGAAAAGCATTTCCAACATCTCTCTTGGCAAAAGAGATAGGCTAACATCTCTTAAATAGCAAGAGATAGATAACAAGGAATAAATTGCTTGGACTTCCTCGAATGTTCGGAATAAGAATGTTCATAGAACACCGGGAATAAAAATGTAAATGGAAGAGCAGTTTTAAATTTACTTCTCATTTTCTTATGGGCATGTTAGCTGTGTTAACCTAAAAATAAAAAGCCACAGTGAGAGCCAACGCATGTTTATTTAATCCAAGAGAACAGGCATTCGGGAGGCTCTGATTCAGGCAAAAACCCCAACGCTCCCCCGATTAGGAGGTGAAAGCAAGGGGCGTTTGTGAGAAGGGGAAGGGGAATGACCACGGGACTGGAAGGAAGGAATTTCTCCGGCTGCAGAGAAGCTAAGGAGGAATGTCTACAGGTGCGGATAAGCTCACACAGTGACTAATTCTAAAGAATGACTGCAATTTTCTCTTTTCCTGCTGTCCCTGCAAATAGCTGCTCAGAATACAGGGCTGCTTCGGGCACAGTCCAAAGGCCCTTTTGCCCAGTTTTAACTTTCCAGAGGTTTGAAGAGTAAAACTTGTGAGGTGGTTCTTTCAAGATGGAACTCCGGCTCCATTTTGAAGTGGCCCGGTTTATATTGTTTTTTTCCCACAGCTGTTTAACAATCGCATTTTGATGTATGATTGTCTAGGAAAAACTCCCTTCTCTTTTCCTTTGGCGCGTGTACCATTTCTGACAATGCTTCACATCTGACACCAACAGTATGGACTTTTTCCCACACCAGCCAATTCTCTGGCACCAGCTGGCTGCCCGATAATTCCATCCTGACCGGAACCAGAGTGAGTGCGGGTCCCACAGGTTCCAGAACAAAAGATGGCCCCATTGAGGCAGGAAAGTTAGAATAGTGAACAAAGGTCTCAGGTTCTACCCCTTCCTTTCTCCATCTCGGCTGGAGCATCACAGACCAACCACCTGTTCCACCCCGCCGCCCAACCCCCTCCAATTTCCTGTAATTGGGAGAACTGAAAATAAATCGCTACCTGGAGAGGAGCGACAAGGATGAGGCATGTAGGCAGTCACCCCCCAGCGTCAGAAGCAGAGGACCCGCCTACGCGCCCCCTTACCCATGTTTAATAAAAAACTGTCTACCCTGATATGACTGGTGCATCTTGTTCTCCAAGTTGCCTACTCTCATTTTTCAAGTGCGTACTATCACTTTAATAAATTTACTGCACTTTGCTGAATCTTTCTGTCATGCTCTTGAATTCCTACTTGTTCAGTGCCAGGGACCTGGCTCGGGTTATGGGTACTTTTGCCGCCTCAGGTACCACCCAGCATCACCGTCATCTAGGAAATGCCAGGGGTTTTAGGAGCTGGGTGTCAGGAGACCAGAGTCAAAGACCAAATGTTAGCAGGCACCAGGGCAGAGAACAACATACACGTTCCTTACCATTTCATAGTGATGAATGTCCACGTTTTCTAACTCTTTCTCTGCGATAAGAAGAAGTATGATCGTTAAAATAAGTTCTTGGGTTTAATAATAACAAAATTATGTTTTCTCCCCTTCCCATTTCAGGCTAATCATAAAGACTGAGTTTTTGCCTACAAAATATCGAGGCTACATGCTCCCCTTGTCTCAGGTAAGGTCAAGCAGGAATTCCGCCCCGCCTTCCCGGGGAGCAGGAGGGACACGGTCACCACACTGCCCGTTGCTGGTGCCCGCCGCAGGGCATTAGGAACACATTAGGAACGCGGGACACCAGAGAGCCGGTCCCAGGGTTTTCCGAGCCCGCTCTCCCACCGCCCGCAGCAGCCTTTGGAGCGCAGCAGCCCCTTCCTCGCTGGCCAGGAAACGTGGCAATGGCTGATTTAGCGGGGATGACGGCAGCCCAGGAGTGCGCCTGGGCTGAACTTCATGGAGGGACAAAACCCCCCCGGCTCCCCCAGGTAGGGCATCTCGCCTCCCTGCCAGGAATACTAGGGGCTGCCAGCCTGTAACTGATCCATGCCTGTGGGAACTTGTCATCCACTTCCCTGATGAGCCACTTGTCCAGGTGAGGAGACCGGAATGCTCTCAGGCCCTCCTCAAACCCTGCTGGCCACTGACGGGAGGTTTCGCTGTGTCCGTCTGGGCGTCCTTGTACCATCTTTGATGCCGTCATTATCCCAAAGTGCCGGCCTTTCAGAGGTCTTGAGGAAAAGACAACCCTTCCCACGGAGGCGTTATATATTTGGCCATAAATAAATAAATAGTGGGATATTGCTTTTAAATTTATTTTTAATTTTTCTGATGCGAAATTTAAGCCACGAAAATAACAACAAAACATTAGAACCTAACAGACACGGAATAACTCTTTCCATCCCTCGCAGGTTTCTTGCTCCGATTCTTTGTTGAGATGGCCCCGCACACTCTCAATCCCTAGGGGCTGGGTTTCACATTTAACGTTCTTTGTTGGTATGGTCCTGCTCCCAGTCATTTGCGGATGTTTTCTCTTGCACCTGCCACTCATTCCTTAGCGTGCTTCCTGGCTATGTATTCTCCTTGCTTCTCTTATTTTTCAGGTCTCCTTGGGTCATCTAATTTACTCCAACGTGTTTAGCTCTGTCTGTGCGTATGACCCCTCCGACCTTTATCCACAGCCAAGAGTACCCCCTTGAACTTCAGACCCAGGTGGCCAATTACCTGATAGTGACCTGAATATCCTACAGGTTCCTTAAACACAACATTCAGAGACCTAACATTTTTATCTTCCTCTGAGGACTCTTACTTACTTTCAGGTAAAAGCAAATGCTGTCCCTCAGTTGCCTGAGCCACCAACTAGAGAGGCATCCGGGACCCCTCCCTGCCCTTCTCTCCCATTGTACGAATCACCAAGCCCTACTGATTCAGCCTCTGTCCCTCTCGACAGCAGGCTCATCTGTCCTGTCCCCTTTACCTCCAAAAGGTGTGCCTTTTGTAAATCCATGTAAAAAAAAATTTTGGGGGGGTCATTTCACTACTACAGCCCTTTTCAGTGCCACATCGCCTGTTACCTGGTCTCCTGCGATGGTTTGTTACTGACCTTCAGAAACATCATCCCTGGTCACCCCAGTCTCTCTCCATCATGTTATTCTTTTTTTGTAGCTCTTCTCACTTCCTGAAATAATCTTGGTGGGTTTTTTTGTGGTTTTTTTTTTGTGATAGAATTCCTTGGTGATGAAATAGTCACCCCTAAGTAGTCCCCCAAAGGATCTTTTATAATATTATCTTCTCTGTGGGGCGGAATGAAGGTATCCTTTATTCTCCATCTTGTGGAGGGGAAATGACACTCCCTCAGAATTGTCCTAGTTTCTAGCCCCGGTTGGTGTGGCTCAGTGGATTGAGTGCCAGCCTGCAAACAGAAAGGTGGCCAGTTCGATCCCCAGTCAGGCACATGCCTGGGTTGCAGGCCAGGTCCCTGTCTAGGGGCGTGCAAGGAGGCAACGGATTGACGTGTCTCTCGCACACTGATGTTTCATAATACTGTATCCTTATTAGCTTAGAGCAGCTTTAGAAGGACGCAAGAAACTGAATACCGATTCCTTCTGAGAAGAGAAGCTGGATGGCAGGGAACGAGGAGAAGATCTTTTTACAGCATTCTTTGTACCTTGAGTTACGGACCAATGAATTATTTACCCAAGAAAATGAAAGATTAATGTCTGAGGCCCCAGATTTCTAAAGCCTTGGTGACATTGCTGACCCTCTGTCTAGCTGGGCCTCGCACTCACAGACAAGCAGGCAAAGCCGCCGGGGAGGGAAGGGGCCTTCCCTGCTCATCCAAGTCCCGAGTGGAATCCGAGCCCTGCCTCCTCAGCTGGACCCCCTTCCAGTGGTGACAGCTGGACAGGGCAGCTCCTGAGGGAGGATGGCTATTGGAGAGGAGGGACTTCATCTTCCATTCTCACCCCAGGTGTTCTGGCTCGCCGGCTCCCTGCTCATCATCGGCCTGGCCTCTGTGGTCATCCCCACCATCGGGTGGCGCTGGCTCATCCGCATCGCCTCCATTCCTGGCATCATCCTCATCTTGGCCTTCAAGGTGAGGAAGCTTGGGGCCCCCCCCCCCCGCCGCCCCCGAATCCTTCCCTCCAGCTGGCCCAGCGGCCTGTTGGCCCCACGCCCACCCCTTCCCTTTATTTAAGTCTCCATCTCAATCAGCATGTATGGAAAGGGCATTTTGGCAGGGTGACGTGCCAGGCCTGTGCGAAGGCGTGAACGTGCAGAATGTGGGGGGAGAGCAGGTAGGCGGGATGGCTGGGGTGAGGGGTGCTGGTGGGAGGCTGGCAAGGCACGCTGTGTCCAGATCCGCAGGGGCCTCCCAGGCTGGGGCACTTGGAGGTGCGAGGGGCAGTGCCCTAGGACACTGTCCCCAGGCTGCAGGGTGCCTGCGCAGGAGAGGGCAGAACAGCAGTTCGGAATTGTCAGGGTCATCCCGGCGGAGACGGCGAGGACCTCGGCTGTCCACTGGCTGTGCCAATGGGGAGCGGGGTGCCCGGGGGAGGACCAGCTGGCCTTGACTGGGGGGATGGGCAGGAGGGGCAGGGAGCGGGCCAAGTAGATTCTCCAGGTTGCGGCCTCAGTGTTGTTCAAAATATCCTGCAATCCATGGGGAAAGGGTCCCGAGCTTCAGGACCTGTTCCCTCACCGCGTGGGTGCTGGAGGCGCCGGCCGTGGCCACCCGTTAGGTTGCTGCATAGTGGGGGTGGGGGTCCTGGGACTCCTGCAAAGGGCTGGGGCCATGGAGCCGTGGAGGGGTCTGGGGGCCTTGGAGCAGTGGGTATTTCACTAATTGGGTGTAAGAATTTCATTGTATTAACAAGTACTTGAGCCAAATTGGTATGAAGCTCAGTATCAGCCTGATGTCATCCAAGATGGCATTGATAAGGAGTATGCGACCTTTTTTGGTTCCAAATCAACCCGGAATGCAAGAGCATGCCTGTTGGACGCCATGCCTGTACGCTTGCTGCGCCCTTTCCCATCGCGGGAAACCGGGGCGCTGTGGTTAGCACGTGGAGCCACAATAGCCGTATCACGGGGGCCCACAGCCGCTGCAGCTCTGAGGCTCTTTGTCATCTGTGCCCAGTTTATTCCTGAGTCTGCTCGGTTCAATGTCTCCACTGGGAACACTCAGGCCGCCCTGGCCACCCTGGAGCGCATCGCCAAGATGAACCGCTCGGTCATGCCGGAGGGGAAGCTGGTGGAGCCCGTCCTGGTGAGTGCCCAGGAGGGAGGTCTCCTCCCGCCACCCCCGCCTGCCCCGGGGCCACCCGGAAACCGCCATAGTCGTGGAAGGCTAGAGAGGAGGGGGCCTTAGCTCTCTCATGCTGCTCCTGGAGGGGCAGGGTCGACGGGACTGGATCCAGCGCCACCAGGGAGCCCTGGTCAGTTACCCACCTTCACTTTGCTCATCAGTAAAATGCGCAGGATGACACCTACGCGCCGAGCTAGTCACAGGATTAGCATCAGTGTTTGCAGGGGAGAGATCGTTTTATAACATCGCTTTCGTGTACTGGCCTTGTCTTATTTTAATATCAAAGTTATAAACCTCAGTAAATGATTTTTTAAAAAACAAAACTTGGCCTTTCAATCCGAACGCTTCCAGCACTGCCAGGGTCCATCGGCACGCATTCGCACCAGCCGGCCCACGTCGCCCCCTGCAGGCGGGGTGGGCACCCTGCAGGCGGGGCAGGCACAGGCTCCAGGCAGAGTTCCGCAGCCACCCTGCTCACCTGCCCCGCGTCTCAGCAATAGCTTCTACAGGATAGGAAGGAACTCTCTGAATGTTCGCTAAAACTTGCCTATAAGGCACTTTACACCTAAAATTTATTTTGAGGTGAGCGGTGGGGGAAACGCGGTATTAGAAAGAGAAATTAAAAAAAAAAAAAAAAGGAATCCTTCACCGATTTGTGTGTCATCCCTGTGCAGGGGCGACGCTAATCTCTGTATCGTTCCAATGTAAGTGTATGCGCTGCCGAAGCGAGCACAGAAGGGGGAGTTTTAAAAACTATTATATTTTAAATTTACATACAGATTAGAGTCTACATATGTTTAATGCTTTTAATTGAGTCAATTTGGGTAATGCATATACAAGGTCTGTCCAGAAAAAGTCCAGCCATTGTTACTATAATCAGAATGGTTCGCACTACATCAATGGCAGCCAAGGAGAGTGGACCGGAATGTGCATGCGTGAACAATGATGATTTCGCTGTACTAGTTGTTGGGGGCAGTAGATTGAGTGAGCATGTGTACTGTGTGGCTGTCGCATTCAAAATGACTGAGCAAATAGAGCAACGAATCTGCATCGAATTTTGCCTTAAGCTTGAACATTCCTCCATGGAAACTATTTGGATGATTCAGAACGCGGCATCTATGGGCAACTAACTGGTGATTGGCAGCTTCATCACAATAACGCGCCTGCTCATGCATCACATCTTGTGCACAGTTTTTTGTTAAAACATCAAATCACCCAGGTGACTCAGCCCCACTACAGCCCAGATTTGGCACCCTGTGACTTCTGGTTTTTCCCAAAACTAAAATCACCTTTGAAAGGGAAGAGATTTCAGACCATTGATGAGATTCAGGAAAATCTGAAGGGGCAGCTGATGGCAACTGGGAGAACTGTGCGAGGTCCTAAGGTGCCTACTTTGAGGGGGGACCGAGGTGTCATTGTCCTATGTACAATGTTTCTTCTATCTTGTACTTCCTTCAAAAAATGCCTCTGTTTTTAATAGTGCAAGGCTGGATACTTTATGGACAGGCCTCGTATTTTAGAAAATTGTCTGATTCATCTAGGTTTTCAAATTTATTGATATAAACTTTTCCTAGTGTTCTCTTGTGAGTTTTAAAAAAATCTGAGATTTTTTTCATTTTTAATATCATTTATTTTTGCCTTTTCTCTTTTTTCTCACTGTCTTAGTAGAGGTTTGTTTATAGTATTAAACTTCAAAGAACAAGATTGTTTTTAGTTGTGTTCTCTCTGTTGATTTCTTGGTGGTTTTGTTAACTTCTTTTTCTTTTTTTGTGTTCTTCCTTGACTTTCTATGTTCTCTTAGCTTCCCGAGTTCAGTACTTAGTTTATTTATTTTCAATCTTTTTAAATTTTATTAAGCCATTTAGCTGGCATTCAGCAAGTTTTGTTACCAAGTAATTTTATTTTAATTTCTATTTTGTAACTGTTATGGGTTCTCTTTAACCAATGAGTTATCTATTAATGATCTTTTTTTATTCTTTGTTTCTAACTTGCATTTTTTGGTCAAGGATGTTACCAATTATTTGGGATTTATTGAAACTTTCCTTTTGGTCTCTACATAATGACTTTCTATTAATGTTCTATGTGTGCTTAAAAAGAATGAATTAAATTAATTAAAAGGAAAAAAATCCTGAGGTACTATTTGAAGAGTACATATTGACAGGTATTAACCTACTGTGGTGTATCACTAAGGCAGAGAGATAGCACCCACCTCAGGAACAGGGGTGGGCTGGGGTAGAGCCGAGACTTAGCATACTAGGGACATGGGAAAGATGTGGCTGGCCTGCCTTTATTTGCTTAGTCTACAAATATTTATGAAAGCCTATTGTATGACAGGCATTATGCTAGCTCTTGGGATACAAAAATAAACAAAATAAATATCTTTCCTATTGCTAACCAAAAAAAAAAGTATGTTCTCATTGAGTATATATATTATTATATATTGTATTTTTCATTTTTTAAAAGATTTTAATTTTTTTTATTTTTAGACAGAGGGGAAGGGAGGGAGACAGAAAGAGAAACATCCATATGTGGTTGCCTCTCATGAGCCCTCTACTGGGGACCTGGCCTGCAACCCAGGCATGTGCCCTGACTGGGAATCAAACTGGCAACCCTTTGGTTTGTAGGCTGGCACTCAATGCACTGAGCCACACCAGCTGGGGCTGTTGTGTATTGTTAATTGTGCCATATAAATATATGATACTTGATCTAGCATTTGCCTGCTTAACAGTTTTTCAGTAAGACAGTGGCTTTGTTCATTTCTACTTACAGGTGGGAAACACTGCTCCATGCATTTTGAGGCTATATTGTTGCACTCTAGTATATGATTGACTTATTTTTGTGTGCGGATGAATCCTAGTATTCGAAATATTTCTTTATCCCTATATTGCCTTGGGCCTTAGATTCTGTTTTCTCTCATATCAACATATCTAAACTGGCTCTGGTTAATATTTTTGGGGTACGTTCACAGCCCTTTATGATAACCTTTCTGTATTGCTACGCTTTAAGTAGTTCCTGTAAATATATAGCTGGTGCTTATTTGTTTTCACTCAGTCTGATATTGTGTTTGTTAATAACAAGTTCAATCCATTTACATCCCTTGTGATTACTAAAGAATTTGGACTGACTTCTATCATTTTATTTTGTATTTCCTCTAAACCATGTCCGCTTTCTTTCTCTTTTTTTCTGTTGGATTGATTCCGTTTGCCCACCACCCCCTCCCCCGAATCCATGTTGCCTCCTAGTGGCTTAGAATTTAGGTATTCTAGTTCCTTTATTAGATGTTGGAAAAGTACACCTAGAATATCTAATGTTATTTGGTATCTTTACCTGCCTTCTGATCACTATAAGAACCTTAAAAGGTGCTGATTTTGATCAGCCACCATCTCTTCTTCCAAATCATCTTTGTCCAGTATTTTAGTTTCACTTTGTTCATAAGTTTCCCTGAATTAGACATTATTTTTTAAGCCAGCAGTTAGGTTTATTAATGTTTTTACTACTGTCTTTTTTAGTTGTTTCTAACATTCTTTTACAGCAACGTTCTTGTATCCCTCTCCTTTCTCTTGGGTTAATTTGATTTCATACTTACCGTTTAAGTGCTGGATCCAGCTGGGTGTAATTGGATGTAAGAAACGTGGTACAGCTTTAGCTTTGTCACATCCACGTGGCTCACCAATTGTACTCAAATGTTTTTGTTGAACAAACCATCCTTTATATATTTGAATCTATTTTTGAATTTTCTATTCTGTTCTAATGATACATTTGTAGGTGCAAATACATACGGGGACTTGCATAACAAAGAAGGCTTTTCCTACTGTTGGGAAAAGGACACAGGCTCATGGTTGGCCCAACATCTGACATGGTTTAATTATGGTATTTTGCAGTGCATTCTTCCTGTCTCGAAGGGCAGGGACCCCTCTGTCAAAGCGCTTTTCCAGAGCTTTCCAAGCGATTTTCCTCTTTTCCTAGAGCCACTTTGAAGCCAGTTTATCAAGATCTTCTATCAAGCCCCTTCCTCCCCCCAACAAAAAACCCTATGAGAGTTTAATTGGTCCTGTGTTGAAATGATAGGTTAATAGAGAGAGAATAGGGAATATTGTAATATTGAGTATTCCTGTTCAGATACAAGTATATTTCCCCATTTTTCAAGCCTTTTTATATTCCCCAGCAGGACTTTATAGCTATTTATATAAATCTTGCACATCTCTTGTAAAATTCATTCCTATCTATTTTATGTTTTTAAAAAATTCTTTTATAATGGAATTTTAAAAATTCTTCTTCTTCTACAGGTTCATCTCTTTTAATTTTCTGCGCTGTGTGGCTCATTTATTTTTGCAATTGTCCTCTGAAATATTTTTCATAGCGTTATAGCCCTCTTATCAATGGTACATGCCAGTTGTTTGGTTGCTAAATGGCACCTATGTTAATGGAATTCCTTGTGAACTTGTTGAAAAATATTTTTCTGGGGAACAGCAAGAAGCCTCTTTACATGAGAGCTGGGCACATCTGGGCACATACAAGAGCCAGGCTGGCTGCCAGACTTGAGCCAAGCCTAAAGGTTGGCCCCTGGTCTCTGCTCATGTTCCAGTTTTCTCTCTCCATAGGATATTGATACATGGAATGGACAAGAATGTAAACCTCAAATTTATCACACTTAAAACCAAACTCCACACCTGGCCGGGTAGCTCAGTCGGTTAGAGTGTCGTCCTGATACACCAAGGTTGCGGGTTCAATCCTAGTCAGGGCACATGCAAGAGTCAGCCAAGAAATGCATGAATAAGTGGGACAGCAAACCAATCAGTCTCTCTCTCTCTCTTTTCCAACCCCCCTTCTCCTCCTCTTCTTTCTTCTCTCTCTCAAATCAATAAGAAAAACTCAAAAAATCCTCTTCCAACCAGCTCTTTCCCCTTCTCTCGCGTCTTTCCTTCCTTTTTTATGACTGTGGTATAATATGCATAACATAAAATTTATTGTTTTAAACATTTGTACGTGTCCAATTCAGTGGCATTAAACACATTCAGAGCTGCTTCATCCGGAACAGACACTCTATGCCAATACGGCAATAACTCTTCCCTGCTACCCACCCCCAGGCCCTGGTAACTTCTACTTTCTATGAATTTTGACTATTCTGCACATTTCATATAAGGGGAACCATATGATATTGTGTCTGGCTTACTTCACATCACATTCCCAACCAGTCTTAGTTAACACTTTTCTCCCTCCGTGGAGTCCCCTTTGATTCACTGTGGCCCCTCCCTGCCACCGCACCCAACCAGCTGCCAAGTCCCCCCGACCCCGCGCATTCCCAACGGCGTCTTTCATTTATATCCAATCTCCCTTTCGCACAGCCACCCCACATGCCCCGTGACGTTATCCAGCACAGCGCTGTCAGATGCATATTCTTTCCTTTTTTGGTTAGTAACACATATGAGTTTCAAGCATGCAGTTGTTTAATGTACCATCGACGTATTGCATTGTGTGCTCACTACCCAAAGTCTAGTCTCCCTCTGCGCCGTATATTTGACCCTCTTTACCCTGCCCCATCCCCCTTCCCCTCTGGTCACAACCATGCCGTTGTCTGTGTCTATGAGTTTATTTGTTTTGTTTGTTCAGTTGTTGCTTTCTATTTTATACCCCACATATGAGTGAAATCATATGGTTTTTGTTCTTTTTGGTCTGACTGACTGAGCATCATATTCTCAAGATCTGTCCATCACAAATGGCACTATTTCCTTCTTTTTTTATGGTAGTGTTCAGTGCATACATGCGCCACATCTTCTTTGTCTAATCAGCTTACTATTCTTCAAACACTCCACTCCACCCTTGTTGCTCTGGACCCTTCTGTGCCCCGCCCACTGACTACTGCGTGAAACCCAGAATCCTCCTCCTGGGATTAAGGTCTCCTATAATCTTCATCAATCAGCCATTTGATCCTTGGGTCCATGGCTTGTGCAGGTGTTGATACCCTACAGAGCTCATCTTAACTTATTCACTTCTTTTAAGGCCTTATCTTCAAATACAGTCACACTCTGAGGGTTAGAACTTCAACATTTAAATTTAGGGGGACACAGTTCCCATAAAACCGCCATCCTGTTCCACCCCCTCTATCTCCTCAATACTCTCCATCCTCCACCCCCTTCTCAAGCCTTCTCCGCTGCCCACTGCCCTCCCCGCTTCTGCGTCCCTTCTCTTGCCTCCAGCTCATAGCTCACCCGTCACGCCCATGAAATGATCTTGTCCTCCTCAGCTTATTGTACAAGACCCTGTGGCTACAGAGATCCATGCAGTGGACACCCGCCTTTTACAATCTGATTAGACAGATGAGACTTATGTGGGGAAAAAAATCAGTAACAAAAGAGCCCAGGCGCTCAGAAGCAGGTGAGCCACACAGGTGGAAGGGGGCTGTAGGATCAGAGCGGAGAGGAGACCGTGAGGCGTGACCAGCCACCTTCAGGCAGAGGTGGGACACACATTGAGCAACGGAAGGAGAGGAAAGAGGCCACCACAGGCAGAGGACTGGTGTGGGCCAGACTAGCGGCATGGAGGGGCCATGGGATTGGTCCCGTCGGCTGCTGTCAGAAGCCTCGTGGAGGAGGCTGGGCAAGAGGCTGTGGGCAGGGGGCCCCCGCAGCTTCAACCCAAGGACTCTGAGCTGAGAGGCCCCTGGACTGTTTGAGGAAGGGCCTCGCCATGGATATGCTAAATGAGTGCCCCTGTTTGGATTGTAGCCAAAGGTTCTGCACCAAGTGACTTACTAGGGTAAAATTTATGGTTCATTAGGATTCATGAGATTCAGCTTTCTCTGTCTCCAGTGAACTTGGGGACTTGGGGGACCATAGCCACCTCTAAACCCAAGGCGACAGAGCAGAGAGTTAGATGGCCAATGCTCAGGACTGGGGCTCTGGAGATGTGGACTCCTGGCTGGCTCTGTCTTCCAACTGCTGTGTGATTTTGGGCAAGTCACTGAACCTCTCTGGACCACGTGTTCTGTGTTGGACAGTGCGAGGCTAGGACTAGAGGAGAGGTTTCCAATGATGAGTAACCGGAGCCTCAATACGTAAAACCTATGAAAGTCGTGTCGGTACCATCACTCCACCCACAGTGACCTCCAGGAGCTCAGCCTAAAGGTCCCTGGAGCAAAAGACCTCTAAATTCCTTCAAGCTCTTCTGTGAGGACAAAATCCTGGACCCGCAGACCACACTTCTGGTCGCTCTCATGGGGTCTTGTGATCCCAGTGTGTTTGTAAGAAGAGTAATTGTTTTTCAGCTGAGAACCCCCAAAGCTTGCCTAACTTTGCCTGATATCCGTTACTGTCCATCATAGGGAACTCATCCTTATTTATTTTTATCCAAAAGTGTTTAATAGGTACTGACTGTGAGGAAGAACTTCTGCTAATTACCTTACAGACACAAAATGAAATTGGATATTCTACCCTCTTTCCAAATTTGTGACACTTTTTTCTGTACAAAAGCCTTGCTCTCTTTTTAAGTATTAGGTTTTTAATTTTGATGTTAATAGTAAAAGAATCTCCCATCAGTTACAATTGTTTTCATGTATCCTCCAATTTTCCACCATACCCATCGCCGGCGCCAGTGAGAAGATGACAAGGGAAAAGGTTAGAATCAAACTCAGTGAGGCTGGGTGCTTGCCAGTGCTAGGAAGCGTGCAAAGACTGAGGGGCTGGGATGAACGTGTTAAAAATGATTATGGGTTTGGGTGAGGTGTAGTCACGGGAGCTCAGTGGTTATCTCCGCCCCCACAGCCCGTGTTGTCCTTGTTTTTAAATATTTTATTAATAATTAATATCTCAAGTATTAGATCTTTGCTTGTCCTTAACCCACTAAACCTGTTTTGTCTTCCCCTTTTCATTACCCCAGGAAAAAAGGGGAAGATTTGCCGACCTCTTGGATGCTAAATATTTACGGACCACACTACAGATCTGGGTCATATGGTAAGAATGTAGTTATTTCAAAATGAGTTTTAAAGAAACAAGCATTTGGAGAAAGCTACCAAAGTAAATCCACGCTGAATGCTGTTGGAGAGAAAAACACAAGACAGACCCCAGCAATCTCTTATCTTTCTACTAATACCACCAACCAAGGAAATACATAAAATAACAATTTTTAAAAATGGAGAGAAAGAAAAGCATCTTAACTGTCTAGCGGGGGTGTCCAACCCATGCCTCGTTTTTGTTTTCGTTAGTGTTTGTGTATTTAATGTGTGGCCCAAGACAACTCTTCTTCTCCCAGGGTGACACCCTTGGTCTGTAGTTTTTCATCTTAGCATAGTCTGCTGTTCACCATTACAAATCTACCTAAATGGCTAAAGTTCAAGACTGACTGTACCAAGTGGTGGAAAGAATGTAAAGCAACAGGGACTTGCATACACTGTTCATTAGAGTTCAAATTAGTACAATCACTTTGGAAAACTTGTTGGAGTACATCTGTTGCAGCTGTAAATATGCCTATCCTGCCCTGGCTGGTGTGGCTTGGTGGATTGAGTGCTGACCTGTGAACTGAAAGGTCGCCAGTTCAATTCCAAGTCAGGGCACATGCCTAGGTTGCAGGCCAGGTCCCCAGTAGGGGGCACATGCGAAGGGCAACGACACATTTGATATTTCTCTCCCTCTCTTTATCCTTCCCTTCTCCTCTCTAAAAATAAGTAAATAAAATCTTAAAAAAGAAAAGAAAAGAAAAGAAAATATGCCTATCTAGGAGCAATTCCACTCCTGGGTTTGCACCCAACAGAAATGCATACATACACTTACCAAAAGACATTTACATTCATGCCATAGCATTGTTTTATTTGTAATAGCCCCAAACTATGAACAACCCACATGTCCATCAACAGTATAATGGATAAATTTGTTATATTCATACAATGGAATAGTATACAATAATGAAGATGAGAAAACTAGTAGCTGACACTCAACATTGCTGAATTTTACAAAGGCAATCCTGAGCAAAGGAAGCCGGGCACACATAGTACACATTGTGTGACTCCATTTATACAAAGGTAGAAAATAGGCAAAACTGATCAACAGTGTTTGAATTGAGGAAAGTGGTTGTCTGTCTGCCTTCTTCAGAATGTAATCATTATTAATAGGTTGGTATGTCTCCCCTTGAGACTTTTTAATTTTTAAAAACCTCAATGTTTGGAAATTAAACAAATTAAAGCTGCTTTAATAACAAGGGGCGATAGTTTGAACATTTTCCTTTAAAATAATTATGAAAATTCCCAAGCGCACACGTAAGTGGAGAGGATTCCGTGGTGAACACTGATTGGCTCATCACCGAGGTCTGACAGTCGCTGATCTTTGTCCCTGCTTGTTCAGCTGCATTTTTCCTGCGCTGCAGTATTTTCAAGCAAGTCCCAGGCTTTGTGACACTTCATCCCCAGATACTTCAGTAAGAATCCCAACTACTTGCCCTGGCCGGTGGGTCAGTTGGTTGGGCATCATCCCACAAACTGAAGGGTAGTGGGTTCGATTCCTGGTCAGGGCACATGCATGGCTTTTGGGTTCTGTCCTCAATCGGGGTGCATACAAAATGCAGCGGATTGATGTTTCTCTCACTCTCTCTCGCTCGCTCTCATGGATGTTTCTCTCCCTCCTTTCCCGCTTCTCCAGAATCAATAAGCAAGTTGCTTCTTGGCCTTTTGGCTAAGATCAAGTGTAGAATCAATAAGCATGTCCTCAGGTGAGGATTAAAAAACAAAACAGTCTCTGACTACTTGAAGACATTTTCTTAGATGACTCCAATCCTAGAACCACATCGACAAGATTAACGATCATTATGTTAATAACATCCGATACCCAGAACACCTGTGATTACCTCTGATTGTCCCCCATATATATCTTTTACAGATGACTTTTAGAACAATTTCTACAAAACGGAGAGGGGCCCACGGTGGAGGGTGTGGGGGGCATGTTCCAGGGAGGCAGATATTTTTTTCTTGACTTCAGTCTAGGAACTTCTCTGGGTGTTATTTTTATATTTCAACAAAGGTATTTACTAAAGAATAGGAAGAAAATATAAAGCAAAAACACAAACCTCCTGTGGCTCCTCCTGGCCTGCTGAGGACCCTTTGTGATGGGCACAGTTCTACAGCCACCCCAGGGCAACCGCGCTCCTGGAGCTTCGGGGGACCGCTCATTTGGATGCTGATGTGAAGCGGCTGTGTAGCTGTTAACTGCAATCGCGGGGGCCTTAAAACAGGGAGATGGTTCTGGTTCCGGCAGGTGAGCCCCATTGAATCACTTGAGTCCTTAAAGGTAGAGAGATTTCTCCAGCTGGAACCAGCTTGCTGGAGAAGAGAAAACAAGAAGAGGCAGGAGGAGAGAAGGCGAGCACGGGGAGAATCAAGCACGAGAAGGACTCGACCCCATGCTGCTGGCTTTGAGGCCCAGGAATGCGGGAAGCCTGCAGAAGCTGAGAACGACGGGTCAACAGCCAGCGAGGGAACGGACGTGAGTTCTACGGCGCCCCGGGGTGCGCGTGGAAGATGGACCCCTGCCCCTGAGAAGGGCCCGCGACCCTGCCTGCACTCCCATCCCTGCCCCTGAGACTCGGGCAGAGGCGCCAGCCAGAGCCGCGGCACTGCTGAACTCCGGAGCTGAGGGAGACTCAATGCGTGCCGTTTTCAGCCACAGGGTTTGTGCTGACTTGTGTCTGCAGGGCCAGAAAATGGATCCAGACCTCAAACTCCTTCACCGGGCCTGTGGGGTCCTCCCTGCCTGCTCGGCCCCTCCTGCTGTTGCAAATTTGTTTCCCTCGTGCAGCCTCCAGCGCCGCCCCCCCCCCCCCCCCCCCCCGCAGATACGTGATCCCGACTTTCTGCCCCGCGCCCTCCCCTCGCTCTGCCTTCCACCAGAAGCTCTCCCAGGTCTCCCTGCGGCTCTTGGTGGCAGCAGCTTTCCCTCACTTCTCTCGTTTCTCATTTTCAGGCTGGGCATCTCTTTCGCCTACTATGGGGTCATCTTGGCCAGCGCTGAGCTGCTGGAGCGGGACCTGGTCTGTGGTTCGCGGTCCGGGTCCGAGTCCGAGGCCGCGGTGGTGTTGAGTGCGGGGGTCTCAGAGGAGAGCGGGAGCCCCTGCCACTGCCACATGTTTGCCCCCTCCGACTACCGGACCATGATCATCAGCACCGTTGGGGAAATTGCTTGTAAGTGTCTCCCCGTATTGGCCCGCCTCTGTGTTGGGTGCGGGACAGGCAACTCAGAGCCTCGGAGGACAGACCTGTGACGCTTCGTAGACTCCTGCCTGGTGGAACTGGGCGCCTCCCCCCCCCGAATCAGACAGGCTCCTGGGCGAACTGGGTGGGGAAGAGGTGTCTGGAGGAGCAGAGCTTTGACTTGCTCAATTCTACTGATTCTAAGATGCGTTTTTTCCTCCACATTTTAATATCCCTGAAATTGGCATGTGCCCGACAGTGGCGTGTTAGATTCTAATCTGTAGTACTGTTTTCGTTCTAGTGGGCGTAAATAATGGTGCTTAAAATTCAGCGACGCCTTGAATTTGAACGAACACAGTGCAGAACACTTAAAATATAGGACTAGCAAGTAGGCCATGCCCATGATGCACATCCTGGGCATGAAATGCCCTTCATGTACACCAGTGCTTGTCATTCTCAGACCACGTGGGGAAAGTGTGCCGAAGGAGTCATGGCTGTGAGGACAAGGTGACCGGGTCTTGGCTGGAAGACGCATGAGGTCGGATGAAGCTGCTTCTTTCTGAAATGACAGGGAGGAATCCAGTGTTGACAAATGCCACTTGCTTTCAAGGTTCCAGACACTGTTCTTGTCATTTTTTTTTTCTAGTGAATCCTCTAAACATTCTGGGCATTAATTTCCTGGGCAGGCGGCTGAGCCTTTCTATCACCATGGGCTGCACGGCTTTGTTCTTCCTTCTCCTCAATATTTGCACTTCAAGGTATTTTTCTCTCTGCGCGCTTCAAAATAATCAAGTTTCATGCAGTGGTTTTAAGATGGGGTCTTCTACCCCATAGCGTACATTGGGGGTCCAGGTCAAGTCCCTGTCACCAGGAGAGTAGAGGATGGGCTGCTTGTTCATCTGGAATGATCTTGCCTGGCGTCTACCCTGATGCCTCCCTCTCCCCACTGACCCGGCCCCTCTTTGGCTCTCACAGGATGTGGGTAGCAGTATGCGTGTGCTCACCTCGCCCACCAAAGTGATTAAGGTCTTTATGCAAAGCTTCCTGGGGAAATGAGACTCTAGTTGTTAATCAAGTTATGCTGACCATTTTCAAGAGAGTTTCGTGATGCATTATATATCTGTATATTATTATATGTATATATAACTCTGTGTGTGTGTGTATGTATAAAGCAATATGTGGTGTGAAAATTAATTTCTTAATTTGTGACCCTAAAATGGCTTTAATTATAATTAACATATATCACGTATTCTACAAACCATCTGCACCATTTTCGGGGGGGCCAGGCTGGAATGGCACGCTTTGGGGAGAGGAGACGGCAGGGAGTAGGATTGAAGGTTTGAGTCAGGCATTTGCTTTAGGACCCGACGCTCAGGGCGGCTGAGAAGCCGCTGGTTGGCTGTGGGTGCGCGTCAGCGCCGGTAATGCACTTGGCCTGCTCCATGGAAGACCCTCCATGTTGCCTTTGGTAACTTCTCTCACTTCCTGTTCCCTAGTGCCGGCCTCATCGGCTTCCTCTTCATGCTGAGGGCTTTGGTGGCAGCCAACTTCAACACCATCTACATCTACACTGCTGAGGTTAGTTTTGGGGAAGGGGTTGGTTCCATCAGCGGTGCAAGACAAGCTACTTGGAGGGGATGTCCATCCATAGACAGTGCCTCTCGAGCGTCTGTTGGCTTGTGATGATTTTCTAAATAACATCCCATTAAAGTGATGCTAGAAGGTTTACCTGATATGGAGTTTCCCCTGCCCCACTGAGTCTGGTGAAAGCAAGTGTCTGAGAAGATATATAGGACCTGTCCCTCTCTCCTTAGACAGCATTCATAGAAAGAACAATGCTCTCCTAGCGCCGCACTTCCTTCCAGAATAGGGCCTGTACCTGCATGTTGCTGTTAAAATGCAGAACTCCTGATTCTCTCTTTGAAATTACAATATATTTTTCACCATTATTCCTTTGAAAGATCACATCCCCTTCATCTGTCATTTGCTGCATGTAGCTTAAATAGAAATACAACAGTAATTTATTCTTTCTTAATTTATTGATGTCTACTATAAGCAAGGCACTACCCAAGGGAGCTAGAGGATCTTCTCATAAACATTCACTTTTACAGGAGCTAATATTCCTAAAAATAAATCCTTTTCACTGAGCTGGAGAGAAAGCAGTGCTATCGGGACAAAGTGGCTTTCGTTTCCATCTCCGGAAACGTAGATGGCTGCTCAGGTTACAGAAATGACATGTCAGAAACAGTTAAGCCACAGAAAAATATCCTCCCCCATAAATATGGGAAATTATGACATATTTGACATATACATAACACTTTATTTAGTTCCATTACCATCTTCTAAAATTATCTTGTGAATTTATGAATCCAAAAATCAGTCTGTAACAATGATTGCTTCCAAAGCTATATTTGGAAATATTCAATTTAACATCTGGGAATATTTTTCATTTAAAGATCATCCCTAAGTTTTTTTCTGATGCTCATTTAAAAAGTCATCCATTATTCCATCTCCCAGAATTGTCAAAATAGGAACAAGAGACTTCATCGATATTATGTAGAGAAAAAAATACCACCATGTATCTGAATCCATGTTTTCAGCTAAAGTCAGCAGCCTCACTTTCTAGAAAGAAAGCAACCCCCCACAAAAGCACGGCACCCCCAGACCTTCCCCTGTAAACGGAGCTGATCTGTTGAGACTGGGAAACATCTTGCTTTTCCATTTGGCAGGTGGCGGCGGCTTGTAACAAGGTGTGGTCTCGTAAAGGGACGGCGTGCTTTGTTTTAGTGAAGTGATAAAAACATTTTTGTTTTTGTTTTTTGGTATTGTATAGTGTTGAGGGAAAACTCCAGAATTTTGAAGAATCACTGTTATATATATTCTCCCTATCATCTCATTTATTGAATAACATTTGCTTTATTAAACTTTCACCAGCTCCTATAAGAATTCTGAATCATCCAAGTCAGATTAATGAGGTTTTTACTGTAAATGTAAGACAGTTGCAGGAAGACAGTAGATTTCGCAGTGAGAACACAGGGAAGGACACATACCGCTCTTTTCACTGTGTCTTTATTTAAGGATCCATTGAATCATTATTATTGGGGGTCTATTTCCTTTCAGTAGAACGACTTTATGCATTTATAGCTCTAAAGTGGAAATCTACATCTGATTCCAGAGCTTGCTTTGCTAAAATTATATTTTGAATATTAAACAGTTTGGAATTTACTCACTTAAAGAATAATTCCTAAGTGGTGATTCTTTTTGTGATAGTTATGGTTTAAAATTTCAAAGTTGTGTCCCTGAGAAAATGAATGTCTTTTATTTTCTATCCTATATAGAATATTTGGGATTTAATATACAGGGGTGAGCAAAAGGGGTTTTACAGTTGTATGTGCAAGAGTTTATTCTTGTATTCTCACTAATTATTGTATTTACTTCTTAGTTGCCTTCTTATTACTATTATTATTATTTTGTCTCCTTTCTTATGACTTACCTCTTAGGTACTGATGGCTGCCAATCTGCCTCCCCTTGCACACCCCGGCACTAACTCCCAGAGCCTGGCCTGGGGGGGGGTGCCCACAAGGGGCCTCACCGAACTGAGGCTCTCTGCCCCTCCCTCCAGGTTTACCCCACCGCCATTCGAGCTTTGGGGATGGGGACCAGCGGCTCCCTGTGTCGCATTGGAGCAATGGTGGCACCGTTTATATCCCAGGTATACCCGGGAGTCTCTGCAGGGAGGGTGTGTCGAAGGGAGGTGGGTGAAAGCGACCCTGGGTCCCTTCTGGTTAAGGGTGTAACCCAGGATTTCTGTTTATGTAGGGAGTTTTCTTGAGGGGCCGTTTCCATTGTTTGGCGAATTTGAATAGAGAAAGCAGCTAAATCACTGCGTCCAGGCTGCCAGTCAGTCAACAGCAGGTGTTGCAACTGAGAGGGAGTTTGGATTTTGGTGGGTGGTGGCGGGGGAGGGGAGGAGGCCGAGGGAATGGGTGACACAGGAGGTTGAGTAGTTGAATGAAGATGGGCTCTAACCCTGGTCCTGTGCAGGGGGTGATTGAATAGCAGAGCGCAGCCCGCAGGTGGCCTCGGGCAGGGAGAGTCCCGGCTCAGGCAAATCAGGCTCAGGCTGGGATGCAGTCCGGGCCAGACTTGGAGCCGTGGAGGGAGCGATGTTTCAGGAGGAAACAGAGGCAGATGTGGCGACCTGTGTGGTCACAGTGCCTCAGAGGGTTAAATGGCTGGTCCCCTCTGGTCATTCTCTTTTGGCTACAGCAAAGGGACTCCACCTGAGCTGCCTGTGGCAAACGCAGGAGTGAGGCTGGGTCCTGGGAAGACCTGATCCAGGCAGCGGGGGCTGACGGGCGCTCGGCCTGTCCTCCGCAGGTCTGTCTGCGCCCGTGGTCACTCCTTGCCTCTCTGAGCATTCTGAGTGTGCTGTGCCTGCCTGCGTATGTGGCCCCCCCTACCCACGTTCTAAATGCGCGCGCATTCCCTTAGATCCAGCCACCGGAAGACAGTGATGCACTCTCTGCATGCCTAGAAAGGGACTCTCATTGGCCAGGTCCGGTTCATCGTTTGTACTTGAGCTAAATCAGTTATGGCCCAGAGTCGGGGTGTGTACAAATGAGGTTGAAGGGTGTTTGTGATGTGCTTTTCTGATAAGAAAGATGTATTTGGTCTTCGTCTGACACAGAGCTCCTAAAACCCGCGCAATTTCCTAGGCTGCAAGAGTCACAAAGATGTCTTGTTATGTTAATGAGGTGACTGCACCCAAGGCTGGGGACTGGTTGCCAGGAGAACCAATCCTGTGATTAGAGGGTTGGAATTTTCTGTCCCATCTCCTGACCTCTGCAGAGTGGGGAGGGCCTGGAGGGGGAATCCCTCACCAGTGGCCAGGGCTTTGGTCCATCAGCCTGTGTAATGAAGCCTCTACAAAGCCCCAGGGAGGGTTTGGAGAGCTTCCAGGTTGAGGAGCCAGGATGCTTTTGTGGGTCACTGTACTGGGCGCCCAATTCTACAAGGACAGAAGTTCCTTTGTCTGAGGCCCTGCCGTGTGTATTTTCATCTGGCTTTTGAGTCATACCCTCTAATATCCTTATTATAAATAGACAGTCTAGCGAGTGACCAGGTTTCTGAGCCCTGTGAGCTGCTCTAGCACATTAACTGAACCCAAAGAGGGGGGTGTGGGAACCTCTTGATTGGCAGCCAGTTGGTCGAAGTGCATGTAATCAGCAGGACTGCGACTGCATCTGCAGTGGGGACAGCCTCATGGGACCGAGCCCTCAACTCTGGGATCCGGTGCTCCCTCCAGGTAGACAGTGTCAGAGCTGAGTTGCTTGGTGGTAGAGGGGGAACCCGACTCCCGCCTCACACCGCGCTTTGTAATTGGGCGCAGAACCCAAGACAGGGTGTGTTTTTCAGACAAAGGGTGTTGTCATGGGCCGAGCAGACTGTGATGTGTATTTCCTATAACTCATCAGAGATTGTTACCACTGACTTTTTACTGTCTCGGGACTGTTTTGCCCATCCTTCTTAAGGAAGAATGGGGGCAGCTTTTGTCTTGTGATTTTGCTTTTCAAAGTTCTTTTATACTTTGCCACCATTTTCAGAGAAGGATGTACTGGTGAAAGACAGCAGTAGACTACTGCTCCTGTTTCTAGATGGTCAGATCAGGATACGGTTCGTTCTCCAAGATCCAATCAGAAATCGCGTCTGTTGGAACCTTCTCTCTGGGCATCTGGCAGTTATCCAGAGGCTGCGCTGCATTCGGCGGCTTTATGGGTCAGAAATAACCCCCACCCGGGACCGGGGCTCCTGGGGCCATAACAGGCTGCCCTGCTTAGGCTCTTGGCGCTGAGGAGTTCTCAACTCTTGGTTGGTTCACTCATCTTTCCGTGCCTCCCTCATTTTAAAAATGAAGATAAATAGCGATGGCTGGTGTGGCTCAGTGGATTGAGTGCTGGCCTGTGAACCACAGGGTCGCCGATTCGATTCCCAGTCAGGGCACATGCCTGGGTTGCGGGCCAGGTCCCCAGTAGGGGGTGTGCAAGAGGCAACCACACATTGATGTTTCTCTTTCTCCCCCTTCTCTAAATAAATGAATAAATAAAATCTTTTTAAAAATTAAGATAAATAGTAGCACCCATTACATAGGTTTGTTGTGGGAATTAAGTAAGATTAAAAGATATAAGAGCACTTAGCCCAACATTTGACACATAGGAAGCACTCAGCAAATGTTAGCTGATGATGATCCATAACAAACAAAGCCAAATGTTAAATAGTCAAATAAGAGTATTTTTGTGATTGATAAAAATTTAGGTTTATATATATATGTGTGTGTGTGTGTGTGTGTGTTATATCTATCACGATGCAACTGGGACGCTTAGCGGGTTAGGAACAGGAAGCTTGACTCCGGGGAGTTTTGTTTGTTGCCAGGACTTCGGCCTGGGTTTTGGGTGGGCGCGCTGCTTTAGACAATAGGGCTGGTGTTACCCCGAAGCTGCTTGGTCAGCCTTCCCTCGGACACATCTCTCCAGCTGCAGTGCGTGTCGAAATTACCAGGGGTGCTCGGTAGCGTGAAGATTCATGCCTCTGCCCAGAGACTGATTCTGTGTATGGGAGCATCACCTGTAGTTTTGATAAGTACCTGAGTGACTGAGCAGGATGGTCTGTGTCCCACCCTCTGAGAGGCTCCACTGTCAACAGGGACGACACTGTTACCCAACGTCGACCTGCTGGGGGGGGACCCCAAATGCTATTCCCGGAACAACCCCCTCCCTTCTCCTGGGTCCCTCTGTTCTAGGGCCTTTGCCCGATGCTCTTAAAAATTATGGCTTTCAATGGTAGAGTCTGGTGAAAAGGAAAGGAAGTATTTATTTAAGTTATACAGGTGTTGGTTAATGGCTCAATGTCGCCATTAAATCACAAAACCCCTTTAGGACACCCACCAACACACGCAGTCCTCCTGCCTTCCCCGCCGTTGCCCAGTCAGGGGTCATGTTCTTCCGAAGAAAAAGAACCGAAGTCCAGAGCTCAGCTACGCAGGCCTCTCGCAGTTCCCAGCACTATCTGCTGTGTTGTCTCCATCTCTAGCTCTTAATTTAGAACCAAGCGGCGCCTTCTCATGGCCCACTAGCAGGAGTCCTTTCTCCCTTTTCCTTCCTGCGTGGTCTTCGCACTGTTCCCTCGTGGCGTGGCGCGAACCACCGCCGAACTCTCGTGCACACGCGCTATAGCCAGGGGAGCCGCCTCCGTGGCGGCTACATCTTGCTTTCCTGCTCCCTAAGCCACGTAGTCAAGGGAGCCCCCGCTCTGCTCCCAAAACCATGTGGTCAAAAGCCTCTAGTATGGCTGGCGCACCTGGGTCCCAACCCCAGCGGGGTTCCTCCTCCGCAACCCCATCTCCGATTCCCAGGGGAGCTGCCCTCTCAGTTACACTCTGGGTTAAAGTTAATGCAAACCTTCCAGGGTAGCCCTGTTGATATGCAAAATGACCATCTTTGCACATGAGAGGCGAAGCTATCCTCCTGTTATGGACATGCAAGATGACTCTCAATGGCCCAGCTCCTTGTCCGGTAAGAAGCTGGCCTGTTGTTGATATTCCAAGTAACTCACAATTGTCCTAGGCCTGTTATTGATGTGCAAAATGACTCTCGATGGCCCTGCTCCCCGTTTCCCATTCCCCATGGCAGCTGCCTTGGGGGGTGGTGAGAATATCCTATATTTTTCTTGGACACCCCAATTTCTGGACCCCATTACAAATCCCCTCGGGGGGCCTCATTGCAGCCTGTTACAATACCCACTGGGAGATGAGCTTCTTTTGTAATTTCACTTTGTTGCCTTCTCCTCTTTCTCCCCCTTCCCCTCTTCACCTTCTCTTTCTCTCCCTCCACCATTTTCCTCCTCTCCGTCCTCCTCTTCCTCCTCCTCTTGCCCTCCCTAAAACAGGCTATTAAACCAATTTAAGTAAAATGTTTACATATTAATTAGTAAAATGTGTACACACTTAATGGCTATATTTATAAATTTAATTAAAAAATCTCTTTGAAATGAATGTTTCAAGATATTTGAAACTTCAATGATATAGAAATAATAGTTGTGGGTATATAGTCCAAGAAAGCAGAAAAGGGGAGATTTTGCTACAGGTGTTTTAAAACCTCAGCAAGTACAAATGGGACCAGTGCGGGGCCGTTACCTGTAGATCGGGGGCTGCCTACCCCCTTATCCTGGGGAATGTAAGTCCAGCGTGCAGCCGGGCGCGCCTAGGTGCAGCGACGCTGGGCCTGCTGGGCCTGCTGCGGGTGATCCAGGGCCTTCGTGCGTGTGGGGGTGGGGGGGCTTTGGACTTCACCCTGGGTTTGCACCGTAGGCCCAAGCAGCCACGGCCACATAGCTGTGCGGACTACAGGGTCTGGGTAACACAAGTAAGATTGTTTTCTCGTGGCCAGGCTTAACATGGTGTCACATCCAGAGAGACACAGTCCAGCATCCAATAAAAGCATTGAAAACATTTTAAATCTTTACAAAAGCCACTTAAAGGGGTGTCAATGGGGAGGTCCCTGCGGAACTCCCAGCAAAACCTGTAAAAATCCCCTTTGCCTGCCTCCCTTCTGTTACCTCCAATGGCTCGGCAGTTGTCCCTGACCTCCAGTCTCACCCCCACAATCTCGTCACCCCTCAAAGTTCAAACTTTTCCAAATGCAGCCTGACCTAGCTCTTCTCTGCCCCTCCTCCCCCAAAGATTTCTGGCGCTCTTGGCTCTCTCGCGAGCTGCTCTCTGCTCCTCCTAACTGAAATCATATAGCCTCTCAGGATTCAAAAGGAAGCTGGATATGC